ATGACCTGTATTGACACTCCCTGGTCTGCACATTTTATTTAATGAACAATAAGGTCTGCGTGAATATGACTAAGGATTAACGTAGTTGGTTGAGTTTTGCTAGTGACCTCATTGGTCTTATCTATCATATCTTATGATTTATTTTTGAGTCATAATACTTAAGTGAACTGAAAAGGAAAACTTAAAGAGAATTTGGTTTTATGCACGAGTTTGGAGACCTTGCAAATTGTAATATCGTAACATTTGGGAAATTTAAAAAATTTTTTTAGTATTTGTATGAAGCCGCCTTCTCTCTTTTCAAAATCATCTGTCCTTCAAAAATACCAGGGGAAAGTTCTTGAGAAATTCATACTCACTATTTTCTTTGAGAATAGTTATATATATTTTGGCACAATTTCTTAAAATTTTGCTTAGTATTAAAAAAATTCAGGAAACGTCATTTTTCTTCAACACCTTTAAAAAAAAATCCCCCCTATATTTTACTCTGCAAATTTTCAAACATACAAAAAATGTTGGAAAACTTATACAATAAACACCCGTATTCTCACCATCTAGAATGTATCTTTTACATTTTGCTGTATGTATTTTATGACATTATGCATCCATCCACCCATCCCTCTTGCCATCCACCAGTCCATCTTATATTTTGATCATTTCAAAGTGAGTTTAAAGTACCAACACACTCTCTGCTCCCTTTCTAAACACTTTAGAATGCATACCATTAACTAGAAACATATGTTTACAGTTTACTTTTTTTTCTTTTGAGGGAAACTTTAGCAGGTGAGACACAAGTTGTAAGTGAACCACTGGATGACTTTGACTATGCATACACCTGTGCACCTGAAACCCCTACTGACATAAGGGACGTTATCATCACCTTCAAAGAGTTCATAGCTACCCCTTCCTTGTCAGTCCTCACCCCTACTTCCCTCTCTCCCCAGAGACAACCACTGTTCTGATTTTCTTCACCACAGATTGCTATTACATATTCTAGAACTTTATATTCTAGAACTTTATTTTTTGGAATCATACTATATGTATTCCTGTGTTTCTGACTTCTTTGACTCAGCATGATGTTGAGTGATATCCACATTGTTGCATGTATCAGTAGCTCCTTTCCCTTTCTGAGTAACATTCCTTTTGTGTGTGGATCTACTATAGTTTGTTTAGCCGTTCTCCTGTCAATGCAGCATTTTCAGCTGAGTTGTGCATAAGTCACTTTAAAATCATGGACTTTTGTGAAACTTTGGCTATCATTTATAGGCTATCTTAGTTGTTATTTTCAATTCTCTGATGGGAGATTTGTGGAAAAACCCTCACAAGTGTTTAACCTTATACACTGAGATTCATGAAAACCCTATTTTGTTTCCTTAATTGTTTGTTATTTCATTGCTAGTTTGAAAGGCTGTTCCTTCTCTCCTTTCTTTACACTTTGATAATTATCTTTGCAGAAATGAGAGTTGGACTGTGGAACATAGCCTCTATTGCAAGCCACAATTATCAAGAACAAATGCCTATAAAATTATTCTTTGGTAAGAAAGAAAAGAAAGGATAAACCATGCTGGCAAAAGAGGACAGAGTAAAGAATTCAGAAACGAATAGAACTGTCTCAACGTCAAAGGGAGACGGGCAGGAAAGGACTAGCATATAATTTAGGGCCACCCTGGAGCCAAACATTGACCTTCCAGTTCAAGTTTGTTTTTGCTGCCTCATCCTCAGTTTCCCCTACTCATCCCTTTATCTTTCACTTGGGATGTTTCCTTAATAGTGCCTTTACTGCCCTGCCATCATTTTAAGAATCCTGGAACACTCATGTCTCCTCCTCTGCCGACAAATTACTTTGAATAATTGCTCTGAAATAAGCCCTTTGAACCTGCCTCTGAATCTCAGGCAGTGTGTCACCTCTGGAAGGAGCAAGGGTTGAGGAAAGGGTTGTGTTTACGTGCTTTATTTTGCCCATCAAATGAAAAGGCAAAAGGAACTGCTTCTGGTTCAAGGAGTGTCAAGATGTTGTTAAGGAGAAGAGGAGTATTTTTGGTGGGATGGGGAGAATTTCCCAGTGGTCCCAAAATAACAGTGTGGTCTGTTACCCGTTCTGCCTTCATATAAGGTTGACCCTAACCAAAAGAGGCAGAACAAGTTAACATCAGTGGCAGTTGGCCCAAACTTGAGTATCTCTAAGGTTCTGCAAGAAGGAGAAAGAACTACAGGTACACCAGGATCCTTTGCAAGAGAAAAATGGCTGCAGTCATACTTAACATGCTTATTAAAGATGGTTTGGAATAATCCGTCCTTAATACAGGAAGTATCGTTTCAGAGATAAGGCTTCTGACCCCATCTCTTTCACTATGTGTTTATGTGAGTAACTGTTATGGACTTCGTTTTCTTCTCAGCAAAATAGCAAGATTAGACTAGATGTGGATTCCCAGAATTTGTGTCCAAAAGTCTGATTATACACATATACATGTGAATAAAAAGCAATATGCTACTTAGTGCATATTTAGACTTCAGTACAAAATCTCTGTTATCTTGGTATATATTTTTGAGCTTGCAAATAAATCATGGATGAGGAAGGTTGTATTATATATTAATATGTTTTTGAAATTTGGACTAACACATACCCATGCAAGTAAATTCATACACATCAATTAACAAGTATTTATTGATCACTTACCCTTTCCATGTGTCTGAACCTGTTGTGATGATAACCTCGAAATACACATTTCCTACCACTCTTCTTTCAAGCCTCTGGCTTTGAAATAAAACTGTTACCATTTGCAACTACTTATCTATGGGTCTTGGGATGTCCTATCAAGACTGTGGAACCGAAACAAAATAGAGAAATAAATTGGAATTAGGACTGAAGTGAGACTCTAGATATCATTTATAACACTCAATATCAAGTACTGTGTACCCCAGAATAGCTTTATTTTTATTAGTTATGAATTTTAGTAGCAAGGGACTTTCATTAATTTGAATTTATAGGATAAATTCACAATAATAAGATACTTTTAAAAAACCTATTTAACATGTTGGAGGTGCCTCTTAGGATTTTGATCACCAAAAATGTGTCCTACTGCTAAAAAGAACATCACCAAGATGCCTTCCAAAAACAAAAGTTTAAGTTATACCTTTTCATATTATCTCACTTCTGTGATATCCTTGTTCACCTTGCCTCTCAATAATTCAGTCAGCAAACGCATATTGATCATGTCTACAACAGGAAAGAAAAAAGCCGAGTGAGATGTAGATGGGACTTTATTAGAGTCACTGGCTTTAAGAAATGTATAATCTGCTGGAGGGCTAAGACAGGCGTCCAAATAACAGAACCAGGCAAGCATCATAAGAGACGTACGCTCAACATCTACAGGAAGACAGTCCTAATTCTGTAGATCCAGGACACCTTCATGGAAATGACTTTGGGAGCACAAACTCTTACCAGGTTACAGTGGAATATCGTTCAGCCTTAAAAAGGAATGAAATCCTGATACGCTCCCCAACATGAATGAACCTTGAAGACATTATGCTAAGTGAAATAAGCCAGCCACAAAAAAGACAAATATTGCATGACTCCACTCATATGAAGTACCAAGAATAGTTCATTTCATAGAGATAGAAAGTAGAATGATAACCCGGGGCCGGGGAAAGGGAAAAATGGGGAATTATTGTTTAATGGGTACAGAGTCAGTTTGGGAATAAAAATGGTCTGGAGATGGACAGTGGGGATGGTTGTACAGTGTGAATCTACTTAGTGCTACTGAACTGTGCACTTAAAAACAGTTAAAATAGTAATTCTTCTGTTATGTATATTTTACCACGATAGAAAAAACATTGATCAGGTATGGAGGATGTGGTTCTGATCTCAGGCTTTTCTACAGTTCGATAGTGAGGATGGTGTTCTTTTTGTGCTCTTTCTCTGCTGTGAACTGGGAATGGGCATTTCTATGTCTTTCAGAAGGAGGGTACAGAATATTTTGAATCCGTTTGAGTCCACTGAATCCCTATGTGAATGCACGGCTTGGTGATTTTATGAGCACATATATAATATATATATATGTGTGTGTGTACATATACAGATGTATGTATAGACATATATGAATACATATAAAGAGTCCTTGGTCATTCCCCTTGCTATCTGGAACACGGTCAACATAGGAAACCATTTGTAATGGGAATACTGAATGTGCCCCTGGGCTTTTGTCTCAATAGTCAACTTCTGAGATTGCTTCTACATAATATAAATCATTTTAAAGAAAACAAATCTCCCATGCCAACTCTCCGTGTAGGATTTTCTAGTTAGGTATAAAGGAATGCCTGAATTTTGGATGATACTGTCTGGTTTCCATTCAACCATGTGTTATGAGGTAGAATCAAGCCAAGGGAAGTTTATTTCTGTCTTATTTTACCATTAATAGGGCCAAGTGTACACTCTTACTCCTCTGGGCTGGTCAGTGATGCTCTAAGAGGCTTTACTGTGCTACCATGGAAATCCCCAAAGCTAGCACAATTGCTGCTAAGTCACATTGGTGCAGGCTTCTGGGAGAGGCCAAGGTTAGGGGAGCAGCGCAGCCTGGTGGCCAGAGCACTGGGTGGTTCTTCAAATGACTGTCCTGTAGCCTTGGATATGTCACATAAAAGCAAAAGGGAAAAAAAAAAAGATAGTGAAAATATCAGTACTTTATATTCCACTTCAAAATATGGAGGAAGGAAAATATAAATCACCAAGCCCTTAAAATTGTCCCACTTACTTTCTTGTAATTAAAAAGGACATGTGTAAATCTGTATAAATAGTAACTCTGTGGTTTAAAATGGAGATTTAATTTCTGGAGATAAGATATAATGGTGTGAGGGGAAAGTTAATACTTCCAAAGGAAATGGGCCCCTCACGAGATTATATTATTTTATAAAAACGTGTAAGAAAGCCACCACAATAGCTGTTACCCAGCTGAAAGCAATGTCTCAAATGACAAATCAGAATCTTTTTTTTTTTTTAATATCAGAGCAGAATACAAACCAGAGAAACTTCCTTCACATTCCTTTGAGGTTGACCATGAAGATGCTGATAAGGATGAAGTAAGTAAATGGTTGAAAGTGAAATGTTTAAAACATGAGGATAATTAGCTCCTGTCTTTCACTAGCATGTTTCAAATTCAGACCAGTTTCTCCTAAAGCTGCAGTAGCTGTTGGTGTGAAGGCTTTTAGATAAAATGAATCACATGTGTTTTGGAATTGAACATGATTTCTTAAGATGAGTCAAAGAGAGAAAAAGGAGTCTTGTTTTTAAGCGCAGTGTCTAAGATCTCGGATTCACAGAAGATGGTTGTGATGCTAATGATGCCTTCTGTACAGGATACCACTTCTCACTCATCCTCCAAGGGCGGAGGGGGAATGGGAGGAACCGGAGTTTTCAAGTCTGGCTGGCTCTACAAGGGGAATTTTAACAGCACCGTGAATAATACCATTACCGTTCGGGTAAGGAGACATCAAGACTCATCTTTGTTTCTGCCACCTTTCTTCACACCCTCCTCCACTTCGGTCACAGAACAGAGGAGAGCCATTTGCATTGAGTTTTATTCATGTCATATTTTATTTATGAGAAAGGAGGATGTTCTTCTCTAGAACAGTGCCCTAGAAACGTAGCGCTCTTGAAGGACTCAGAAGTAGTCTAATTTCTGTGGATTTGAACCACCTCCTTACATTTTTCTCCCTTTATTTAGTCATTCAAAAAGCGCTTCTTCCAGCTGACTCAGTTGCCAGATAATTCCTACATCATGAATTTTTACAAAGATGAAAAAATATCCAAAGAACCCAAAGGTTGCATCTTTTTGGATTCCTGTACAGGTGTGGTACAGGTGAGTAGAAATCTCTTTTCCCCCGAGTTTTTTTAATCGAAAAGTGTGTTCATCCAATCATTATTCATTCATTCCAAAAATATGTATGGAGTATCTGATATGAGCCGAGAACTGTTTCAAACTCCAAGGATTCAGTGGAGAGCAAGGCAGCCTAGATACCTGCTTTCACAAAACTCATTTCAATAAAGTAAGGAAAACAGAAAATACGTAAAGAAAGAAACAAACAGAATGGAATGATTGGTAAAATCTGGAATAAAGAAAATAAACAGGGCTACAGAAAGTAGAGAGACGATGGTGAGGTGGCAAAGGAATCTTTATGCTGCAGAAGTGAGAAAACATTTATGAAGAGAAATATTTGATCTAGAGATTAAAGAATAAGCAGGGGCAGCAAGTGCAAAGGTCCTGAGGCAAGAGCAAGTCTGCTATATACTCAAGGCAAAGAGGAAAATTACCACCTGCATGGCTGCAGTGTAGAGATCCACCAAGCTAAAGAATTCAGTAAGATTATATGTAAATCACATAGTTCAAAGAAGGCTCTTCATGAATGTTATCTTTATTATTAGGTAATAAGTAATAAGATAGTAAATTTACAGTGTATAAATACATCATCCTTCTTCAAAGAGCAGGTTTCTTCAAAGGCAAGGATTACATTGATTCTCAAGAGTTAATCTCAGAAACAGACACAGTGCCTGTAACAGACAATACCGTTCTGCAAAGCCTTGGTCCTCAAAGTATTGTCCTTAGTATTAAATTTGACATGGACCACGGTGGCAAAGGGAAGCAAAATAATTCCATAGGCCTCACTTGGACATCTTATTTTCAAAAATTTTATTCTTTCTACTCTGATGAAATAGCTATCCTTATTCTCTCTCATGTAAAAATTGAAGCAATCAAGTGTTTTAGCAGTCTTCCCTCAAATTTCACATTAAGACGCTGGCCCATTTAGGTTGAGGACTCTGTTTTTGGTCATAGGCCACTAGGAACAATTCTTTATCTTATCACCAAACCACAGGCATTCACATAACTTGCTACATGGCTGAGATTACATTTCAGATTAATACCAGGGGCACTCAGATGTGTGAATGCAAAATAGAGTTCTCTTTAGTCACTCAAGCCTAGTCTATTTCTGGATGGTTTATCCATTAAAATCTGGAATTTCTCCAGAAAGTAATAATGCTGCACTTTAAAAGGAAAGAATTAATTAAGTGTTGCTGAGCCCTCCACTAGAAATGAAAGATAACTGCTTTTTAACACAGATGCCAGCTTTCCTCATGGAAAGGGCAATAAGGATCTTAATGGAGGGTGGAGATAGTTTTCTATTGTTGGTCACAAAGGAGACTCTTTGGCTTTAGAAATATGAAATAATACTTTAACAATAGGTTAAAGATCAATAACTACATTTTACAGACATTGAGCTGAAAAACTTATTTTCTTTTCTATTTGTACTTCCAAACTTGCTCTAGCAAATGAGTCATCATCTTCTGAGAAATATCATTGTAGCCCTTGTTAGGTATCAAGTTTGCAGAGATATGAATTATTGTGTAATTTCTTCTTCCAAGAACCTTGTAACTCTGTTGAACACACAGTTAGTGAGTGCTCTAATCTGACCTTCCACTACAGGTACCTTTTCTCCATCACATCTTAGACTGTGTTTCGGTCTCTGCTTAAGCAGTACCTTGAAAAGAGAATGTCTTCTAAGGAAAACGTAAGCTTGGGGTTTTTACTGGTCGATGTTCGAATCCTAGTTTCACCATTTACTATCTGAGAGTCTTGAGTAAGTTACTCAAGCTCTTTGATTTCTGGTGTCTCATCTGTAAAACTAAAATAAATGTGCTAACGTGATAAGGATCTGGGAGATAGTGTGTCCTCAGCCATCCTTTCCTAGTCTTTCCATTAATTACAAAGGTCACAACTTTGAGAGATAAACACCCCATCGTGGGAAAGCCCTTCTAGAAAATATTGATTCATCTTCCTGAAATATCTACCTAAACTTGCTAATTTATCCATTTCTTTCTTCATTCATTCATTCATCCAGCAAACTTATTTAGTGCTTATGACATGCTGGAACTGTGCTTAGGCATTAGGAATTCCCTGCTGAAATCATGACCAGAGAAGGACATAGGCTCATAACTCACTATTACACAGTGTCTCAAGAGCTATAATGGAGGTATAAATGGCACTTTCTATGGAATGTTCTAGGAGCACGGAACAGTGATAAACTCTTCTGGGTTGGCTGGAAGGATGCATAGAAAAAATGGGCATATAGGTAGGAATCTCCAAGGTAGATTTTACACCTTCAAGCACAACTGAATAATCCTACTTCACTTTCCAATAGATATTAGCCATTCAGGTACCCGGGAACATGCATTTTATCTTTTAAAGGGTTTGGCTCTGTATCCCTGTATCTGTATTCCTCTTTATCAAGAGCTTGTTACCCTTTATAGAGGGAGGGACCTTTAGTTTCTTGAGATTACTTTGGGAAGGTAGACATCTGGGTCCCTTGTCACCTTATGTCTGCCAGTTCTTATGTATTTGCTTATAGCTCTTTCTAACTTGTAAGTTTTGCATCTGGAAAAAGAGATACTGAATCAGAGAGTGCAAGTTTAGTCATTGCTCCAGCAAGTTCTCAGGCACAAAATGTGCCTGGAGACGAAACACGTACACACAGAAGCACAAAGCAAATGAATAATAGGATGAGTCAGACCTATTTTGTCAAGAATCATTGTCAGTTGCCCTTGAATAAAACAGAGAAGAGAAACAAAGAGTTTGCCTCAGGAAGTGCTACCTACCACCCAGCATTCTCAGGGCATTCACGCACATAAGAGTCTTGAGTGAACAAGCCTTATACTTTGCTTCATTCAGACCCATTCTATATCACTGTGCTTTCCTAAGAATAATCCTTGGAATTCTTAGAAATATATTTCAAGGGCGACTTCAAATAGAAAGAAACTCCTACCCAGAGACTTCAGGTGACGTTTATGATTGGAAATTTCCTGGATCTTGGTAAAATAGAGACCTAACAGTAGTTTTCCACTTTTTTGTAATGTCATCAAACAGTACTAGATCTGTTTCACACCCCTCGTTCCCAGTCTGAAGCAGAACTTCCAATTTTTGCTACTTCAGTTTTGATTTGAGACTAAGGCCTATTTGGACCTAAGCTATCCTATCTTGTTCCGTGAGAGTCTTCTCATTCATTCATTCATTCATTGGTCCATCCATCCATCCGTCCATCCATTCCAGATCCTGCCACTGCAAGAGGAGTGAATAGCCCAGGAATCCCAGCTACCTAGGGTCCCTACCTCAACAGTGACAATGACTGATGTCACTTGATAGATAAAGGCTTAAATGAGGGTGGTGTGGTGCTGAATGCTGTTGATTTCTTCCTAGGTGCTGATCTTCCACCTTGTGGATGTGGGTTCTAAGACAACGGCCTTAGGGGCTTAACCAGAGTCTAGAAAGTCAGATGCCTTCTGCAGCTCAGGCCACTACAGGAAGGAAGTAGGGTCAGCTGTGAGATAACAGGAGCAGCTCAGACTGTGTGTGCCCATATAAAGGCAGTCAAGTTGGGAGGGAAAAAAATGTGTACCTCCCAAGGAAAGTAAATTTAGAAGCCAACTATGACCTATAAACCCCCCATTAGCAAACCTTGGCTGTAAAGAATCTGACTTCCCATGATAACAATAAAAACCAGAATGACACTTGTAATCTTCTTCATCTAATACATTATTTGACAACAGTTGATGGAACATGCATTATTATTGTCCCAATTTATTAAAATAAAACTCAGCGAGATAAAGCGGCTTGCCCAAGTCACAGAGCTAATAAATGGAAAAATTACATTTGAGGCAGAAGAATGTCCAAAGTTACAGAAAGATGCCCAAGGAAATGCTTTGGTGATCATACATCCAGTGGGCATGCTTGCATAGATACATACATTCATCCTACATAAGCCGCATAGGCAGAAGAAACACTACAAAGATAGATGCTGGTGTGTCATTTAAGCAGTGAGTTTTGGATGTAAGATTTATTTCAGCAAATATATATGGAAACTTTTGCTTTATGCAAAGGACTGTGGGAAAGCCAAACATGAATTAGATGTGGTTTGTGTCTTCAAAGAACTTCCGGCCTGTGGGAGAACAGAACAGATATAGCGCATGCCTGAGTAATTAAACACGAGTGACACATCTCAAACAATAGGTTCTGATAACATATGAAAGAAGGATATTACATTTATCACTGCATGATGCTACCTTATATTATACATATGTAATATATATATTGCTTATTTTTTCCTGACATTACATAACACTAGAATGTAAGTTCAATGAGGGCAAGCAGTTCGCTTGAACATTTTTAATGCTCTGTACTTGGCACATAGAAGGTAGCCAATATATCTTGGTCGAATGAATGAACAAATAAGCATACAGAGAATGGAAGGGACTGCATGGATGGTAGCCATCAATACCAGTAACCTGGATTTGATGTTGTGTGTTTCCTCTTAAAACTCTTCTCTTGTTTCGGCAAAATTCTGTAAAAGATGCTAGCCACATAATAGGTACAGTGGCATATTTTGCTCGAATAACTTCCTTCAATATTCAGTCCTCCATTGGCTTTGGTGATTTTATTGGAGTGTCTATTTCAAAACTTTTCCAGATGAATATTGTGGAAAGAGACCAGTTTGTCACAACTCATTAAGCACACCATGTGGCATTAGGACATATTTCCAGTTTCCTTTTATTTATGAAGTCACGTAGATAGACTGTGGTGACCTTGAATGAACAAAGTCGTTTCATCGGTCGCAAAGGATACTGATTTCAGGGAAATAAAGGAAAATTTGAGGAGTAATAAGAAAACGATTACTTCTTGATTATCATTTTAATGACTTAAAATTGCATTTCAAGATTATAAAAATGACCCATTGGTTTTCTGCTTTGGGTTTTTCTTTTTTGCTGTTTTATACACCATTATCTTGGAGATTACGGAGAGTGAGATGGAAAACCACTTAGGCATCGTAATCTTCCCCAACATAAGCTTCTCTGCACTGCAAGTAGTTCTGTTTCACTCCAAGGAGAAAAAGATAATTTGGCTTTTGAGAAGTTGTGAATAGAATATTTATTTCATTTATAAATATCCCTTTTTGAGAAACAAGAGCTTGTTATACTTTGCTCAAATTTTTTTAAAAATTTAATACATAATATTGTTGAAGTTGGCAATCATATTTAATTCATTTAAAGTACAGAAGGCAATTTAGAAAATCAAGTTCTGTTCTTATTTTGTCATGTTTGTTATTAGTTCCTTGACAGCTGCATTTGAAAGCAGGTTGCAGCTCAATCCACTTTTAATTTGGACCCAGTATAAGTACTGTACATAGCTTTGCATCTGCCTGTCCCCATTGTTTACAGCATCAAATTAGTCAAGCAGATTCTTTCTTTATTTTCAAGACAACCCTGAGACTTGTTTGCATTCTGCTATCCTCAGATGCTTTAGATCTGCTCTGAACTCTGGACATTTCTAGTTCTTTCCTGAGTGTCTATTTCTGTTCCTGTTGCTTTTTGAAGGATACAATACTATCATAGCAACGTGTCTCTTTTATACCTGCTCTCGGCCGTCTGTCTTTGCCCTCAGACCCTCTGTGTCAGTGCAGGTCACAGGCGGTTTTATGGACCTCCTTCTTCAGCACCCCAGGAAATGTGTGGGAGGGTGTGTGGAGGGAGTCTGCCCCACTCCTCATGCGGCAAGCATAGCTTTTAAGAATTTGCATTCTTAAAGAAGCTACCTGGAGGTTTGCTTTGCACAGGACCACCCCGCCTCTGTTTACACTGCAGCCAAAATGATCTCAAAATGCAACTGTGGTTTTTTACTAGTCAAGTCATCCTTTCTGTATTCTCACAGAACACAGAGGGTGCTGCAAGAATAGTAGTATTCTCAACACACCGTTGTAAAGCAATTATACTCCAATAAAGATGTTTAAAAAAAAAAAGAATAGCAGTATTCTCATGTTGCAGTAACAATCCTGTTCTCAAAAAGAATTTTTATACCTTGATTTCATACGTCTTCTTCAATACATTCATACAAAAGTTAAGTACATTTATCTTCCAATTTCACATTTGGGTGATTAATTGGTTAACACCCATCGGCCCTGTTCCAACACCTTGTCTGTTTTTGCCCAGCACAAAATGTAAACACGAGAGAACCTCTTTAAGAATGAATACTGTCACTGCACTGAGGATAACTAGTGAGCTTCTGCCCTTATCAGGCTCATGGGCTATTGAAAATGGCAGCCTGCAAGTGAGTCATTACAGGGCAAAGAAATAATAAAAATTGACAATAATACGAAAGTATGGACACGAGCAAAGAGCTTGTCCTTGGCAGAGTCTAGAAAGTGCCATTTGAGCTCTGAGATTCCACAGTGAGGATCACAGTTAGCTTTTTAGCTAATTCTTCTTTCTCCTTCAATTCCCAATTTTTACTTTTTCTTGAGTCTTGTATGATGCCCTGCTGTCTACTTTCAGAAACCAGAACATCCCAGGCCACGGTTACCCATTTGGTGTGTGATTGTGCCAGGCAGGTGGCAAAGAAGGAGAAGGGCATCTGATGAGCATCTTCTTTGTGGCTGGTCATCTCAGGGGATGTTAAAGGATAAAGGGATTATTTCCTGTCTCCACCACTTGCTATCCATGTATCCCAAGCATATTTTCATTTGTCTTCCCAAGCCTCAATGTTACCATATGTTAAATGGAATGATACAGTTTCTCTCAGAGAGTTATTATGAGATTTAAATAAAATGGTGACTGAAACGGTCAGCACAGTGCCAGGTATATAGATGACAAGTGTTTAGTAAGTGTCATGTTTGTAGTAGTAGCCATACTGTTGTGGAAGCTGAAAGGAGAACGCTATATGGGGACGTTTTTAAGAGCCTCCCAAAGAAAGAGAACACTACCAGGAGTATATTAAAATTATTCTTTCTTGGGCTTCCCTGGTGGCGCAGTGGTTGAGAGTCCGCCTGCCGATGCAGGGGACACGGGTTCGCGCCCTGGTCAGGGAAGATCCCACATGCCGCGGAGCGGCTGGGCCCGTGAGCCATGGCCGCTGAGCCTGCGCGTCTGGAGCCTGTGCTCCACAACGGAAGAGGCCACAACGGTGAGAGGCCCGCGTACCGCAAAAAAAAAAAAAATTATTCTTTCTTGCCACCAAGAAATAGCAATCCAGTTCTCAGAAAGAATTTACACCTTGATGTTTAGCCGCAACCCCGCACTATAGTGCCGCTCTCATCTTAGGGTTCTATTATTGTTTGTATTTTACTTATCTTAATTGTGTAGGTTTTGCTTTATTACAGTTGTGAGTTCTCTAAAGGCGTTAGAACAGTGTGGGTAAGAGTTGAATACTTGTATCAGAGGTACCTAGGAGTGAATTAAATGTGGAACATCTTCAGAAGTTCTTACAGCCACCGCAGGTTATATAACACTAGTTTATATCATCAGGGGAAGTTTCTACTTTGCATTTATATTTGTCATCTCATGGCAGGAATATATAAAACTGCTGTAAGAATCTGCTTTTGTATTCCCTCTACTTTAAATGTGCTTCTTTGATCTTTAAACAGCTCACTTCTTTTTACAGATTTCACCTTCTGTGAAAGTTCAATCTAGAGTAGCTACTCATCGCATCAGCCCATTTTAATTCTCTGCACAACAGAGAATCTTTGTTTTTCATTTGTTTGTTCATTTCTTCAATCATTCATTCATTCCCAACGAGAAGAACCTCTTCTGTCCCATTTATAAGATATGACTGTTTTGAACACACTGTTGTTGAATCCTTCTGTGTGAGAGCACTGGTACAGGACAGAGCGGTGACCCAGCTCTCATGGAGGCAGATGTAAGGGAGGAATATACTGTTCAAACAAACAAATGAAAGTGAATAAGCATGTAATCCCAAATTGTTGTGAGTGCCCGGGAGGACAAGAACCTTGTCCTAACTGGGGAACTGGGGAAGGTTCACTGAGCAAGGATAAATTCACTTGAGATCTGAAGAGTGAATACAAGTCACGTAAGTACTTGAAGGGCAAACATCGTGCTGTGTGCGTGAACCCATGCTTGGTGATTTGGGATGGGAGGGTTGTTTCAGGCCTTTGTGGCAGCAACAAAGCCTATGATGGGAGCACATCCAGGGAACTAGAACAAAGCCTCGTGGGTTGGTGCCCAGAGGAGAAAGGAAGGAGTCTAAGGCAGAGCTGAGGTCAGCATGACAAATCACCAAGATAAGGAAGAGCCAGTAGAGGTGACTGAAAAGTGGTGGCCATTCAGGAGGAAAGGAGACTAGCATAGAGTGTAGTCATGGAGAAACCCAGAGAGAGATGGGTTTCAAGAAGCCACTGTGTTAATTCTGATGAGAGGTCAAGGAAGATATGAAGAAAGAGATGTCCTTGGGTAGTACAGCAGCATAGTTTGTGGGTGATCTTGGCAAGTGCTGCCTCTGGGATATGATGGGGTCAAAAACCCAACTGGAGTGAGTTGTAGACAGAGCACAAGGTGAGGAAGTGAAGGTAGCAACTCAAAGCAACTATTTGAAGAAGCTTAGAATATACTCCTCCACCTGCCTGAAGATGAAATTTTTGAGCCAACATGCTCATCCAGTCAAGAAAAACGTACAAAAAGGCTTGAAAGAAACCAAACGAAATGATTCTTATCCAGCTAAATTTTTGTCTTGTTTTGGAAGATCTCCTTGAGGTCACCTACTCATGAGGAAAGACCCCGTAAAAAACATCTCCCACTCTCTAAGACTTGGTATCTGGTGTTTTTCTTTCTTTTCATGCCACAGAATAACAGACTAAGAAAATATGCCTTTGAACTGAAAATGAATGACCTGACCTATTTTGTGCTGGCGGCTGAAACGGAGTCAGATATGGATGAATGGATCCACACCCTCAGCCGCATCCTGCAGATCAGTCCTGAGGGGCCCCCTCAGGGCAGAAGGAGCGCCGAGCTCACGGAGCTGGGGCTGGGTGAGCGCTTGCACACCCGCCTCCCTTCCCTCGCGAAGCGCGACCTGCGCATTTGGTTCATTTCAGCTGCTACTAACCCTGGTAGCCGTCAGGTGTAGCTCTTCCAACCCTGAGCTATTGGCTCCAGGAAATCACACATAAACCTTTACTTTTACTCAATAGTGAGAGTCACCACACAGAGGTATGATTTTGAGTTGCCAGGCAATGCTTTGAGGCTGACTGACATCCAGCAAATGATGTTAGGAACCATTGGTCAGCGGTATTAAACATATACCCATGTTTGATGGGGTGTTAGAGGGGAGATTCTGTGTTTTATAGCCTTTCATTAAATTTAATTAATGAACATAATACTCTGTAATGGCAAATATGCATTCTTTCCTTTTAGTTGAAAGGCATCTTTCACGTGTGCTTTTGACCCCACTGAGATCAGCCTAGTTGTGGAAGTTCCATAAATTTTGCATGGTATTAGAGATTTTTATAAGACAGATTTTTTTTTTCTGCCCATCCTAATTCTTTCGTATAATTCTAATCCAGGCTAGGCAAAGAGAAGAGAACAAGAGAGAGGAAAGAGAGGATGAAAAGTAGGGGAGAAAACAGGTCTGTAGCCACATCGAAGACAAGTTCACCTTCAGAGTCAGTGATCCTAAAGGAAAATTACTTTAAGACATTTTTCATAACACATGATATGTTATTTTAAGTCTTTAAGTTCTGATAGTCTATGTATCATATGAGAGAGTCATGAGATAATAAGGAAGAAAATTACGGTTGACTTTAATACAACTGCTATATATCATAGTAAGTGTTTTACATTCATGATTTGCTTAATAATAATCAACTAGAATATTAATGTTTACAGAGTCTTAGAGAGTTTAACTGAAGCTAGAATGTGGGCTTTACATTGATGGCCTAAGAGTCAGAATTATCCAAAATATATTCATATATAAGAAAACTTTAGTATGCATTAATGAACTGCAACAAAACAACCTCAAGTATAAATGTAGTATTGTAAGGGTCCATAGTTCTTATGGGGACAGGATGGTGTCATGGAGAGTGTCCCAAAATGAGCACCAGGACATCTGATTTCCAGGCCCAGTTCATCTAACAATACGGAATACTAGAGCCAGGACACAGTGAAGCCGTCTCCTCACCAATATCCATCCCCCATCGCTCTTGAGTCTAACCCAGTTGTTATATGTCACAGGCTAGAGAAATGAATGATTCATGAGAACTGTTTAATAACCCAGTCTTGATGTATCTTTTCAAGATTCCCTGGATAATTCTATAACATGTGAATGCACACCGGAGGAAACAGATTCTTCAGAGAACAACCTACACCCAGACTTCACAAAAGTAATAAAGCTGACATTTTTCTATGAAAATAAATTCGAATTACTTATTCTCTATTGCTTTCATGGAAAAGATATAAATGCTTTCTTTTAAGATTTAGGCTAAGAAACACAACAGTCAGAAAACAAAAGCATGTTTCTATAAGATTGTGGAGTGTTAATGGATGATATTAAAGCAGTGCTGATACTAAGGGGCTATTTCTTGGCCATGTGGATGGAGCTGGGCCGTAAGTTTCTGGCTATTTAGATACTAAGAACTAACACAGTTTTCTCTGTAGTACCTCACAGAAACTGAAGAGATTGTCAAAGCAACTCGAAACACGGAGAGACTAAATCTGTTCTTGCTGGATCCAGATATAGATGTAAGTCGGAATTCTCTCTAAGCAGACATGAACTTGATTTGTACAGTTGTGGTTTATAATTTAGAATCTCTTTTCTTATGATGGATGTTTGAGTAAAACTTTCCAAACTTTTTTAGAGCTTGAAACTTCAGAAGAAGGATCTTTTAGAACCTGAGTTTGTGATCAAACCATTTGAAGAAAAAGCTGCCAAGAGAATCATGATCATTTGTAAAGCTCTCAACTTAAACCTTCAGGGATGTGTTACAGAGAATGAAAACGATCCGGTAACAAATGTAAGTTTCTCTTCTGTTACATCCTATAGATCGGCCAACATCACACCACCCTCGTTAAAATCTTTTATTCAGTTCTTGATCTTTCCAGGCACTGAGTTCACACCCTCAATTGTACCAAGGGTATGATTGACAGCATTTTTCCACATGAAAAAATGCACGTTATGAAGTGGAATTATCAATATACTGCCATAGAATTTCCCTTTTAACTTAAAGAAGTATCGAAGGGATTATGCTCTAGGGTTCTTTCCATTAAATCAGCACAGTGGTTCAGAGTTTCCAAAGATATTGTTTGTATCTTCTTGGAACTTGAGATGGCTTTTAAATTGATATTTTTATTTTAATATTTATATGTTAATTTTCATGTATATTAGAGAATATTTATAATGAGCAAATCAACCCTGTGTTTTCACAGCTACTACTGCTTATGACAGGGCTAAATAGTGAATCAAGTAAAATAATATTATATAAATATTAAATAAATGATACACGTAAATGGTAGGGAAAAAAAGGTGCTTCACTGATATTTGGGAAACATCACTGTGCTCATTAAATCCATACAAGATTCCTCTTCTTACCAAGTGGGCTCTCTTGAGAGTTCACTCTTAGTATTCTAGGGGACAATTCTATACTAATTGTAAAGGTATGTGTGGGAAGGGGACATTTTGTGAGCATAAATATTATTAAAGGTTGAACTATAAAAAAGGAAATAAAAAGCACTCATAATCCTAACATCAAAAATCATTGTTAATATATTGGTGTGTTCCCTTTCATTCTTTGTTAATGCGTTCTGTCCTCATTTCTAATAAAGCATCCCTCAATTGTCATCTTTCACCTTAAAGAAGAAAACTTATTTCCAGATCCATGATACAAGCCACAATGGCTTTTAAAAGGTAGAAACAGCATTAAGTTTTCTCTGCAGATTGCACACACAATCCTATACATACCTTTATTTATGAGGTAGTAAAACGAGCCTTGTTAGTTTGACAGTGAGTAGCTGGCAAAATGGGTGAACTCTTTCGAAAGACTGTAACCTACTGCCCTTGGGTCTTCAGGCACCTCACTGGTTGTCTGAGCCTCCTTCTTCCTGGTGTAATAGCAGGACAACGGTACATGCTATGGACCTCAGGAGAATGAGGAGAATCAAGTAACAAATGCCTGACTTTCCCACTTACAAGTTGTTCCATGCTGGGCAAGTGGCTTAACCTCAGTCTCCTCTTCTGAAAATGGGGAAAATAATAAGACTATTTCAAATAGCCGTTGTGAAGATTAAATATCGTGCCAGGCGCATAGCAAGCATTCATTAAATATTAACTCTTATTCTAATATCTGGGAAATTGCTTTGAAATTTGTAAATACAATGCATGCAAGGTATTGATGTTTTCAGTGTTACCTGTGAGATTCTTGTTGACAAGTAAGCTAAAATTGAAATTTGTTGCCAGTAAGAATCTTCCTCCAAAATGAAGCTTCCTCATGTTCTATAACTGTAACTGTGCACGAGGTTATGTGAGACTGAAAGCAGTTGAAGTTGAGTTTACTCATTCTCCAGCAAATATTTATTCGGTGCACCTACTAGACCCAGACTTGTTCTAAGTACTGGAGAAACAGCAGGGAACGAAATCAACAAGGTCCCTAGCCTCTTGAAGATTAGATTCTTTTGGAAAAGGACCGAAGTAAATAAGGAAACGAATAAATTAACAAGATAATTTCACATTGTGCAAAGTTCTTTAAAATAAATCAATATAAGGAGATGTGATACAGAGGAACTGGGAAGAAGGCTGCTGTAGGTGGGGGGCCATGGGAGGCCTCTCTGAGCGGGTGGCATTTGAACAGAGAGCAAAGGTTAAGAAGGATAAAACGTCAGGTCAGGGCAAAAGATTCCAGGCAGAAGAAAGAACAAGCGTGAATGCCCTGAGACAGGTAAGTCTTGGCAAGTTCTGGGAACTGAAAGGAGATAGTGAGGGGAAGGGCAGACCAAGATGCGGTGGGAGAAACAGTACAGGGTAAGATTAGGTAGGGTCTTATAAGCTGTAGCAAAGAGTTTGGATTTATCCTAGATGTGAGTGGAGGCTATTCAAGAGTTTAAAGCACATTAAAATGGTGTGATCTAATTTGTGTTTTTAAAACATCTCATTAGAAGAATGGATTGGAGGAAACAAGAGTTGAACAGGGAAAGCAGTTAGAAGTCTATTACTATAGTTCACATCATGGCTTGCGCTAGGGCTGGCAGGGAGGAGGGAGAGGAATGGATGGATTTGACTGCTGTTTTGTAAATTGAACTGACAGTTTTTTCAGATACATTGCATATACAGGAGAAGAGGAAGGGAAATCTGAAGGATGAGTCCCTAGTTTTTGCTTTAAGCACTTAGACGCATGGTGGTGCCATTACTAAGAGGACAAGACTAGAGGAAGAGCAGATTTGGGGGATACAGGCCAAAAAGTACATTATGGATATGTGAAGCTTAATCAGACTATTAGATATCCAAGTAGAGATGGCCAGTGGGCAGATTCAAAGACAAGTCTGGAACTCAAAGGAATGGCATGAACAGAGATACAAATCTGGAAGTCTGGTACAGGCAGTGACCTAGAGGGAATCATGTAGGAATTTCTATGTGTGTAGGAAACATTTAATGGATGAATAGAGAAGTGACCAAAGAAGAATCAGAAGGAATGTTCATGGATGTAGAGATAAACCAGGAAAGAGTGGGTCATGATGCCAAGAGAGAAAGGGTCAGCTATGTGGAATGGTGCTGAGAAGCTGAATAACATGAAGCCAGAGAGCAGCGTGGTAGATGTGGCCACATGGAGGATGACTATAGCAGAAAAAAAACTTCCTTGGAGTGAAAATGTTAGGAGGAGTAATCAGAACATACTTTCATTTGGGAGTAAAAAAAAAAAAACTAGAAACTTAGTTCTTGAAACTATATTTGGAAATATCAGGAAAATTTAACCTAAATTATAATGTCACTTAATCTAAATTTTATTAAATAAAAACAAATGCTTTTTTTGACCGGGTACATCCTTAAGCGTGATTAAAAGCTCAAATTTAGAAACGGAAACTCAAAGATAATGGGCTTTTCTTTCCAGTGCCAGGGGCATATGGCTCCTTCCACATGGCTTCGTATCTTTATACTAAAGCCCATATTCAGAAGCTAAATGTGTGTATTTGGGCCAATCTCGCCAGGCAAGAGAACATGTGCAGCTCAAAGAGCAGCTTTTGTGAGCCTTTCTTGTGTGTCAGGCCATAGGAATAAGTCAATTCCAAGTGCTCTGTATGTCTGTATTATTTTTAATTTATTTTACAGTTGATACACATGTTTAAAAACTAGGAAAAGAATTTTAAGAATAATTTCATAGTGCTTATAAACAATAATGTAAAAAAAACGAGAAAACAGCCTCACCTGAACTCAAGTGCAATTTTGTTTGTAATGGCATTGTTTTAAAAAATCTTTGTGTGATTATTCAGTGACACTCATTAATGTCGCTATTTTTAAATTCATTGTTTGTAACTCTGTGAGCATGCTTTTAAATTAATTGAAATATTTCTCCAAGTTGATGAAGAGCCAGCAATTCAGTAGCATTTAATGGATGAGCTTCTAAAAAGACACCCTAAAAGGACTTTTTCACGATGGGGAAACAATACTTGACAGCGTGTAATTTTTTAGTCAGTCAGTTGAAAACCAAATTCAAGTTGATGGTTTTAGAGTATAAAATATTTCTTTGAAAATAAAAATTGATTCCAAAAATCTAAACTAATAAAACTGCTTCACAGCTGAGCTACATTTAAAATGCCATGTTCTTGAATTTTTTTAAAGAGAAGTACAGAATTCTAAACATCAGAAACCTATGACTTAATTTGTTAGGCTTTGAAGGTTCTAAACAACACTTTATTGAAAAGCTGGTGATTCAAAAAGTAAGATGTGAATGGCCATCATCAAAAAGTCTACGAACAATAAATGCTGGAGAGGGTGTGGAGAAAAGGGAACCATTTTTCACTGTTGGTGGGAATGCAAACTGATGTAGCCACTATGGAGAATAGTATGGATGTTCCTTAAAAAACTACAAATAGAACTACCATATGACCCAGCAATCCCACTACTGGGCATATACCCTGAGAAAACCATAATTCAAAAAGACACATGTACTCCAATGTTCATTGCAGCACTATTTACAATAGTCAGGACATGGAAACAACCTAAATGTCCAATGAGATGAATGGATAAAGAACATGTGGTACATATATACAATGGAATATTACTCAGCAATAAAAAGGAACGAAACTGGGTCATTTGTAGAGATGTAGTTGGACCTAGAGTCTGTCATACAGAGTGAAGTAAGTCAGAAAGAGAAAAACAAATATCGTACATTAACGCCTACATGTGGAATCTAGAAAAATGGTACAGATGAAACTATTTGCAAGGCAGGATAGAGACACAGACGTAGAGAACGGACATGTGGACATGGTGGGGGGGAAAGGGGGTGGGATGAATTGGGAGATTGGGATTGGCATATACACACTACCAGGAGTAAAATAGATAGCTAGTGGGAACCTGCTGTACAGCACAGGGAGCTCAGCTCGGTGCTCTGTGATGACCTAGATGGGTGGGGGGGGGGGAAGTCCAAGAGGGAGGGGATATATGTATACATATAGCTGATTCCCTTCATTGTACAGCAGAAACTAACACAACATTGTAAAGCAATTTTACTCCAATTAAAAAATGGTAAGATGTGACATTTAAGTTGAAAAGGTGGATTGGAGGGAATAAGTGAAGCACCATATGAGCTTTAATTCCTGATGGATTATCAAAGTAGGTGATTTATTTCCATTCACGAAGCAGAAATGAAAATCCAAAGGCAGCAATTCACAAAAACTTAATAAGGATTTTTTTCCTTTGACCTTCAATGTGTTTGGGGTTCCTACCTGAGTTATTTTCACATAATTTTGTATTTTTCAACTCTTAGCAGACTACCACTGCCACAAACCAAGAGTTTTTCTAAACTGAATTTATAAAATATGAAACTTTTCCATTTTGTCTTATTTTTAAAAACTAATGCGTTGAATTTTATGTGTAATTTAACAGTAAGGGAGCTGGCAGGTGTTGCTAATATTAAGGAATTAAACTAATACCCCTGTTATAAACTAGCCATAATCCTGCATTTCAGAGAACACAAGATACTTATTAAACATTCAGCAAAATCCACAGCATGAGTGAGTCTGTACCGTGATGAACTTGGTCACAATGTATTTTTTGTATGTAACCTGCTTATTCACAGAATCCTGGTGGGTGAGAGGCCTCAATTCAAAATTAAGTAGCATAAACAAAAGTTAAAAAACTTTTTATAAGTATATTCATTTTAAGAAGCCTGTAGTTAATTACATATGTATGTATTTACATATATATGTATGTATATAATTATTCATGCGTGTATTTATGTACTTGTGTCTGTGTATATAATTACATATACATATATCGGGTTGGCCAAAAAGTTCGTCCGTTTTTTCCATGTTACAGAAAAACCTGAGTGAACTTTTTGGCCAACCAATATTTATTTCAGTCCTTGTTTTATTTAATTTCTCTTGCATTTGACATTTTTCTAGTTGAAAATTATTTCTTTCTGAAATCTTTCTTCTTCTGTGTCTTTGATAACTCTGGCAGCGTTAAAAAAGTTTTAGCAGCTTGTTTTTAAAAATCTCTCTCCACTCCCCCATCTCCTTTGTAAGCTGTTTTCCCTACTCCAGTCTCTATCCTGTGCATGTTCATATTTCCTAGGATGCCATTCTGATTCTCTTCTTGTTATTTAATGCCTTGAATAGGCACCCACATCCCCAAATCTTTTGGGTTCAGATCTCCAGCCCAATTTCCTTGACTGGGCTCAAGACTCATATATCCAGCTGCTCCTGGAAAGTCCTACAGATGATTCTCTGTACCAAAGAATTCATCTTTGTATCCTCATCCTATATATCAGTGAATGGCATTGTCATTCACTTAGTTTCCTATAGCCCCAAACCTGGGGATTTTCTTTTATTCATGCCTTGTGAACCCTCTCTCCAACTAACCAGCACACGCACACAAGCAATGGATTTCCAAGCCTTTTGGTTGTACCTTCCTAACGTTTCTCAAATGTATCTTCTGCAAACACATCCTAACTTTTTGTTTCCACTCTGATCTCACTCTAAACCTGTGTTTTTTCATGTCTTTGTGACTTTGCCATGTCACTCCACCTACTAGAAGCCCTTTATAACTTCCCCTTTACCAAATTTCTACTTCTTTAAAACTCAAGCAAGAAACTTTCCCTTCCCTTTCCATCTTCCTTTACCTTCGCATTTGCCCTTTACTTCACATCTTCCTCTTCCTTCCTAGCACGGTAGTAAGAGGTTAAGGGAGCAATCACACAGAGGCTTGGAAATTGAGTGAGCATAAGAATCCCAGATGATGCGGGGGAGAAAGCCACGTGGAGGCGCAGAGGTGCCACGCCCTTGGATTTGTCAGGATCTGGGGCACTGTGCAGGCTGGTGCAGAGGAGATAGCTAGATAGCTACTATGGTTGGGAGACCGGTTACTCTGAACAATAAGTAAACTAATTGAACAAATAAGTAAATAAATAAATGATAATGAGTCAGGTTTTTCACTATTGGATGAAATACTCGCAAATATGTAAAAGGGAAAGGCTAGAAAGAATCTTTGAGTATTTGGATTGGAAATGGAGGTATGACATGAACCCATGAGTTTTTAATAAATATTCATGTACTGACAGAGATAGAGACATCATTGTAGCTGTGAATATTGTGTATATGTATATATATGTGTGTGTCCCGGAAACAATGAGCATAGATAGCAAGCACCCAGATCTTGGTTTCTAAGTGTCACCCTCACTACAGGAACCAGGGCTCTTTGGAGGAATGGCTGGGACATGGAAAGTATAAGATGAGCCTGGAACATCTTGTTGGGTAAAGAAAGAGGTGCTCCAAAAATGATGCTCATCTACCATAAAGACACAGGAGCTACACTGAAGGGTGTACCTCTAGCCAAATCTGAGACAAGTCGAGTATCACTATAAATAACGACAGTAAGAGATGGAAATTTATTGAATAAAATAGCAATCCATGAGTCTATACATACATATATATATATGTACATATGTGTGTGTATGTGTATATAAATATATATATGAATAAAAAATGAGGGGTAAAGGAAAGCTCATTGTTACAGTAAAATACCGACTAATGTAGAAAGAATGATGGAACTAGAAGATCACCATTGGTAGCCATCATAGTGGCAGTTGGTTCCAGTGGGAGTTACGAATGGTGGATTGGGTTCGATGAGTAGCAGGACATTGGTGTAATCTCAGAAAATATTTCCAAAAAGGCTAATCACTTACCAAAGGGAAAATGGTGACGTTATAATGGAGAAAACTGGAAGATGCCAACAAGACCAGAATATTTAGGTTAACATTACCTAAAGTCGTGGGAAAGTTGACTTTTTGTGCCCTTGCTATAATGAACTATGAAAATCAAATGTCACACTGGGGTATTACTGCCCCCAAAAGCATGACCTGAGTCAGATCATGCGGCATCATCAGGGATACTGACATTGCAGATATTTCTGAGAGAGCAAAGGAAATAACTGGAAGGTTTTGTAAGGTTGAATCATACATGTATTACAACGTATGAAAAAGAATATTTGGCAGGAAAAGTAGAATGAAGAAACCAACGAAATACAGTTCTGGGATCTGAGGGGCCTGATAGTGGAAGGGATTCTGGGAACTTGCCTACAAATATTGTATTTTATATGTTATATATAAAATCTACAATACATGCAATATAATATATAGTATTATATCTATTACATATAACATATTATATATAGAAATATTGTACTATATATAAGTAGTAGTATTTTATCTACTGCCTTATTAAATAATGTACTTAAGGAGGCTATCCCCTGTGTGATGATTTTATGTCAAAACCATCAATTCTTTCTTTTTCTCCAAAGATTGAGCCTTTTTTTGTGAGTGTGGCACTTTATGACCTCAGAAACAGCAGGAAGATTTCTGCTGATTTCCACGTGGATCTAAACCACACTGCTGTCAGGCAGATGCTCTCAGGGGCTTCCGTGGCTTTGGAAAATGGAAACATAGACACTGTCACTCCAAGACAATCAGAAGAACCTCATGTCAAGGGATTTCCAGAGGAATGGCTAAAATTTCCAAAGCAGGTTGCACTTTTGTTTATCTGTCATGGGAGGGAAAATGCTTGTTCCATTTTTCTTACCAGTAGATTACATAAGATGAGCAGTTTTCCAAATAAAAATCCCCCTTAAAGCTGTACTCTAAAAAAGTAGAATTTTGGGGGCTTCCTCGGTGGCGCAGTGGTTGAGCGTCCGCCTGCCGATGCAGGGGACACGGGTTCGTGACCCGGTCCGGGAAGATCCCACATGCCGCGGAGCGGCTGGACCCGTGAGCCATGCCCGCTGAGCCTGCGCGTCCGGAGCCTGTGCGCCGCAACGGGAGAGGCCACAACAGTGAGAGGCCCGTGTACCGCAAAAAAAAAAAAAAAAAAAAAAGTAGAATTTTGTAAATGTCTTCAGTGTGGTTTCCTAGATGCTTATTAGCTGTTTTCTTTGTACATAGGCTATATTTTCTGTAAGCAATCCACATTCTGAAATTGTTTTGGTGGCCAAAATCGAAAAAGTACTGATGGGAAACATTGCAAGTGGTGCTGAACCTTATATTAAAAATCCAGACTCCAACAAGGTAATGCATGATCTTTGTATAAATAATTTCAATTACTTTCAAGAAATAAAATCACACTGCCTTGATGAATTATCAAGTTTGATAAATGTAAGTCTTGAAGTATTCCCTTGTTAGTGAAATGAGTATCAAACAGGAAATTTTTAAAGTATATATTCTCGGCTTATGTTTTTTGATCCTGCAATTTCTGCTGAGACTCTATTGGTAGAAATAAATTTAAATGTGGATAAAACTTTAACCCCCAAAGACTAAAGTGTTAACAATAATGAAAAGTTAGGATTAATCTGACTGAAAACAAGGGAATACAGTTTACTAAGACATCAGCAATGCTTATGCTGAACTAAGTGAAAAAGTAAAATAGTTGTTTACCAAATTTTAATAACACCTAAATGAAGAAAGAAAGAGGAAAGAAAATACCATAAGTTCTTTAAATGGTGGGACTGCAGGACATTTTTTCTGCTTTCTTTTTTCAATTACCATATTTTCTACAATAATTGAATGTTATTTTTTAATAGAAAATAAATACAAAAAGTTTATATTATCCACACAAAGAAGTATATTGGGAAAATAATGCATAATAATTGAATTTGAGGGTGTGTGACAGTTTAGGGCAGTGTTTAACATATTTATGAGAATCCTTTAATTCAGGGTTTAGCAAACTATGGAGTGCAGGCCAAGTCCAGCCTGTCACCTATTTTTGTAAATAAAGTTTTATTGAAACGCGTTACACTCATTCATTTAAGATTGTCTTTCCTGCTATAGCAACAGAGTTGAGAGGCTGAGACAGAGACCACATGGCCCACAAAGCCCTATATATTGGATTGGCCAAAAAGTTTGGCCAATCCAATATTTACCGTGTGACTCTTTACAGAACAAGTTTGCTGACCTCTATCATAACAAATAAAAATAAATACAGGACAGCCTGTGACTGTAAATTTCATAACTCTTTCCATTCAATATTTTAAGGTCTTTTAAGTCAGAAAAAAAGTTGGTATTCCAAGATAAGGGTGTTTTCTACATTTGAAATTTCTAAACTAAAAAGAAAGAAAGCGTTATACACCAGTTTGAACACAGAGGATATCATTTGTCTCTTTACAAGGTAGAATCTGTGAGCCAGTAAAGCAGAATTTTACTGAGTTTCAATATAACACGGAAAAGTATTTATTAATATTTTACATGGACTGTTTGTACAGTGATGTTCTAAACAACATTTAATATTTCTTTTTTTCCTTAGTATGCACAAAAGATACTAAAATCCAACAGGCAGTTCTGCAGCAAGTTGGGGAAATACCGCATGCCATTTGCTTGGGCGGTGAGGTAGGTTGACAATTGCAACCAACAGAATAGAAGTGCATTTATTGTCTGCATTGAAAGCTTCATTTTTGAACGCATCTGTGTTACCCGTTATTTTTAACATACCAACACCTAGAAGAATGCTAGTGTGTTCATCTTCAAAAATACCTTAAGCTCCCCAGAAACGTGTGTTTTACAAGATAATTTAGCAAGCCAGCTCATAATAGACTGGGACCATGACATGTGTACAGTGTACGCATGACCAGGTATGCAGTGGGTTCTTGGTAGGATCAAAGCCAAGTCATAACTTCTTTATTATGTATATTTGGTCTAACAAACTCTTGATGTTTTATCAGTCCCAAGGGTTTGGTGCGCATAAAATTCAGATGGAAGCACTGTGATTTCTTATGCAGCTGCATGTTTTCATCCGTGCAGAAAACACGGGTCTATATATGGATGTTCAAATGAAACCATCAAATTGATCACTTGAACTCTCTTTGATTTTGGTACTGATTAGCATAGCCGCATTTCTCAGTACCGGTTGACTCTCTGATAGAAATGCTGAGTTAATGTGGACACTGATGGTGGAACCATCCACCTGGACATATAACCTCTGCATAAAGGACAAAAAATGCCTTTCAGATCTGTTTAAACATCAATTACTACTGTCCTTGTCAGTCTCTTTGTGTCTTTATCAGTACATGAATTTCTTAAAGGAGGAAGTGCCTGCCATAGATATATGGGAAAAGGTCAGCAATGGACAATCTGAATGAACTAAAAAAGATAAATTAGTGCTACAAAACAAGCAGCCTGTTAGGTATCCATTTGAATGTTGATTATACCCCAATGCAAATAACTTTAAAATCCAGAAGGACGGGAGAACTAGTTAGTTATGTCATTTTCAGGTCTCACAGTATCCAGTTATGGTGCATAACCAGAGTAAACTCACCACTATTTTTCATAATGTTGATGTAGTTATTGAAAGTTGGAGACACGTACAGGGAGGAGGAATGTGGAATTAGGGGCAGTGGTAAACCAAGGTAGACTCATGCCGTCTCTAGGGATTGATTTGCCCCAAGGCAGCCCTCTCAGTTGAGGAGGAAGAGACCAGGCCCAGGAATCTGAAAACGTGGTCCAGATCAGATACCACTTATAGATTGTAGCTTTGGTCAAGTTTCCTTTCAGAGTCTCAGGGTCTCCATTTGCAGAATGAAACTAACAAGACTGCCTTGTGAACAGTAGTGCAATCACGAGTGCAAAGGCATCTGTCATAAAGTAGATCATAAATATCATTTTATCCCCCTTTAATATCTCTCCCTACAGGGACAGCTAATGCTAGGATATTCTTCATGAATAAAAGATATTATTTAGAAATACTGAACCCTTATGATGAACTTAATTCATTTTATTCCTTGTAAGCTTCAAGAAAAAAGGATAACATTGTAATTCGCAGGTCAAACTTTTCATGTTGATAAGTATTCTCAGTTCCCACAAGATAATCAGTTGGGGCAAGTAGAGGGTAGAGGCAGGATGTCCTTTGGCAAAGTGAAATATTCCAATATATCAAAATTATAATAGTGAACACATTTTCTCTTTAAGGTTTGAGGATTATTCTGAGTATTGTTATAAGCAGACGTTTTAGAGCCAGAGCTGGTTTCCCTATCTCAACTCTATTTACCAGTGAATTTAGCAAGAACTTAGAGTCTCAATTTTTTTGAATGTATGAAGAGGAATTCGAATACCTAATTTACTATTTCAGGGATTAACAAGTACATATATTTATTCAATAAAAGATAGCCATTATTAGAAGCCATTAGTCTAATATGATTATTAAAAGTCCCTGCGGAGATCATATCCACCCAAACAAGCCTCCTTTTCAGGTAAATTTGGGACAATGAAGAATAATGTGGGAGAAAGAAGTAAAAGAATTACCCGTTATTGAAAGAACCTGAGCAGTTAGGAAAAGCAGTAACAACCCTACTTTGAAGTTGTCTTGGTCAAATGTGCTAGAGGAAAGATAGATGAAGTTTCTAGGGAGGCTGATAATATTACTAGCTATTGAAGTAATTATGTCTAGGGCAGGAAAGCCAACAAAACCACAGGCTCACGCTACATGAATGCCTGGTCACTGGTTTGGTTGTAGACCAGGGAACAGTGTACACCGCCAATTTGTGCCCATAAATGTATGATTTACATTTACATAAACATCTCTAGTAATGTATGATTTACATTTACATAAACATCTCTAGTAACTGAGAAAAATGATCAGCAGCACAGTTCTCAAGATTTCATGTTAGACCCCTTGGAATATCTAACCACAAAAACAAGTACAAGATCCAACCAAAGAAGATTTTAATTTTCCCTCCACAGTGTGGAAACTGCTTCAAGTGAATGTTGACCAAATTAGAGAAGGGCTCTTGCTACTCATGTCGTTTTGACATAAGCCAGCCTGCTGACATATTCCACTACCCTACTGACACCGCTGGTTCTCTGGCTCCTTTTCCTTTCTATTATATTTTCTCGATTGACATAGCTTTGAGTGGACTCTAAAACCCTTTGGCCCTTAAAATCAACTGCCACTAAAAAGCATAGAATTGACAATTAGCTTACAATCATATTTTTACCCGATCCAGTCATCCCACCAGCTGCAAAACACACAGATACTCATCACTGTGAACATTTTATCTAGAACATGCACTAATTTGGTACATGTTCTTATTTTGGGCACCAGCTGTAGCACCATTTTATAGCAAAAAAGCTTATATTTGGGGTAGGTAAACAGAATGCACTCAGATGGCTACAGAGGGCATTGTACACTCATTGATTCAGGAGAAAGTCAACCTTTACAAATGTGCCACGTTGTTAAATCAAACTCTTTCCTCGTGTATCACCCCCAGGATTATGTGTGCCTAAATCCAGGACAGGACGCTTTTTGATTCCTTTTTCTTTGTCCCATGCAACATTCCAAATGGAACCGGGTAACAAACTGGATTTTCTTTAAAATTAAACAACACTAAAATAAAAATTTCATTCTTATATCTATACATTTATAGAAGGCACACAGCACAACAACACCACCCAACAAATGGTTGTCCAACCTCTGTTCAAATCCTTCCAGTGACAAAAACTCAAGTGCGTCCCACAGTGGTTCTTTCTTCTTTTATAGCTCCAATGATTAGATAATTCTTCATATATATATATATATATATATATACACACACACACACACACACACACACAGTTTTTTAAACTGCTTGACACTTTTATGTTTTGTCTTCCAAAGCCACAAAAAATGGGCCCAATTCTTTCTATATATCACAGCTATTCATGTTGCTTATTTTTGTTAATATTTTTTTAAAGTCTTTATTGAATTTGTTACAATATTGCTTCTGTTTTATGTTTTGTTATTTTGGCTGTGAGGCATGTGGGATCTTAGCTCCCCAACCAGGGATCAAACCCGCACCCCCTGCATCGGAAGGCAAAGTCTTAACCACTGGACCGCCAAGGAAGTCCCTCATGCTGCTTATGAATGAAGCTCTTAGGCATACCTAAGCTTCTTTTCCTTTAGGCTAAACACCACATTTTTTTTTTTTCAATCACACTCTAAATGTCATGGCTCTGAGACCTTCATTGCACATGGATCATTGCTCAACTCTGCAGTTGGAACAGGGCATGGTGTCCCAGCCATCCTGAAACCATCTGCGTAAATGAATCAGTTCTCTGCTCTCCTGCCAGTTACCATATTTATGGAGTGGGGACAGAATGTGAGTGCCGTGACCAGCGCCTCTCTGTGCTGCTGTGTTCTTCACAGCGTGTCCAATGTAAGTGAGCTGTTTCCAGGACAGAGCTGCTGCAGATAAGAGCAAAAGCCAGTGATACAAGTCAAGTCTACTGATGTATTTGAAGTGACTGGTTAAATTTTTTTTAAAATACTATTCAATTTAACTTTCTCCCATGTTGGGAAAAATGTCACACACTCAAACACAATCCCTGAATAATATTTAAATAAAAATAATCTTCAAGTTAAATATTTTCATTCTTCCTCCCTCAGTGTTATTTGATAGGGGACCTTTTTTCCCTCAGTTACTACTTCACAGAAAAAAAACTGAGGAGAAAGGTTGAAGGAGTCTAAAAATATCATTCTGATAAATTCCTGGCCCATTTTCTAAATTATTTAACACTAAAGCTCTATGATCAGGTAGCCATTTAAATGGCCTTTTCAGCCTGTGTATTGAAATCTTTGGCTAATGTGAAGAGTAGTAAAAGAGTCTCGTTAAGGTCCTTAAGTTAGAAGAAATAAAGATTCAGCATTTCTCTAACATTGAAGAAAAATCAGTTACACATAGGTCTAATTTTCCTTTGATAGACACAGAGTATGAAGAATTATGGGGAAGAAAAACGACATTAAGCATGCTAGGTATACTTGCTTTTCAGGAAGTGTGTTGCCCGGCATTACTATATTATTTGGATGAAAACAATTTATGCATTTTAACTAAATCTATATAGTCCCATTGAAATGGATCAAGGAAGGAAATAAATGGTTCAGGCTCACAGTGTTCTCTTTATTTAATACAAAATGCTCATTCAGGTGTTCTCCATTTTATCTTTGTCTCTGCCCTAAAATTTAGGGCATGGGCACATTTATCTCCATGAAAATGTTTCAAGAGTCTGGCTCTCTACACCCACATACACAACCTCATACCCTTTCCATTATTCATAAATTCTAACGGCACCACCCAAAATGACATGACCCAGGCTTGCCCAGAAGATAATGAAAAAGTGGTAACATGTGTTCCCATTCCTCTCCAGCCCCCCAATACTCTGTGGCTTTGACATGTTACCAAATCATAAATAAATGTAGTTGTAATATGGGCTGCTGTCACTTTAGATACCAGGTTGAAAATAAGAAATTGAAGATAATAAATGCAGTGTATAAATGAAATTTTTTTCTAAGAAGTTTTCATGTCTTTTTATTTTATAAATTCCTGGACTTTCTTCCATTATAAATGGGAAATTGAATCATTTTAGTCAACTTAAAAATACATCTTCGTAAGTAATATCCAAGTACCAAGAGGGGAGCATTGGTGGTTCAGTGGTAGAATTCTCCCCTCCCTCCCATGCCAAATACCAAACTGAAAAAATATTGTTTTCTTTCAGATCAGTATTTAAGGACAACCAGGGAAATGTGGACAGAGACTCAAGATTTTCACCATTGTATAGACAAGAAAGCAACAAGATTTCAACTGAGGACCTACTTAAACTAGTGTCAGATTATAGAAGGTAAGATGTTTTGGATACTCTTGAAATTAACATGAATCAGCTACCTTGCTGCTGTTGATTTGTTATCTCTGCATAAACAATACTCCATAACCAGATTCCCAAATATCCATACTCCCCCAGAAAGCAGATGATTTGCAGATGACCTCTCATATGCCCAAATGACACCTTAAGAGTAAATTTGCCAGAATGATGTGGAAGGAGTGTGAGATGTTAAACTATGTCAGTTACCTATGGCTGTGTAACAAATCACCCCAAAAATTAGTGGCTTAAAACAACAACATCACTTATTTTTCTCTTGAGTCCATAATTTGAGCATGGCTAAGTGAAGACAGTTTGTCTCTTCTATATATGGCATCGGTTGGAAGAGGTCCAATGGAGCCAGAGGATCCATTTTTGAGATAGCGCATTTGATGACTGGCAAGTTGGTGCTGGCTGTTGGCTGGAAGCTCAACTGGAGCTGTGGGTTGGAGACCTTGGCTCTTCTCTCCATGAGATGCTATGGCTTGGGTTCTAAGAGTAAGTGTCCCAAGGGACAGACAGAAAATGTTCACTGCCAGTTTCTTAAGATGGGAAACTGTCACAGTGCCATTTCTGCCATAACATACTGTCAAACTGTCACAGATCCTAGATTCAAATGAAGGGTATATAGACACCTCTAAATAGGAGGAGTGTTAGGGGATTTTAGAATATGTATGAAACACCACAGAGCAATTAATTGCTGTGAATACAATAATTTATAACAGTTCTGTCATTCAAATGCTTTTGGAAAAGACAGTGGAAGTTAGAGCCAAAAGAAGAAAAACATAAAAGTCACAACACTTTTAAAATGAATCACCATATATTCAGCATCCGATGATGGTAAGATCTTTCATGACAAGTGGCTTATCTTAAACTGTTGGTCCCCTGACACAGTCAGGATTCTTGTTCCCTTTGCCCCTTTCCCAAATATTAACTCTCTGCCTCTCCCATCTAAGAATCAACAATTCCTTATCAATTAAGTTTGCTTATCCAAAACAAAAATTATTTATTACTATGAAACAAGCATGATTAATATTTTCTGTATCTTCAATAGAGGATACATTTCTATTTAACTAGAAGGGAAGTTTGCCCAATGTTCTTTTTTGTTCTGGAAAAAAATAAACCTTAGGAAACAAAATAAAAGTGGAATTGAACCAATATTATTTTTTTGTGATTCTACAGGACCACTCCTTACATGGGGAGACCTTCCTTCCCCTTATCAAACATCATGGTCAAAACCCCTATATCCACTAAGTGGAAATTAAGAATGCTTTTCCTCTTTACTTTTTCCCAAGTTTACTAAAGCCTGAAAAGTTGTAACACTGAGCAGAAGGGAATGGGCAAAACAGGAGAAGACCATACTGTCACAAAACCCATGTTATTGGTGTTTAGCAAAGATAGTTATCACTATGGCATTTAGAGGGCGTCTAGAATACCCAACGCCGTACTGGTGAGACATTAAATTATTTCATGGATGCCTCACACGTAATGACATTTATTCTCAGCAGTGTGCTGATAAATGTCTACCACTGACCCTCTAGGAGGAAAAAAACTGATTTGTATTGATGGCAAATTTCTATGGTGTAAATTCTCCTACCATTGCTGATTTCAAGCTACCAGTGGGGTTTTGCCAAACATGGAGCTGGAAAGAAAGCTGATTTCAAGCTACCAGTGGGGTTTTGCCAAACATGGCGCTGCACACCATCATATAACTTTTCCACCACACAGATAGATGTAAATAACCTCAAGAGCATGGATCCTCTCACCATGTAGTAAAACAATTACTAAGTGATGAATTTTCAGTACTTTTTACCTTGGTATTAATGTAACTTGTTTAATATAATTTCATTTTTAATAATGACTGTGTTTTACGGATGGCAGGCAAAATAACTGAAAATATAACAATTAGCTCTCACAGGCTGGGAAGAGCTGCCTCTCGAAGTAGATTTCCTGAGAGGGGTGACACTTGAAACTGTTCTTAGCAACTTTCACCTTACTATAAAAGAAGATAGGGGAGAAGGTTTTAGTAAAGAGGGAGGAAAAGAAAGTCAAGGACTCATGAATTAGAGTGACTGTGGGCACAGGGATAGGTGGTGAAGAAGGGTCTACATACACTTACGAGGGATCAGGGAAAGGGCCCTTGTCCTCCTGGATTGTTGGTGAAGAGGGAAAAAGCAAACTGTCCACTTACCAGTTGTGGCAAAGACCATCCTTGCTCTCAAAACTTCTTAAAATTCCTCGCGAAAGTGAATTATTTAAATCGGTTCAAATACTAGTACTTTCTGTTAACAAAAACTAAATATTTACCATTTACCAAAACTAACGATTTACATTGCACTCGTTTGGCCATATAAATGTTATCTGAAGTGGTGCAACTAAATTTAAAACATTCTTCAGAATATCTGTAACTTGACCCCTCCCTGATTTTTAATTTTTATTTGCAAAATCACATAAATTTTAGTTTTCAAAATAGAACTAGCTAAATGAAATTATTCACAAGATTGTTTAGGGTCCCACTGTTTATCTTTATCAAAGCTCAGAATTACCATTGTCTGTTTTTTTTCCTTGACAACTAGAATAATTCACTGTGTGTGTGTGTGTGTGTGTGTGTGTGTGTGTGTGTGTGTGTGTTTCTATGCTGGTATACTTTCACAGAGCTGACAGAATAAGCAAAACGCAGACCATTCCTGGAAGCCTGGATATCGCTGTTGACAACATTCCTTTGGAGCATCCAAGTATGATGATGACGTCATGGCTTGCTTGTAGAGTTTTGAATGTTTAGTGGCTTTTTGGTTAGTTGGTTGGTTGGTTGGATAGTTGGTTCGTTACAAAGGTTTGTTTGGGGATTTTTTTCTCAAGGTTTAGGATAACTGTAATTCATTATCCTATAGAAATTTGGGATGTCTTATTTCTCCATTAAGACAGACTGTAAGTATTGTAGGACAGGAACTATATTCAGGGTGACCTAATATTCAGCTGGTATACACCATGCACCGAGCAGGGTGTTAAATTGTATCATTTAATCCTCAAAACCCTGAAGGGTTGCAAATGAGGAAGTCCGGTTCAGATAGATTGATAAACCAATAACCCATAATGAACAATGCCACACTGAGCTGTCAAAGGGCTACTCTGAACACGGTACGTTGCCACCCAAGTGGCCATGAAGTAATTATAGCTGGAAAGTTTTTAGACTCTGTTATTACACAGAGAGCATATATCTTTTCCAGAATATGGTCAAAAGTTCTATTTATGTTAGTGAAAATTTAAATTTCAGAAGCAGTTTTATTAACTTATAAATAAGATTTTTCAGAATTTATTTATTAAGTGGTGAGATTAGTTTATTTGGTTTTATTTTCCTTCTAATTACACCTTTTAGTGACTTTCTCAGTGATGGAAAGAATGAATAAAGGCATTCTAAAAAGACCTACAAACAGGGAGAGGATTATTACCACAGGATATTTGAATTACCATTAGCACTATTAAGTTTTCCATTCTTATGACTTTTCCACAAATCCCTTTAGTATGAAATAAAATGAGCATTCTCACTTAAATCATGGCTCCAAATCACTTTTGTATTGATTGGTGTGAAAAAACAGATGACAAAGTAAGCCATTTCCTCTACCTGATTTGTGGGAGGTTGCTTTTATTACCTAGGGAAAAGAAAAATAACAAAAGAGAAAGCTAAAATATTCTCTTTGAATATCCTATGATATTCTCTGATATCATGAGATATCAGAGAAATTTGAACATATAATAAAAATATTCTAATTGATTTCTGAAGAAAAATTAAAAAGCCTGTAATCTGATTCCCAAGCATATAGCTAACGATATAGCTAAGCATGTAGCTAACCATGTTGCTTGTTTGAACACAGGAAGATTCCAGATGGGGTAAAGGAAGGTACAAGGCCTTGCTGTCTTTCAGGGCCACAACTTCAGCCTCCAAACTGCTTAGTGACAAGTTTTGATTTATAAATTCCTAATGGTCTTTTCCCCCCTTAGGCTGTTTTTACAAGGTTAGATTTTAAAAGATTGTGAAAACTGAAGAGAAAAATAAAATTGTAACTATTAATGCAGAGGGGGATTAGGGCCTATGTTGTAAAATCATTCCATAGGGAAAATTACTATTAAGCCAAGTGGTACTATCAGTAATAAACCCACTGGACAGAGTTTTGTTCCATCATAGAGCAATATTTATAGTATGATGGCTAAAGTCAGTGGGCTAGTCTTTATCTTAGAATATCTGGTTAGTATGCTCAGAGGATCTCTAGCTAAAATTTACTTTCTATACGAAGCTGAATACAAAAAGAAAATAGTTATAAATCCAAAAGATTTACCAGTTTTTTGAGATATCAGTTTTGATGTTAAATATATCACTGAGTATCTATCATGCTTACCTCCTACAAAGTTTTCAGGCCAGCATAATTTAACATAAATTAGTATACAAGCATGGAGTTTCTATTTTGAGTAGATTCATCTTAAAATAGGTTAAGTACTGTTCACTTACAATCATATCAAATGACAAACTTTTCTTTTCTGATTTTTAAAGACTGTGTAACATCGTCCTTTATCCCTGTCAAGCCTTTCAATGTGACGGCTCAACCAGAACCCACAGTGGAAGTGGAAGAATTTGTTTACGACTCAGCAAAGTATTGCCGTCCTTACAGAGTATACAAAAATCAAATTTACATTTACCCCAAGCACCTCAAGTATGATAGCCAGAAATGTTTCAACAAGGTATGATATGTTTCTGAGATATCATCCTCTCTCTCCACCCTATTTAGACCATATTAAGATGGTTTCTTGAAAGTTCAAATACAAATTACTACAGACTAACACTTTAGAATAGAAAACCATTTGAAGAAAATGTTTAATGAGAGACAATGATGAGTTTCACCTTAAAAGTGTTTGAGGATGCACATTTTATAACATATGAGTAAAACTTTCTGAAATCAGCCCTAAATAATTTTGTTCCAAACTTTATTTTTAGTTTATTAAGAGACTCTGAAAATAGCCTACCTGCACCCTTTCAATATGAGTCTTTTCTTCCCTTTTAAATAATCTCTCCAAATCTTTCTGCTATTTCAGAGTGCTATGAGTAATGCCACAAGAGAATTTTGGCTATTCTGCATTTTTCAGATTTAATTAGAAGCTACTTATTTTAGGCACTTGGATTGTTTTTTGATGTTATTATCTAACAGGAAATTACAATGTCCATTTTCCCTCTCTGTAATTTCAGGCACGAAATATAACCGTGTGCATTGAATTCAAAAATTCCGATGAAGAAGATGCCAAGCCCGTGAAGGTGAGCCCAGCCCATGAGGGAATACAGCACATAGGGGCAGGCAGGTGCCCTGGTTCTCCCCACCACCAAGGGGCTTTTTAGTTTAGTGTGCTGGAAAGAGGAGCAATTCAGTCCATTTGATTTAGATTTCCTAACATGTACCTGATTGAACAGCTACCATTAACTAGATCTATTAGAAATGCCAGTCTCATGGCTCTGCTTAGCTTTTCATGATTTGGAAAAAAGGAAGCCGTTCTAGTGTGAAATCAAGGCAACGATTCCCCTCTGGAAGACTTTGCCGTTTTCAAAGATTAGCCCGCATCTCATGAATTCAGCATGCTTGATTTCAAATGCAACATCCCAGCTGGGCTTCATGTGGCCTCTGCAGAAGGGCTGCTGCCTACTGGCCTGATGGCTAATGCAGGGGGCCCATGGGGCACTCACATTTTTGGAAGGTGCGTGTGGCCACCTGCCCGAGGACCTCGGAAATGGCTCTGGGAAGCTGGTCCCTGCTGTTGATCACGCGACTTAATAAGATCAATAAGACTATGAGTTTTGTAGGAACTGGGCTGTTTGATCCTATAAAACTACAACTGGATGGCATTTTTCAGAGTTTGTATTTGATATATACTGTTTTTATTTTAGGGACTTCAAACAGCATAAAGAAACTTATAAAAATAGAGAGGAAAATTATTTTCAGTGGGCCTGTGGCCAGATCTTCCCAGTTTTGGTGAATCAGAGGAAGAAGATATAGTAAAGGACAAAACTAATTTCTAACTAATCCCCACAATTATCTGAGGTCACCTCTTAAAGCACTCTGTCAGGTACCAATTGTGTTCTCTGTGCTCAGAAGGGTTGTAGCATTATTCAGAAGAACAGTAATCAATTTGAGTGATTGAATGAATCATACACAATAGAGAGAAAGAGTTCTTTAAAACTGTCCTGAGGCGCTCTCAGCATCCCCAGGTTCCAAGTTCCACAATAGCATTAGCAGCAGGAGAGAAAAAATAAAATGAAATGGAATTGTCAAGCAAACAAAGGCAATGACCAGACGGCGAGCACACCAGGCCTGCTAGAGAATCGCTTATGGGGAAAAATCTAAAACAGAGGAGTACTCGCAGGTACATGTGACCTCTGTTTCACTGCATTCTAAAGCATTACTCAAGAGATACAGCTGACTTCAGTAGAGGGACTCTGAGCCTTGGGCTAAAGGGGCTTTTATGACAAGGAAGTGCCATATCCCATCCCCTGGCCTGATTAGGGGCTGGGACAGAAGAATAACACAATACAGTGGAGCCTGGGACCAGCCCTAACCTTCCAGCTCTCATTCTTGGTTGGGGACTGGCATGTCACGAGCTGGGGTCAAACCAAGCCTTGTATCACTAAGGACTGATCGCCTTAAACTCTAGACCAGAGCTGGGTACCGTGGGGCGCAGGAATCAGAATTGAACGAAGTATCTCTTATTTTCTAGTAATCAAAAGTTAGGTAGTAGTTAATTGATTCAGGTATTCAGTATTGGTATAATATCTACATAGTGAATTAAAGCCTTCATATTTTCTTCAACAGTGCCCTGTTTTATAATAAATACAGGACAGCAGATCAAAGAAGTTCAAGGTTAATTAGATGTCAGCTCAGCCTGGCAAGTTACCACAAAATGCACCTTTGTCCCAGAATGGGTAACTGAAGAATTGTGGCCTTTTTGTGCTCAGGGTTAATTTCAGACACTCATAATTATTCAACTCATAACTTTTTAAACAGTGTATTTACGGAAAACCTGGAGGGCCCCTCTTCACCTCAGCCACCTACACTGCAGTTCTGCACCATTCCCAGAGCCCAGATTTCTCAGACGAGGTAAGCCAAGCCTCCACTGCCCCCAGCAGCTCCTTAAAAGATGGGTGAGTGGGTAAGATAATACATGATGACAAACACTCTCTCTAGACTACTCCTCAGACTAAGGACATACCTTAGCAGGTGTTTACATAACCCAGTTTTAAAAACCACGTTAATTGACAGTTGCTCCAGGACTATGCTGCAAACTCATGTATTTCAGCACAAGATTTTAAAAATGTGATGTTTTTATTATATCATTTCTTTCAAATGAGACTAATTTTTTTCTTTTCTTTTTCATTGGTTAGGGTAACAAACATCGTGTTAGGTAGTTTTTACCAATCAATAGCGGCATTTCATATCCTAAGGGAAACAACAAAAAGGGCTAGAGTATGAGCCAACTATTGTTTATAACCCTCATGAACTTGAAGGAGCTTGGACTGCCTCACCTCAAGACTTGCCCTGCCAACCCTCAAGACTCTCTTCTTATGTGCCAGGAACCACGCTATACTCTAAATAGACACTATCTCACTTGATCCACATGGCTTTCTCCAGAGAAACAGAGCCAATAGGAAGACGACAGATAGAGAGATACACAGGTAGATAGATAGATAGACAGATAGATAGGTACAATTTAATATAAGGTATCAGATCACATCATTATGGAGGCTGAAAAGTGTCACAATCTACCATCTGCACCCAGGAAAGCCATTGGTGTAGTTCAAAGGCCTGGGAACCAGCGTGTCTATTGTAGAGTCCAGTCGAGGTCTGAAGGCCTGAGAACCAATAGTGCCAAGAACTGGAGAAGGTCAGTGTTCCAGGTCGAGCAGTCAGGCAGAGAGGAAATTCAACCTTACTCTGCCTTCTTGTTCTGTTCTGGACCTCAGTGGACGAGATGTGCCCACCCACATGGGGAGGGCCATCTGCTTTGCTCAGTCTACCAATTCAAATGCTGGTCTCTTCCAGAAATGCCCTCACAGACACGGAGAAATCATGTTTAGCCAGCTCTCTGGGCATCCCGTGGCCCAGTCAAGTTGACACATAAAATTAACCTTCACACCTTCCTAATTTATGGATAAGGAAGCCAGCGATCAGAGAAGCAACTTTGACAAGGGCACATAACTATGAAGTGACAGTCAGAATTTAAGCCAGCCCATGTGACTCCAGAGCCTGAAGCTTCACTGCTCTGCTATAACCCATATAAAAAAAAAAAAAAACTTATTGGATTAGTAGTAAATGACTATACATATGTCAGCTTGTATTACAAACAAGTTTCAGTGATTAAATTTAATTTCTAACCGTGAAGCTAAGGTCTGAACTAATGCAACCTGCCAATGTGATTTCTGGGATTTAAAATACCACATCTTTTGTATTAGTTTCCTATTGCTACTTTAACAAATTATCACAGTTTCGTGGCTTAAATAACACACATTGATTACCTTACGGTTCGGTGGGTCAGAACTCTGAAATGGGTCCCACAGGGCTGAAATCAGGTGTCAGCAGGCCTCCATTCCTTCTGGAGGTTCTGGGACGAATCCTTGCCTTTTCCAGTTTCTGGAGACTGCCCTTACTCCTTGGCTTGTGACCCCTTCCAGCAATGTCATCACTCTGACCTCTGTTTCTCTCCTCACATTTCTTACGACCCTGACTCTCCTGCCTTCCTCTGATAAGGACCTTTGCGATTACATTGGGCCCACTGGGCTAATCCAATTTAATCTCCCCATCTCAAGACCCTTAATTTAATCACAGCTGCAAAGTCCCTTTTACTGTGTAAGGAGACATATTCATATATTCTGAGGATTAGGACTTGGGGGGCATCCTGGGGGGCCATTATTCTGCCTATCACACCTTGTTACACGTCAACCATTTATAAACTTCTTAAAAGAACACCAATGAAACCACAGACCTGACTAACCTTATCTCCTTCCTCCACATCCATTTAATGCTCTTAAATTTTTTCCCTATAAATTCAGGACAGAGCTAAAAAAAATAAATAAGGGAAAGGGCCATTACTACATTACAGAATATTTACTACATTGGTTGACCTCTTGACAAAGCCCATCTGAAAGGTGCATCCTCTGTCGACATATAAGATTTAACGAAGAAAAAGAAAATGTTCTTACGGTTAAGTCTGGCTTTTAATCTCTCTCACGCTCATGTGCTTCCCGGAATCCTTGTAAAAGCCATGAGCTTTTCCACAAGAGAACATGTATATAATGAACTGCCTGGTGAACTCTGCAGTGCAGATTCAAAACCATTTTCTTCTTTTTTATTGCAAAAGATGATTGCATTAATTATAAAGATGAATATAAATTCTTCTAAGGCACTGCTAAAATATAATGTATTTGCAGTATTTGTTACCAAGGAGTGTTAGCATTAATATGTAGTTTACTGGAATTCTTGAACACTTGTTTCAGTCCCATGTATTCCAACTAAAAAAAGAAAATCTCATTCTACTGCATTGTTAGTTATTGTATGTTTTGAACTGTATATTGGCTTTTGTTACCAGGTTAGCATGCTGGTATGTAATGAATATATGTAAGCTGTAAACCATTCTAATTCAGGAGTTCTCAAACCTTACCAGGCACAGAATCACCTGGAAGGCTTGTTAAAACACAGATTACTGGAACCCACCCCAGATTTTTGGATTCCATATGTCTGGGATGGGACCTGAGAAATTGCATTTCTAAACAACTTTCTCAGAGATGCTGATACTGCTGTTCCAGGGATGACACTGAAAATCTGTGTAATAAATTCTCTCCTGAGCAATGTGACAATAAAGTAACTATATATGTAGATGCACAGAGAGTCTAATAAAAACTAGTAGATAATTTGCTTGGCTGTTTATCACCTTATTGCTTGATTTGACTGTTCAAGAAATTACCTAGTTGCTAATATTGAACTGAATGTCACTTACCTGCATGGGATCCTGGGATTCCAGTGTGACATGTGTTCTTGTCCTGGAAGATCCTATTAATTACTGACTAGTCCATCCTCCCAGTGACTCAAAGCCCCCTAACATCTTTCGCCTTGGTTGCTACCTCTGTATCATCCTACTTTGCAAGGCCGTGGAGGGAATTAAATGACAACCTATGTGACAGAGGTTTGGAAACTGCAAAGCACTATCACATGTAGAAGGTTCCAAAACCTTTCTTTCCAGGAACATGGAGGACGCTCCTCATTAAGTATATTCTTCACCTATATCAATTTTATGTTTTATGTTTTTTTCGCAAGTGTCATTTACAGAGGAGAACGTGACCTCTTTTCAAAATGGCTCATTACTAAGTTACCACAGTGTAATTTTTTACACAATACATACCACATATCTTTTTGTGGTTTTTATAACAGATAGATTCCATGCTCCAGTTACATCATTTGCCACTACCATGTTCCTCAACAATGTGCCTGTGGATCATCTGGGGATCTTGCTAAATGCAGATTCTGATTCTGTATGTCTGGGGTAGTGTCTGAGAGTCTGCATCTCTAATCAGCTCCCAAGTGATGCTTATGCAACTGGTCCATGCACACACTCTGGGAGGCAAGGACCTACTCTTCACTCAACTCATGTCCCTTGATGATAGGTCCTTAATCTGTGCCTTATTTACATGCTACTGTCATGTCTGTGTGTGTGTGTCTGTGTGTGTGTGTGTGTGTGTAATTCATGGTGGTATAAATTATCTAATGAGAAACACTAGGTATTCTAAGTTATCACCACAATAAAGAAGTAAAAATAACAACACATTACTGCTAGTGGGATGGATATTTATTGAGAGGTAAATCGTACTTCTAGTGCTGACTATTAAATTGTGGACCTAGATTTCAGTGAAAGACTTTTAAAAAGGCTAACATGCCTATGCTTTGTCTTGTCCTGACACTGGGAAAATGATTTCAATCTTCGCCCAGCTGTTATCTCTTTCATTGCAGGTGAAAATTGAGCTACCAACACAACTTCATGAGAAACACCATATTTTTTTTTCTTTTTATCATGTCACTTGTGACATAAATGCAAAAGCTAACGCCAAAAAGAAGGAGGCTCTGGAAACACCAGGTATTGACAGAAAGCAATCTGAGATAGCTGTGCATGTTATCTCTGGAACTTAAATTGGAGAGTATTTGAAAAGCTCTGATTTATTGAGTTTTTTAAAGTGACGTTTTATATTCATAAATGATAAATAGCTTTATTTTTACTCCTCGCCATGAAGATTTGTACTGAAAAGTTTTCCCTTTGTTGTTCCTTTGCACAGTTGGATATGCTTGGCTTCCTCTCATGAGAGATGATCAGATAGCTTCTCAAGAGTACAATATCCCAGTAGCAACAAGCCTGCCTCCGAATTATTTAAGCTTTCAAGATTCTGCAAGTGGAAAGGTATTGAATGATGTATAGCTTAAGAGAAAAAATACATGGGCTAAATGGCATGAGGTTATCTTCTTTCTGCTGTTTGAATTAACCCAACCTTGGTGTATGCATCCATTGTAATAAGGAATCAGGTGTACCTATGATATGTCAAATATCTTGTTTAGTTTGTGGCCAGTAGAAATGATCTGTTCAAAATGATCCCCTGGTATCACATTGGTTTCATTGACCAATATTACCAAATGTATTCGCATCTCTTATTTTCCATCTCTATAGGACGGCGAGGTTAATGGGTCAGGATGACAAATTAACGTAAACTAAATAACCTGTTTATTTCCTCTCTCTCAAATTGCCACAGTGACAGTGACAAACTCTTTTTTGCAGCATGGTGGGAGTGACATTAAATGGGTCGATGGTGGCAAACCACTTTTCAAAGTATCGACATTTGTTGTATCAACAGTGAATACTCAGGTGAGCGTGTTGTCCTGAAATATCAAAATCTTCTCTAACACATAAAATCATAAAGTGTCTCCTAGATTTACAAGAGGAGACTCACCATTCCACAAGGTGTCAGAGAGCAGGTGATCAAAAAGGAAGAATGTTTGTGGCAAAACTGTATCCCTCTTCCAGAAGAGATCGAACGCCCTAACCCATAAAAGCTCAGGCACTACCAAACTGCAAGCCAAAATTCCAGTAGTGTATTTATCAAGAGGGCACTTTCCTTGGAAGATGGTTTGCTTCCCATGACAACCCCCAAGTGTTAAAAATATGAAACGTTTAAAATAAAGGCTTTGGACCTTTACCTTAAAACTCAGTCTAATTCCCAATCCCTACCCAAGGCTCCTCTCATGGAAAGGCCACGAGGTTGGCAGAACTGTATTTGAGAGTCACCTCGGCCTATTTCTGGCCCAGTGACCCTGGACAAGTCACCTCACCCCTGCAGTCCTGTGTCCTCAGCAGGAAAATGATAACAATAGAAAATCTCAACCTAAGGTGGTTGTGAGGATCAAAATGAGAAACTGCACGTGAAAATATCTCATGAACTGCAAAACGCTGTACAAATGTAGTTATTATCACTGTCAAATTACCACAAACTCACCCCTTCCATTGCAAGGCAGCTAACTTTACCACACTGTGAGGACTTTTGTGGTACTAATTATAAACAAACTTTTACAAGTACATAGACTATGTATTGCTTCTTTCTTAAATTCAATGTGTACCTGCGGTTTTTGTGTGTGTGTGGTTTTTGTTTGCTTTTTTGCTTCATGCTGCTTTAACCCTAGCACATACTTGGCTACTAAGAAAAATGAAATAATCCGGGTACCACTATATATTGGATCAAAATGTCTTTCCGTAACCACTGGTGCCTCAAGCCAAATTTAGTCCTCTTCCCAAGTCCTATGCCCATGACTCCTTAAACCCATCTTTTCTCTGACGCCATCAGCCCCGGTCAGGTCCCACAAAATGGTCATTTTCCACCAAATCCTGCTTTTATATCTCTCAGAATGCCCCGAGTTTCTCTTTCCCACACCTCCAGCTGCTTTTCTCCAAACTACCCAGGTCTCTCTGTGACTCACCACTACTCTCCTTTCTGCACATCAGCTTCCACCGCCCACGCACTCGTCACCCTGGGGGACACCTTCGTCCTTCCTCCATAGCGGTATTTACCTCAATTTTCAAACACACCAGGCCCTATCCTGCACTGTGCCCTCTGTCTGCTTCATGCCTCCAAGATCCAGGGATTTTGTGACACTCACCCTTTCGTCAGCCAGGAGGGCGATCTCTCCCTCTCTGCCTACCCTCCCGATTGGTCTGGGCAGCTCCTACCCAACCTTCAGAGCTTGGCTCAAATGTTGTGTCCTCAGAGAAGCCTTCCCTGTCCCCTAACCCCTCAGATATGCCGTGTCATCTTGTCATACACCCATACAGCACCCTGCTTTCCTTTGAAGCACTTGTCTAATTATGAGCAAATAGGTATGTGTGAAAATCATGGCATGGTACCTGATTCCCGGGCATAATGGAAGGACCACAGAGTGGCTTTTCCTTGCCCCTGACTCTGTCCTCCATGCCTGACAAGAACCTGACACATAGACAGCTTTCAATAAATAACTGTCGAATAAATGAAGTGAAACTGAAAATATACACACACGCACGTGCGCGCGCACACACGCACACACACACACACGCACACAAATACCCCGACTTGAGGGGAACCCCAACCACAGATGCCCTCTAGAACTGACAAAGGCCAGAGAAACCCCCAGAGAGTGCACCTACACTAAAATTCTCTATTCCACTTCCTGACTTCATAACTTTGACCCTCAACACAGAACTTAGGCATTTCCAAGGTGACACCCTTTTCAGGAAAGAGCATTAAAGGGCTGATTAGTTTGCTTAAGCTGCCATAACAAAATACCAGACTGGGTGACTTAAACAACAGAAATGTATTTTCTCACAGGTCTAGAGGCTGGAAGTCTGAGATCAAGGTGTCAGCAGAGTTGGCTTCTTCCAAGGCCTCTCTCCTTGGCTTTCCTCTGTGTGTGCACATCCAGGTTTACTCTTTCATGAGGACATCAGTCATATTGGACTAGGGCCACCCTAACTAATTACCTCTTTAAAGACCTTATCTTCAAATATCATTACATGTGGAGGTACTGGGAATTAGGACTTCAACATATGGGTCTGGGGAGTCAAGTTTTATCTCATGATGTCAGGTGGACTTCATAATTTTTTTATTAACTTTGACATTTTAAGTACGAAAATATCCGTATGCATTTTAAACTGTACCCATTCTCGTGTGTGTTAAAGAATATGTAAGAAAAATTGGTAGAAGTCTGTGGAAGGAAGATGACAGAAGACAATTTAAAAAGAAAGAAAGGAAAGAACAGAGACAAGGGAAGTAATTCTCTAGCCATTATCATGTGGCCCGGAAAGAAAACAAATCTCTGAGAGTGAAATAGGAGAGAGGGGACTTTGTAGTTCAGGTCAAGCCCTCTGTGTGCTGGAATGCCTGTGAAAATGAGAGGTCTGTCACTATGCCTCCTGGACAAAGCACCTCACATCAAGGCATCTTGTCCTACAGAAGGGCTCACCTCCCATCACCATGATTGTTCCACAGCTTACAGGTCATCAAAAATCAAGACTTTCTTTTGCTGTTTCAGGATCCACATGTGAACGCATTTTTCCGACAGTGCCAAAAAAGGGAGAAAGATATGTCTCAGTCACCTACCTCGAGTTTCGTCCGTTCTTGTAAGGTAACATGACATGCAAATAGCTGCAGTGGTCTCCAGGGTAGAAATGGGCAAAACAGACCTTTACGTTTTGCATTGAGCAGCAAACTAAGGGGTAATTATTATCGAAGATTTTTAAACACCTTATCAATTCAGAGACTAAATGATTTTATTTCACAATTCCTAAAAGATGTCTGTGTGTTCATTAAAAAATAAGCAAAGATCAGTTTCTCCAAAATAAAAATGATTGAAAATCAGAATCAATTGATTCTAAATTAGTTAATTAGATGTAGAGTCCTTGCAACATTACCCCCATGCCTGTATGTCATGCTAAATGCCATGAAAAATAAAGTCAAACAAAAGTGAGCTACAGTAGTCATATTCAAGTTCTGAAGAACATCAGTAAAAGAATGTGCTTTAAATTTAATCAATGGCCTTTTATTTTTTGCCCTGCCAATTTAACAGAATTTATTGAATGTGGAAAAGATTCATGCAATCATGAGTTTTCTGCCGGTAATCTTGAATCAGCTCTTCAGAGTTCTGGTGCAGAATGAAGAAGATGAAATAAGCACAACTGTGACCAGGTATCCATAGCACAGCCTTAGGGGAAGAGATTTTATAAGCTGTGGTTACACACAACTTTGATTATAACCGAATGGCCACCTGATTGTGTATGCTTGCATTTCGTTCGAATACGTATCTCAAAGTTAAATATGTCTCACTCCTGAGTTCTTACCTTCTAATCATCTATTACTATCATTCAAGTAAAGTTTTAGACCTCTTTTTTAACTTTGTGTTTTTAATTAAACTTTTTATTTTGAGATAGAGGCACATGCAGTTGTAAGAAATAATGCAGAGAGAGTCCATGTTCTCTTTAGATGTTCCCAGTGGTGGCATTGTGCAAAACTATAGGACAATATCACTCCAAGAATATTAACATTGATAGATTCAGGAGACAGAATATTCCCGTCCCCACAAGGATCCCTCATGTTGCCCTTTTTTTGACACACTTACTTCTTCGTCATCTCAAACCCCACTCCTTGCCCCGGGCAACTACTAATCTGTTCTCCATCTCTAAAATGTTGTTACTTTAAGAATTTTATATATATTATATTGAAATTTTATATACAATATAAATATATAAAATTTTATAATATGTTAAAATATACTCTATGCTCCACATATTCATATAATAAATTGATGAGTTTATTATATATTCTATTTTCAATTCATATATAAATTATATATTTTATATATATATATATGGATATGGAATTATATAGTATCACAGTATATAACCTTTGGGGATTGGCTTTTTTCACTCAGCATAATTCTCTGGAGATTCATCCAGGTTGTTGCATCAATCAATCAATAGTTCTCTCCTTTTTATTTCTGACTAGTATTCCACATCAAAAAATGTTTAAAAATTCACCTGTTGAAGGCTATCTGGGTTGTTTCCAGTTTTGGGTACATTTGGGGTGAACATGTTTTCATTTCTTTGAAATGAGCGATTGTTGGGTCATATGGTCATTGTATGTGTTGGTTTTAAGAACATGCCAAATCACTTGCATTCCTATACACTGATGATGAAAAATCTGAAAGAGAAATGAAGGAAACACTCCCATTTACCGTTGCAACAAAAAGAATAAAATACCTAGGAATAAACCTACCTAAGGAGACAGAAAACTATAAGACACTGATGAAAGAAATTAAAGAGGATACAAACAGATGGAGAGATATACCATGTTCTTGGATTGGAAGAATCAACATTTTGAAAATGACTATATTACCCAAAGCAATCTACAGACTCAATGCAATCCCTATCAAACTACCACTGGAATTTTTCACAGAACTAGACCAAAAATTTTCACAATTTGTATGGAAACACAAAAGACCCCGAATAGCCAAAGCAATCTTGAGAAAGAAAAACGGAGCTGGAGGAATCAGGCTCCCGGACTTCAGACTGTACTACAAAGCTACAGTCATCAAGACAGTATGGTGCTGGCACAAAAACAGAAATATAGATGAATGGAACAGGATAGAAAGCCCAGAGACAAATGCATGCACATAAGGTCACCTTATCTTTGATAAAGGAGGCAAGAATATACACTGGAGAAAAGACAGCCTCTTCAATAAGTGGTGCTGGGAAAACTGGACAGCTACGTGTAAATGAATGAAATTAGAACACTCCCTAACAGCACACACAAAAATAAACTCAAAATGGATTAAAGACCTAAATGTAAGGCCAGAAACTATCAAACTCTTAGAGGAAAACATAGGCAGAACACTCTATGACATAAATCACAGCAAGATCCTTTTTGACCCACCTCTTAGAGAAATGGAAATTAAAAGAAAAATAAACAAATGAGACCTAATGAAACTTCAAAGCTTTTGCACAGCAAAGGAAACCATAAACAAGACGAGAAGACAACCCTCAGAATGAGAGAAAATATTTGCAAATGAAGCAACTGACAAAGGATTAACCTCCAAAATTTATAAGCAGCTCATGCAACTCAGTATCAAAAAAACAAACAAACCAATCCAAAAATGAGCAGAAGACCTAAATAGATTGCCAACAAACACATGAAAGAATGCTCAACATCACTAATTATTAGAGAAATGCAAGTCAAAACTACAATGAGGTATTACCTCACACCAGTCAGAATGGCCATCATCAAAAAATCTACAAACAATAAATGCTGCAGAGGGTATGGGGAAAAGGGAACCCTCTTGCACTGTTGGTGGGAATGTAAATTGATACAGCCACTATGGAGAACAGTATGGAGGTTCCTTAAAAAACTAAAAATAGAACTACCATATGATCCAGCAATCCCACTACTGGGCATATACCCTGAGAAAACCATAATTCAAAAAGAGTCATGTACCACAATGTTCATTGCAGCTCTATTTACAATCGCCAGGACATGGAAGCAACCTAAGTGTCCATCGACAGATGAATGGATAAAGAAGATGTGGCACATATATTCAACAGAATATTACTCATCCATTAAAAGAAACGAAATTGATTTATTTGTAGTGAGGTGGATGGACCTAGAGTCTGTCATACAGAGTGAAGTAAGTCAGAAAGAGAAAAACAAATACCGTATGCTAACACATATATATGGAGTCTAAAAAAAGAAAAATGGTTATGAAGAACCTAAGGGCAGGACAGGAATAATGATGCAGATGTAGAGAATGGACTTGAGGACACGGGGCAGGGAAGGGTAAGCTAGGATGAAGTGAGAGAGTGGCATGGACATATATACACTACCAAATGTAAAATAGATAGCTAGTGGGAATCAGCTGCATAGCACAGGGAGATCAGCTCAGTGCTTTATGACCACCTAGAAGGGTGGGATAGGGAGGGTGGGAGGGAGATGCAAGAGGGAGGAGATATGCGGATATATGTATATGTATAGCTGATTCACTTTGTTATAAAGCAGAAACTAACACACCATTGTAAAGCAATTATACTCCAATAAAGATGTTAAATTTTTTTTTAATTTTAATTAAAAATAACATGCTGAATTGCTTTCCAGAATAGCTGTACCATTTCTCTCCCACTGGATCTTATTTTTTTATGCTCAATTTTTCTTCAGCTGCTCTCACTTTAAATTTGCCTGTACTATATTCTTTCAACATTACCAATCTGTCTTGTGACTTTGGCAGTTACAATTTCCTCTTTCTAGAGATAGAATTCTTGATTAATTATTGAATCAAATATTTCTAAAGTTCACTTTTTTTAAAATATTAGTTACAGCATTCTGGAAAAAAACTACTCTTCACATTGAAATGTTTCCAGTGCCTTCATAACTCACAGACATATCATTAGCCTGTTTCAGAATGAGAGTCTTTAGCGTCAGTTTTTTGTTTGTTTGTTTGGCTGCGTTGGGTCTTCATTGCTGCACGCAGACTTTCTCTAGTTGCAACGAGTGGGGTCTACTCTTCATGGCAGTGCACAGGCTTCTCATTGCGGTGGCTTCTCTTTTTGTGGAGCATGGGCTCTAGGTGCACCGGCTTCAGTAGTTGTGGCACGTGGGCTCAGTAGTTGTGGCTCACGGGCTCTAGAATGCAGGCTCAGTAGTCGTACTGCACAGGCTTAGCTGCTCAATGGCATGCAGGATCTTCCCGGACCAGGGCTCAAACCCGTGTCCCCTGCACTGGCAGGCAGATTCTTAACCACTGCGCCACCATGGAAGTCCCCTTTAGCGTCATTTTTAAAGTAAAGCTCTGAAGCTCTAGAAAATTAAAGTATCTCTAACAGTTCTACAACCAGGCAGTTCTGGAGCCAGATTAGAAGGTCCCAACTATGCCTTCAAGTTTTGCCTTTTTCAACATGAGTATATACATCTGTGTTGGCAAAACTCCTAAGTATTTCAGCAGATAGATCTGTTGAAATTCTGGGCTGTTCCTAAGCCCTACAGCCGTGGAGTAACTGGAAGTATTATTGTGAAGAAATAAACCCATACCACAAGTGCTACTGGAAACCCTAACCCAGCTAAGAGGGAAAACCCAAAAACCTGCATCTTAAACTAATTAGTTTTTCCAAAAGCATGTATATAACACCTCTAGGTTGGAAGACTAGCCCTTTTAAAGTGGAACATGATAGTTGGAGGTTAAAGAAGTTCTAATAAGGTACTAAAAATGATCCCTTTTCCAAGAAGACAGTGTCAGCAAACACATAGACCATAATAGCACATGCAACTTGGGCAAAAATGTCTCCAGTATGGTATTGCAGCCATAATACTTTACTTATATCGTAGTGTTTAGAGATTTCACGGTTGGAAATGGCTAATGGGTATTGTAGATGTTAAACACCCAGTATTGGGGGATAAGGGGGGCGGGGAGAGTCTGAAATTGGTTCGTTCATTCATTCAACAACGATTAAGCACCCAGTTTACCAAGCACTCCAGTGACAAACCAAGTGGTATTTTCCTGCCTTCTCCAGAAAGTCCACTCAACAGCATTGCTTTTCCAGGGTTCTGACTGACATCGTGACCAAGTGCCATGAGGAGCAGCTGGACCACTGCGTCCAGTCCTATATTAAGGTACAAAATTGCCACTTGGGCATTGGTCATATCCCCTTGTGCTGTGTGGCTTTTCTCACTTCCCGTCTGCAACAAGTGGGAAGTTTCCCCCTTTAGCTAGACGGTGCCTACCACAGTCGTATCAGACATTCCCCTTAGCTACTTAGAATTCCTTCTTTTTGCATTGATGGGCTCAATGTATTGTTTCAGTGTATAAATGTATAAATAATGTGTACATGTGCAAATGAATATATATATGGGGAGAGAGAGCAAAGAAAGAGAGGAGAAAACTATTGTCCTTTGAAGTCAACAGTACAAATAAATGAAATTCCTCTATAAATTTAAGGAAGATGTTTCCTGTTGGTTTGTTGAATGCGCTGTTTCTTCTGTAATGTTTTCTTAGCTCTTTTTATTGTTTTCTCAGGCATTATTTCATTTTCCCAGTTACTGTATATTTGTACCTGCTTCTGGTATGTTAAGTCCTTTATCCTCTGGCATGAACCACTAGCCCATCCCATCAGTGTGCACTGCATCCTTCAGTGGCCTTCGTCAGATGTTCACTCGGATATGTTTATATTCTCATTTTCAGTTGGCCTGTGACTTAATGCCAGTGAACTTGTGATGATGTTTGCACATTATAGTTCCAACCTAAAAGTCATCTTCTTGAGTGAAGAGAAAAAATCCACCCAGAGATAAATGATAGTACCTTATATTCCTTTATGATTCATAGAGGACCTAAATTTCAATATTTATGCACAGATTGTATCTTTAAGAGACAGAGACCTTTTTATTAAAAGATATATTCCATTAATATATAGATAGACATTTATCCATATATTTTAGATGTCTAGAAAGGTGACTAGAGAAGAATCTGGCGTCTTCTGTGACAGAAATGCTCCTGTAAAAGGAAGTAACTAGAAATTTTATTCTGGAGTGAACCCTTCTGAGATGCCATCAGTGAGGAATTTTTCTCATCACAGTTTTATATTTACATGTTTTCTACCTGTCAGAAATGTTAGATGTCTTCCCAAATATCTAAGTATGAGTGTGTGCCATTCCTTAAAATAGCCCATACGCCAAAAAGAGCTTCTTCACAATAATTTCCCTATGGTATAATTTTACCCAATAAGATCTACAATTCAATGGCAGAAGGCCAGTTCCACCTACAAATGCATTTTTAGTTTGCTCTCTAAGACAGAGTCATAGCTTACTTTTATAGGGTATTGAAGACTTTACTGTTCAACAGAAATCATCTATAGAATTTTCATTCTCTCGACACTTACCCCAGTTTTCCATTTCAATTGCCAAAGGCGCTGAGAAGAAAATAAATTCCCCAGTCCTTATTACACAAAGTCATCTCCTTTTCAACACACATATTATTTACCTTGTTCCAATGGAATCACTGAAAATTGCATTGAGAACCCACTGATGTTGCAGTTATTTTTGTGACAGCCGAGGCTAGTTCCTGGTGAGAGCCTTAAATCAGCTCTCAGATGTTATCTGTGATGCTCTTGGAGCATTGTCCTGGAAATGCACCCTGGAAAGGTCTTTATTTTTAAGCAGGATGTTTGAAATATCCTGATGAGACCTTTTGATTTTGTAATGTAAGAAGCTGTGTATTTAGTTTGCTTTGAAGTGGTTCAAATCTAGAAATACGCCTATGTGGAATTTCAAGCTGATAAAAATTCCTAAAGATATTTTATAACATAATTTCATATATCTAAAACAAATACAGCCTAATAAATATAACCAACTGGAATTTTACTCTGGAAAGAGCATTAAAGTAGCAAATGGAAAACTACATTCTAGTTAAGGTTAAATAGTTAACTTGGAGCAATCAGCCTCTCTGAGCCTCCCTTTTCTCCTCTGTGAAGTGAGATGGGGGAGACCACATGAACATCTAGGTCTATCATTCTGTGATTTGTCTTGCTGCAGTACATGGCTGACAGCCTGACCTTGACCAAGGAGTATGACTTTTTTTTACCCATGGTGGAAAAAATTATTTTTTAGCATATACATTAAGCCCCACACCTAAGAGTATAATGAAAACTGGTACCAATACGTGCTTTGATGTCCTTGAAAGATGGGATAGCTGATATAATTCAAACCTATTCAGAAGTAATCTAAACACCATTTCAAGTTCAGTGGTGCTAAATGCTGCTAACTCACTCCGTCTACGATATCCAAAATGCACACATACACCATGTCTTTTTCAAAAATGTATACCTAATTAAATGCCATTGTTCACAGCAATTCGTAGGACTGATATGGTCTAGCCAAAATTTTTAAAATTTCAGAGCTAGTCAAAATGCCCTTGGGGCTGAATTACTGCACATGGGATTAGACAGTTGATGACATTACCCTCATATGAGTCATATTCCATGAGGGGGAAAATCATACTACTCTTGATTTTAGCTAGTTTCATGCATTTCTTAGCCTCGTTTTTCTCCTTTGGGATGAGCGTGGAGAAGTTAGGCCCCATCAGAATGATTTAGATGTCAATGGCCTATGAAGTTCAAAGAAATAATTACAGACCCAAATGCAAAGTGCCTCTGCTTTGTTTCTTGCCTGCATTCATCCTTGACTGTAGTGAAGTCCAAATTTTGAATATTATGAAGAAAAGACCTTCCTTGAGGCAAACCCACCTCATAAGTAAAATATTATAATTCAGTAATAAGCATTTTGTATTTTAAATATACGTGCATGAATTGATACTTAAAATATATGAAGAAATATGGAAAACTAAACCATGACATGCACTCAGTGGTGAATGCCAGCACCAATCTTTTAAGAAAAGAAAGCGAGAAGCATTAGTTATCTTACTGATGGCCAATTATTATGAACCTGTTGGTTGCCATGTCTCAGCATGAGATGGTAGTGGACCCTGGGCTTGTGGGCAGCTCACCTACTGGCCTCTGGTAGGCGCCTGCTTCCCCACTTGGCTATTTGAGTGGGTGCTCTACCCTTTCAGGATGAAGAAATGCTACCATGCCACCCACCTGTTGCCAGTGGAAGGAAGGAGAAGGGGAAATGTATCCTAAGTAGGTGGGTCAAAGCCCTCCATATTTCCTTGAACCCTCTAAATTGCTCTCTGATCTTCTTTGTGATTTCTACAAAGAGCGTTTCAAGGAGAACTTAGGTGAGCAAGGCTCTACCTGTGCAAAGCCCTCAATAGGAGCAGGTGTGTATTACACTTACCATTGGGCCTTCATTTATTTCATGACAAAATCTGGCATGAGCAGATAATTTTGAGACATGAGTTATTCTTGGAACGTAATTTTTGATGCTTTGTTTTTAAGTATTTAACTTTTTTCACTTTTTGGATTTTCTTCAGTTTGTGTTCAAGACCACGGCATGCAAGGAGAGAACTATACATGAGGAACTGGTTAAAAATGTGACTGGTCTTTTGCAATCAAATGACTCCACAACAGTCAAGCATGTCCTGAAGGTAAAGAATTTAAAGACGGTCCTTTCATTGGGATGGCTTACACTCAACCCTGAAGGTGATAGGATTCATTGATTTTTATAGATCGTTTCTCTAATAGTTTCTGGTATAAGCTTCATGTTGAAACGGTAACATATGAACCTATTAAGAAAAAGAGATCCATGTCAAGAGAACAGATCATTTTAACAAGTAGAATGGACTCAAGTTAAGTCCTTTGGCCTAAAGGCAGAACGAATGACTATTAAGAATGACCCAAAACATTCAAAAACGCTAAGTGTACCCCAAATAAAGTTTATTGGGTTTTCAGGCACAGTAAGAGGAAAACTACCAACAAAAGGATTAATGATGTAGTAATGAATATACTGACAGCAGAGAAGAGGCAGAGAAACAGCCACTCTTTGACCCCCAAAAGTTGAAACACATGCATTTGTAGTAATATAAGAAGAGATGGTGAGAAGCTGGTAAAGATGTAACTTATAGACTTGTGAATTTAGTCCCCTGCTAAATTAATTATCTATCATGACTTGACAGATAGATGATTGATTAGTAAGTAGCTAGAAGGGGAGGCTGAAGGCTGGATCAATAAGCGTCAACAGGAGTTGACTAACATCAAATTTTCCTGGGCCAAGCCGTTTGTTTGTTTAAATTTAAATTATCCGTATGAGTATATTCATTCAGTTTATCCAACAAGTATGTTCCAAGTGCCTTCCTTGTGACAAGCACCATCCTCACCATCCTAGGCATTTGGCATGCATTTAGAGAATAGAATAAAGATCTCTGCCCTTGGGAAGCTTACATTCTACTGCGGGATAAAAACAGTAAATGACACACATAATAGCAAAGTTAATTAAATTGTACGTTTGGAGGTGAGACGTAGCATAGGAAAAGAAAATGTCGAGCAGGTAAACGGAATGCGGAGTCCTGAGTATGCAGGGTGAGGTTTGCAGTTTTAAATAGAATGGTCAAGGTAGAGCTCATGGAGAAGGTAATACCTCAGCTAGAAATGTGAAGAAAGTGAGGGAGCTGGAGATGTTTAGGGTAGAACATTAAAGGTAGAGGGGAAAACATACCGTATTTATCTTTGTCTGACTTATTTCACTAAGCATAATACTGTCCGAGTTCATCCATGATGTCACAAATAGCAAAATTTCATTCACTTATATGTGGAATCTAAAAAGTAAAACAAACAGGTGAATATAACAAAACAGAAACAGACTCACTGATACAGAGAATGAACTAGTGGTTCTGAGATGAGAGAGGAGTGGGGGGAGGGGACAAATAAGTGAAGGGGATTAACAGGTACAAACTGTTAGGTATAAAATAAGTTACAAGGATGTAATGTAGAGCACAGGGTATATCGCCAATATTTTTATAATAACCTTATATGGAGTACAATCTATAAAAATATTGCATCATTATGTTGTGTACCTGAAACTAATATAATATTGTAAGTCAGCTATATTTCAAAAAAAAAAGTAGAGGGGAAGACCTGTATAACGTTGTAAGGCAGCAGCACACCTAGTGGGTACGCCTGAAAGATGGCAGAGAGGCCAATGTGGCTGAAGCCACGTGAGCAAAGAAAAGCAGAGGCAAGTTGAAGTCAGAGAGGCAGCGGGAGGTTTGGCAGGTAATGTAAGGCCTGTGGGCCATTGCAAGGGTTTTGGCTTCCACTCAGAGAGAAACTGGGAGCCGTCAGAGGACTTTGAGTGGAGGAGTAACTTGAGCTGATCTTGGTTCAAAAGGGTCGCTCTGATGGCTGCGTAGAGAATAGACTGTAGTGGGGTGAGAGTGGAGACGGGGCTGCTGAAGAAAGCTGCCTGCCTAGCGTCCATGTTGCTGCAAATGGCATTATTTCATTCTTTTTAATGGCTGTGTAATATCCCATTGTATACATGTACCACGTCTTTATCCATTCGTCTGTCAATGGGCATGTAGGTTGCTTCCATGTCTTGGCTATTGTAGACAGTGCTGCAATGAACATTGGGGTGCATGTATCCTTTTGAACCATGTTCTTCTCCGGATATATGCCAAGGAGTGGGATTGCTGGATCATATGGTAGTTATATTTTTGGTTTTCTAAGGAACCTCCATACTGTTCTCCATAGTGACTGTACCAATTTACAGTCCCACCAACAGTGTAGGAGGGTTCCCTTCTCTCCACACCCTCTCCAGCAGGGTCCTCTGGGGAGAGTCAGTGTTCAGTTAAAAGACAAGGCAAAGGGAATGTTTGGAGGAGAAGTTCCATCTTCAGGAGATTTTATTGGTGATGGACCATGTGTTCCAGACCAAAGGTATGGTGGGTGGGTTTCAGGAGATGAGAAGCAGTGAGATACACAAGGGGGTGTGCAGCACCTGAGGAGACCAGAGGGCAGGAGAGGAGTGAGGCTTCTTCTGTCATTAGACGTGACAGAGGCAAGAGTCTCAATGGGATTGGTCCTGGCGGATTCAAGGTAAATAGTGGAGGTGGGGCTGAGTGCTGAGGAGTGAGAGTGGCAGGTGTCAGTTGAATCAGGAGACAAATGTTAGAACATTTGGCATGGTGGTTAAAAATATTATTTAGGACAAGGTGGGGTGCCTTGTGTTAACTAAATATCCCCAACAGCATGAATTTCACTTCCAATATCAAGTTTACTAAGGAATGACCCCCTTTTAAGGCCAGAGCTGCCCCTTTAGAGCTTAAACGTCCTTTCTTCCTCCTCTCAGTCAATCTTCCAGCGTTAGAACCCAGTACTCAAAAGTTCTTAACAGCGTGGTTGGTATCAGCCTAAAATTGGATATAGTTCAGATGCCCATCCACAGTAGAGCAGATAGGTAAATTGGGATTATATAGGTGATGCAGTGACAATAGAGGACCCCCAGCTACCTAGCTCCACATAAACAAACCTCAGAAAAGCATTTGTTGAATTGAAAAGGCAATCACAAGAGAATACATACAGGATGATTCCGTTTATTTAAAGTTCAGTGGCAGGCAAAACTGAATATCACTTCGACGTATGATATTGGTAGCAAAATTATGAAGGAAAGCAAGGGAATGATGAGCACAAAATTCAAAATTATTATCTGTGGTGGAGAGGCTGGGAAGGGAAGAGGCTCAGGGAAGTGTATTCTTTGTAAGTGTACACAATATGTGATGTATATTTTTTGTATCTGGGTTAAGCAAGACCCTTAGACCCAAGAAAGAGGGGCCTCCACTCTTGAATCTGCTTTGATCTTCTCCAAATGCACCCCTTCTCATAAGAAAAAGTATGAGAATAGCCAAGAGCAATGCTCCTGGGAGCCCCTACCACCTCTTCAGCACCTATAAGAATCCCCAGGAGCCCCTACCTAAAGGGTTTATAGGTTTATTCCTGGGCATGCTTAGATCTCTTTCCTAAGTCCATTATTCAGAGGGGTGTAACCCAAGACCCAAGAGGGGAGCAGTGTCTGGTGGGAGAGAGGGACCAGTTTGTGGGTAGCACCTGGATTTGCAGGCTGGACAGTCACCCACGTGCCCCAGGCCCCTCAGTGTAGGGCAGAGCCTCAGGTGAGAAGAGGGGGTGGGCCCCACGTCCTGGTACAACATTCCAAGTTGTCATGAAGTTATATTTGTCAAGATAGGAGGATCCAACATATTTTATTTAAGACTCTGTTAACTTGACTTTGAACTTTTAGATATTTTCACACGTGGCTTCCAATTTCACTCTTGCCTCTATCCCTGGCAATGTTAGGGGTGGGTCTGCTACACCATATTTTAAGATAAAAAAGTTTTACTTAGTTTTGTTTAACTAAGTAAAACAGATAGAACGCCCAGTGAATAAGTATTTCATAAGACTATTGTCTACTCAGCCATGTCTAGCAAACCAGTATCTTGTTTTAGTTTAAACAGTCTTTGAGATGACTGAGGAACAGAAATATCTGGTATTTACTTTTACCATTAGAACTTTGCTAAGGATGATCCTAACATAATGGAGAATATACTATTGCTCTGATGCATTTAATTTCAAAGAATACATTTTAAGATAAACGTTTTATAAAATCGCATGTTGTGAAGAATGGAATTATCATTATTTTGCTATAAGATGATAAATTTCTGGTTGTCTTTTCTTTTCCTAACAGCATTCCTGGTTCTTCTTTGCAATTATCCTAAAATCCATGGCACAGCACTTGATTGACACAAATAAAATTCAGGTACGATCATAGGTAATACAATAGCATCCAATAAATGTGAGACATGATTGTATGTATCAGTACAGGTCCTTCAGAAGCAGATGCCAGGACAAAATTAGAAGTACGAAAATGACTACAAAGGATAAAGGGACAGGCAAAAGGACTAGGAAGGTCTGACACCTGTGAAAGGAGATGGCAAAGGAAGGAGGATCGGCTAGAAAGAGGCTTGCAGTGAGAAACTTGTAGGTGGGCCAGTGGGCTGTCTGAGAGCAAAGAATGTTCATGAGAAAAGTCCTGCATCGGGCAGATGGTCTGGCTCCGTTACCTCTGCAAGCTCAGTAATTACTCAGAGCAGCCGGAGAGAATGTGGCTTGGCATGAACTCTTGAGTGGGTCCCAAAGGCTTCGTAGTTATTTCATTCATCCCAGTAGACTTTTTCTCAAGGGAGTATCTGAGCTCTGCACATCCTCGGCTGCCACCCGTGGTCCACAGTCCACAGCTTACACTACCTTTCACATATGATCATGAATCTTCTCCTCCACAGTTCCCATGGGCCTCTCCTTCCTGAAAGGAAACTTACAAGAGGGAGGCTAGTGGGATTAACTGTAGCCCCTGTTACTATAGTTGGTCTCGGAACCCCGTGCAGTTCTCATCACCTCCCTCCTCTACCACCCATTCTAGATTGCCCTCACCCTCAGCCAGCAGCTCTGAAGGTCTTGGTGACTTACTGTGTTGTGACCCAAACCCTCATTCCAGAGTGGTCCAGGGCGGTCTCAGCCTCCGGGAGCCATACTCTACTCAGACCATTTATAGTTACAATTGGGTAGGGAGGATCAAGAAGCACCCAAGTGGATCGCCTGAGTTCCACACGTATTTCTCTTGTCCTCACTGTGGGTAAGACTGAGGGGAAACCTCTGACTCTTACCCCTCCCTCACTGGGAGACTAAATCAGAACAATATTGCATGGGGTGGGAATGGTGGTGAATAGCAATATTGTCTCCATTTGCACTCTTGGCTGGGGAGGGGCAGAGTCAGAGGCTTACACTTGGCCTTCTCCACCAGGGTAGCTGCACAGGTCAAGCATTCAGTGTGTGGTTACTCTAGATGCTAATTATGTCAATACAAATTATACATTTGGACCAGGTAAATGGCTGTTTGGTGGATTTTTGAAGCCAGTGGACTCCCTGCTAACAGAACCTTAGGCAGGGCAACTTTATTAATCCTGTGAGTTTTCACTCTAACTGGGTGGACATGGTGGTGTTTTGGTCTCCAGATAGCAGTATCAACTCAGATCTTGTGGCCAATAGTTCTTGAAATATATGAATATTCCCCTCCGCCTAGTATCGTCACCTGAGGACAGCCTTTGGAGAAGGACTGGTAGAATCATTATAGTATGTACTTATCAAAGGTCTGTAGGGGGCTTTCTTTAGGGACGCTGCCTCCTCTTCAGTCAGCATGTACCAGATCTGAAAATTGACTGAGATCCAAGAACAGAGAGAGGATTCATGTCTATTTACTGGAACAAACATCCTCATCCCCTGATTGTCCAGCCTTGCCTTCTTGGTGGACTTAAGCATCGCCATTGTTGGCCGCTGATTGTCTCGTCCCTAGGGCTTCCAACATGTCATTAATCAGCTCTGTAGCTCCCTGAGAGTCAAGCCCCCTTGGCTGCTCTCCAGATTTGCCATTTGTTTTGGTAATCGCAACCCCCTGGCCCCTGGAGATTAGGTGCAATCACATGGCCTCTGTTATATTGATGCCCCTCATCCTCATGACTATTAGTGAGCCAACACTGTGACTGCCTCTCTCACTTGCAGATGGGAGACACCACGGAACGGTCTTAGGGATGTCGGTCCCCAGTACCTTCCTGATGGTTTTGGTGGATAGTGGGTCTTCTGGGCTCATATTTCCATTCCTACGTGTCCACCTTCGTCTGCTTCTTTATTCCTTCCTCATTCATCTGCCAGGGCAACCTAGGCATTTCCATTCTGCTTAAAATGAGCCATCTCCAGGATTCTAAGAGCCAACTAACAGTGAGTGGTCCATCCCCTGAGGTCTTATTTAAGCCCATGTCCTGACAAAGTGCCCTCATGTCAATGAATTTGAATTTATCCATTCTTAGGTTCTGGCCATCTTGGTCAAACACACTCAACATCCAATCTCAGTGGGACTCCCACTGTGGCTCCTGCTGGTACCTGCTAACTAATTCTTACAACTCCTTGGGGTACACGCTCTTCCTTTCCTTATTAGGCCCAGCAGGTTCACAGCTGAGTTAAGCTGGCATTTAATCCCAGTTCATGGCCTGAGCTCCAGGAGAGGAGGAAGGACAGCTCCTGAAGGGTTTGCCTGGCCTCTTGCAGGGAGAGACCTTTGCAGTGTATTCCCACACAGGAGAAGTGCTGACTCTTGATAGAGAGGGATGGGGCACTGAGGATTCAGGGGAGTCTGCCAAGCCACCGTCCTCGGGTCATCCATCCACATGCCCCATCCATGGCTCCAGACCTCAGGCCTTTCCAAACTTGGCCTTGACATAAGCATAACAGACCTGCCTTGGCTGCACATCTAATCATCTCTGGTATTCCATAACTCTTAGCTCTTAAGTCCTATGTTTGCTTTTCAGCTGTGTCTGCTCTTCTACTTCCAGAGATAAGAGCCTCCTGTCCAGGAGGAAGAGAAAATCTAACATGAAGCTAAGAATGATTCCTATCTCTCTGTTCTTAAGCTGTATCAGGAAACCTCACCACTGTAATCCTTGTTCTGCCACTAACATGTTAGATGATTTTAAAAAAAGACACTAAACATCTCAGAGTCTGTTCTCCCATATGTAAAAAGAACAAATTGGACTAAAATCCTTTAGTTCCCACCAGTATGTATCTGCTAAAATAGATAGGTCACAAAACACCCTTATGAACATCCTAAGAATAAAGGAGCTCATCGTAAACGAGAGTTTATCTTCACTGATTCAAGTTCCCTTTTCAATACCCTCTTCCATAGCAATCACCATACCCAGTTTTCTTCCAGAGGTGCACGGCCTTCCAATTTTCTAACCATCTCTATTTATCACAGTAGGAGAAGACCAGATACCATCATTTGACTTGAAAGCATTCACAATAAACATCTCCCAAGCTATTTGCATTTTCTTTTCTTATTTTTTAATGGTGAAGTGAATAGCTTTCTTTGCTATTAAAAAAAGCTTCCATCATCAAGGAGATGTGAGAAAGTCAGATCCCCTAGTCTGAAAGGCAGATAACACCTCCCTGTGACCCCTGCTTTCTTGTCCAAGGCGAATTCCTATTTACTAGGAAGTGCTGAATATCTTCTCAACACTGAGCTCTAGTAGCCAAAGTTTTCTTGTACTGGCTACACCTTTTGTTTCCCATCAGCCCCTTGTTCTTAACGAAATTCCCAAATGCCTGAAATTCAGCCCCTGCATTCTGCACCTGATCCTTGGGACCTCCACCATATCATAGCCCAGGTTCTCCAACACGTTCCAGCTCTGCAGCTTGGGATTCAACCATGCTGTCACCTTACCCCCCTTCCTCCCCTGTCCTGAGAGAGAAAATCCACTGTCCCCAGCTCAGGAATTCTCCCGCCTCAAGCCCTTGGGATAGACTTCCAGAGAACAATTAAAAATATTGCTCGTGTGTTTACCGAACAGCATGTCTTTGGGTTAAGAGTGGGAGTAGGCTACAAGGGGAGTTTGAAAAGAAGGCAGAAAAGACAGAGGAACAGAGGGGTTATCAAAGTCCAAGGTATTACTGTATGTCCTTGTGAAGAAAATGTTGACATTGATATGTTTAATGTATCTTGGAGGACTAACACAATGAAAAAAGGAAAACTACAAATGTGCTTTGATTATCTAAAAAGTGATTATTGCTTTCATAGGTGAATTGTTTACCCTTATTTCCCCAGGGTACACAGAGCAGGATGAAAAATGATGTCTGCAATTAAATTCATTAGGTTTATTTGTTGTTAACTTAATTTGATTTCAACAATAAGCTTGGAATATATACAGGGGGTAACCATGAAATCCTCAAAATGCCTATACAGTCATGTCCTGGTACAATGGCTTAAAAAAAAGCCAGTCCAAGTCAGCTCCAGCATCCAACAATTAATCACTGTTTGTTCTATGCAGTTCCTGTAATTTTAGCCTCCGTGGTTTTTATTCTTGCCTCATGGAAGGCTGGGTGCTCAGAATTTTAGAGAATATGGCACTGTCTAACTCTCAATTGTCTGTTTCTGTCTATAGTGAAAATGCGAGTCTAATTTTAAAGCCAACTAGTAAAGATGAATGAATCTTACCTATCTCGTGCAAAGAAGCTGTGTAAATTCACCAAGTAGAGACTGAAATGGGAAAACTCAGCTGCCTGAAGCTTTCCCTTTATGTGCAGGAGTTCAAATTGGGGGGGGCGTGTGTTGGATTCCTGGACTGAGGGCAGTCTTTAGGGGCCTACAGAGTTTTATTCAACGTATGTTATGTAATCTCACAGCCAAATCACTTTTTATCTTGTGGCAAAACATCTTGACTGTGAAGTCCCACAGGCACCTGCGGTGGCATATGCTGGGACCATTGAGTTAAGACTAGCCTGTGTAAACCTTCATCTATAAGATAAATAAGGTTTGAGCATCTAATGGAAAACATGGTGATTATAGTTGATAACACTGTATTGTGTAATTGAAATTTGCCGAGAGTAGAACTTAAATGTTCTCTCCCCAAAAATATGTATGTGAGCTGATGGATGGCTTAATTAACTAGATGAGGGGTGGAGGGTGGAATTCTTTCACAATGTGTATGTGTATGAAAGCACCACAGTGTATGCTTTAAATATAATTTTATATATCAACTATAACTCAATAAAGCTGAAATAATGTTTTAAAAAGACTAGCTGGGACTCACTACTTATTAGAGAACATTACAAACCGATATCTGTACTCATTCAGTTATTCGTTCACTGATTTCTTATAGTTGTTTATTGGAGGATTCCTAGTTTTAAAAAATCAAAATAATTGATCTTTAAATTAGAGAACTGTGAGTCAAAGAAAATCTAGAATAATATTCATTAAACCATTGATAGCAGTTATTTCCGGAGAGGGAAAGGAGGGGAATTAAGAGGTTATTAAAAAATGTTACCTTTCTACATTGTCTGAATAGTCTGCAATTCATATATGTTATAATTTATAATGAAAATTGAAAAACTTATTGGGCAAAATAGAAGGAAACATTAAATGAAAATGATGAAAATCATGACCTTGAAATTAAAAGGGCTTCTATTTTATTATTGCTTTCAAGTTTTCAGAACGACTTTTTGTTTGTAGTAAGTCTTACAGTTTATGTTTTCCAGGCTTAGTATTTCACAGGTCACATTATAAAGAAATGATCCATTCTTTCCTTAGCTTTCTCGGCCTCAAAGATTTCCTGAATCTTACCAAAATGAATTGGACAATCTTGTCATGAGCCTAGCCGACCACATGATTTGGAAAAACAAAAATGCACTTGAAGAAACAAGAAGGGCAAACCACAGCGTTGCCAGATTTCTTAAGGTACAATTATACAAGATCACAGTTCTATTCAAGCCTCCGTGATAGTGGGTGTGAGATACTCTAAATGTCAATTTAAGTCACAGTTTCATTTATGATGAAAAGTCAAGACTACCAGGATTAGATGAATACTTTCATCTATACATCTTTCTTGCTTGAAATACTTTTCGATACTTTTTCCAATTTGGAGTCATACAGAATAAAAACTAAGGTTAAAGAAGAGTATCTACTTGAGTGTTGCCAAGTGTAGTACTTCTAAATATTTTTAAAGAGAAAAATGAGATTTTTAAAGAAGCTGCACTGTGACAATATTATTCTCTTGGGCTTTTCTGCCCTTGAAGTGATGTTTTGGATTGGATACAGCTCTAACAGTGATGCCAAATAGCCACTTTGGGAAAATTTTGGGGAATTTAGCATTTTTGTTATATTACCTCTAGGCTCTTTTTACATGATGAAAATATTGTGCATTAATCACATAAAAGGAAAATTATCAGTTAAAGTATTGAGCAACATAAAGTGAATATATATATATACATATATATATACATACATATATTTAGCATCATTTCTTTGAATTACAGGCATTTCTATTGAATTGAGAAGAAAAATGTGCTTAGTCCAAGAAAAGCTAATGTAGAATGATGGCGTATCATTTAACAGATAATACATTCAACCAGAAAGATAATGTTTTTCTTCTATTCCTTCTTTTGCCCAACTGTTGACTACTGTTGAAGCCACTTCACTTGTTTCTTTGTGGTAGACACCAGAACATACTGGATAGGTGTGGGAATTTATAAATAAATACTACTAACAAAGTTAAGAGGCTATGGAGGTAGATGGAAAATTAGCTTAAGTTGTCTTTGGTGAGTTTTAATTCAGTCTAATTTCTTTTTTAATGTGTTAAATGCAGTTTCAAATTGCATACTATATTTGTTCTCATCTTGTATTTCTTTTTCTTCACTGTTTTCCCTCTTATTTTTGCTTTTTTTCTTGCTTCAGAAAGAGAAAGGGATGGTCAGAGTTGAGGAGGAAAAGAGCAAAGGAGAAAAAAATTACTCTAGTTTTCTACCATGTTTTTAAGACCTATGAGAATAAGGTTTATTACTATGCTAGTAGTTTATTTGAAGTGCTTGATGGAAAAGAAAATTTGGGAAAAAAATGGCATACTGTCTGATTTGTAAGCAAATTACATTCAAGAAATAGCTGCAATATTCTTCCCAAAATTCCAAAAAAAAGGTTGCATAAGCAAGTCTCTTAAAAAGGGAAAAGACCTACTATTATCCACTCTTTTTGGCTTAAATGCTCTGTACTTATTAGAATAAATATATGTTTTCCTTGGAGCTCATTTATGCAAAAGTTGCTTCTGGTGGTACATAAACTAATGTCTAACATGAATGTCCAAGATGAAAAAAGACACAGAGTATAAAGCTAATGGTGATACCAGTGGTTGTGAAATCTGTGGGTAAAAAGCATGGATTGACAATAGATAAAACAAATATAGTCTATAAGATATGTGGATCCATGAACTGCAAACTGAAAGCAATACTTATATGTGAAGTTTATAAATGAAAACATTAGTTTAATATATTGTACATTATAAAAGTCCACCATACAAGCATTGTACAATGCTCGTCTGACTAATCTCTACTTTATTTCAATTAGCATTTGGAAATCACTTGGAAATCATCTAATATAAAAAACAGACTTTGGTAGCAAATTATGTTTAAAGAAACATCTGTGATAGTTCTAATTATGAAAAAAAAGATGGATAAGCAAGTCAGTGAAAAGGGAAAGTCTTCATATCTACTCTTTTACTTAAATGTTCTGTGTTTGTGGAATAAATAAATGTTTTCTAGAAACTTCATCTATGCAAAAGTTGCTGTGGGTGGTACATAAGCTAATACCTAGCACAGGGGCAAAGGAAAGGAAATGATGGGCCCAGAGGTTTTGTGAAATATACAGGGAAAGTCACTGAGGTGATGTGTTTTGCAGGTTGGGATTTCATAACTCATCACTGAACCATCTATAGAGCAAAACTGTGACTTTCACAGTTGATGAGACAAACATTTTTTCATTACAACAGCCATATATACAAAAACATATTTTTGCATGTAATTTAGACTATTTGGCTTTTAATTTACTAAGCCAAACTGAGAAAAAGTCTGATAGGGTATAAGTTATCCTTTATATCAAGAATCTGCAAAATTGTTTTCTATAAATGGCCAAATATTAAATATTTTTAGTTCTGCAGAACATACCGTCTCTGTGACAACTACCCAACTCTGCAACTGTAACGTAGAAACAAGCATAGACCATTCACCGTAGACAGTATATAAACAAATGGGTGTAGCTGTGTCAGTAAAACTTTCTTTTGAAAAACAGACAGTGTGCCAGTTTTGGCTCATGGGCCATAGTTTACCAGAGCCTGTTATAAATTATTTTCTACTCATATAGAAGGTTAATATAAATTATTTTAAAATAAAAGCAGGGGCTTCCCTGGTGGCGCAGTGGTTGAGTCCGCCTGCCGATGCAGGGGACGCGGGTTCGTGCCCCGGTCCAGGAGGATCCCACGTGCCGCGGAACGGCTGGGCCCATGAGCCATGGCCGCTGAGCCCGCGCGTCCGGAGCCTGTGCTCCGCAAAGGAAGAGGCCACAGCAGTGAGAGGCCCGTGTACCGCTAAATAAATAAATAAATAAATAAATAGAAGCAGAGAGGTCCCTTCGCCTGGGGTTAAGAAGATGCCTGGATGGACCAGACACAGGGGACTGGTGACAGGAGAGACACATCTGATGAAGCTTGATCTGCAGGAGGGCTCTCTGCAGGAAGAAGGCTGATTCTGCTGACTTTGTATCTTAGGAATGACCCCTCCTTTTCCCGCACTGTCCCTTAGAAAGAGAATGACAAGTTTACCACATACAAAGTCTTCTTAAATCTCAAGAAAGTCTTAAGTGAGTTTCCGTAGATCCCCAGGGTAGGCAGCCTTCTTCTCACTACTACCCTTGTTCAATGACAGGACTCACCAACCCCTTCTCTGTCTAATCAAAGGGCCCTGTGTCTTCACCAAAGGGCTTCTTTTCTCTTGCTGTTTCTTGAGAAGTTTCTAGAACCCACAGTTATACTGGGTGGTCTTCCTCTCTCTGCAAGGTGAGACACAAGCTTCTTCCCAGCAGGAAAGAGACAGCAGAGGTCTTCTGGGGAGGGAGCTCCATATTGGGGATAGTCCAAGGGTCACCAGTCAGGACTTCCTTCTGCAGATGGAGAGCCTGGGAGGATTTGACACACTAGCTGGGAGCCTGCATAGTGTAGAAGACACGAAAGCCCTCTTTTCCTCCCATCCTCCCCTTATAGGTGCTCTACGTGTTCTGCACTTATGATTATGCTCTGCTGTCTACCTTTCCTCACTGTTCTTTTGGGAGGTGGGAGGACATGGGAGCCATTTGCTTTTTTCTAAGGGGAGAGTTATTGAAAGAACTTAAATCCATATTGAAAATGAAAATATAAATGAAGCAGTATGTTAACACAGTAATGAATAGGTAATGAAAAAAAAAAACTCAGAAGAAAACAAAGAAAAATGGAAAAGGAAACAAAACAAACATATAAATGACCAAAAAACTGGAAAAATGTTATTAGAGAAAAAAGCTCATGTTTACACACGGGCGTATTTCAGTGGGAGACTTTGCACTTGGTAGACTACCTATAACAAGATTTTATGTTCAGTCCTTTCTGAGAAAAGAGATTTGTTTGTAAAATTGAGGAGAGATTAAGAGATGCAAAACCAGTGCAATGGACCATACAGGGCTCTTTGGATGAGAAAGGAGGCTTCTATGCTGAGCGATGTAGCAGCTGAGAAATTTTCCCATGTAGTACGCATGCTCACACACATGTGGCTGGGTAGAATGCAACCCACACACACGCAGTGATGACCCCATATGCCAATCTGCTATAGTGCCTCCCCAAGATACTGCATCAGTAACTATGGCCCATGCCCACTTCACACTTTTCCAGTGCAGTAATTGGCCACTGTAGCTTGGTTACTGGTGACATGGCCATGGGTCTTTGGGAGAGAGAGCAGGTGCTGTACCAAGTTGGAACGCTTGCCTGACTCCTCCAAACCTACCTACTGTTTAAGGCTCTCGTTTCTCCAGTTAAGAGGGATTGACAACATAATAAAGAGGCAGTGGGCAGCTCACTGATAGAAATCCCAGGATCTCTTACCTTCACTCTTCAAATTCAAGCTGCCTTGGCTGAAAAGAAAAGCTATTCTGCTGAAGGAGGCCAGTGAGATTTTTTTATTTATTTTTTTATTTTTTGGCCAGTGAGATTTTAAAAGGTATTCCTGACATGTCTCTGCCCTGTTCCTACCCAATGTTGCACAGCAAGTTTCTTCACCTGAGGAATTATGGAATTGAATTACTAAAAGAAAATAATAATAAAATGTAACTAAGTGGTTTTTAAAAATAGACAAATAAAAGCTAAAACTTTCTATATTAAAAGGAAAGGCTCATTGCAAAGCTCCAAGAGATGTTTTATAAAATTGATGAATATGGGTTTGTAACTTTCTGGTGTGTGTACTGTATCTAGTATTTTAATTAGTTGCCATATGTGGATGAATGCTTAAACATATTACAGAGATTTTTAAGACATTTATTATACAGCTCATTTAGTTAAATGTTATTTTACTTCAATATATTTAATCATCTTTTCTAACATCTTTAATGATCCTTAAAGTAAAAACGTCTGAATTTAGAATTTTACTTTTTTAGCGCTGCTTTACGTTTATGGACCGGGGTTTTGTGTTTAAGACGGTTAACAGTTACGTCAGCATGTTCTCCTCTGGTGATCCCAAGGTAAGAACCACGTACAGGAGTGCTTGCTTTCTAAACTGCTGCATTATAAATAAACTGGTCTCTGTGTATATCTGTCTAAAACAATAACCTATGCATTATCCATATCAAAAAATAATTTCTATACCAATGAGAGGCAGCCTTTTAAAACGGTTCACGTGCTCAGTAAGTCTACCCAGTCCTTCCTTCACAGGGGACAAAAAAGAAGTGTGGAATGAGAGTGTTTACATTTCACTTTTATTTCCTGTGGGCAGTGAAAGGAGTGATTTTTTTCCACCTGCAATTCTTCTGCCTCCGGTTTACTCGGAACTGTCTTGGTTTTAGCACTGAAAGTCCCACTTCCCTGGAAACCTTCAGTCTTGGGCAAAATGGGACAGTTGATCACCCTACCCAAATAGGGGCTATGTTTTGGGAGATAGGGAACGGTACTGTCTAGAGAGCAGCGGTTCTCAAAGTGTGGTTCCTAGACCAGTGATCTCAGAACAGAGCTACCACGGGTGGAGCCCAGAAATCTCGGAACAGAGCTACCACGGGTGGAGCCCAGAAATCTGGATTGCAACAAGACTTTCAGGTGATTCCTGTGCATTCTCAAGTTTGAGAACCACTGAGCTATGAGTATGAGTATGGCATATGCTAGAGGGAAATAAGACTGCAAGTGGACCAGACTGTGAAAGTTTATCAGTTAAGGTTCTTTGTCTCGTAGCAACAGAAGCTTACTCCAATTTGAGCAAAAGGGAATTTTGGGGAAGGATATTGGGGTAAACAGCATTGATGAAAGAGCTGGAGAACTAAGCTTGGAAAAGAGCACTTCCAGGCACAAGAGTAATCACAGAGGATGAACCAGTGGCCAGGGTCTGCTGCTGTCTAAATAAGCAAATGGGACCCTTTTCTCCTTCTTAATACTCGGCTTAAGATTTACATTCCAGAGAGGAAGCATGTGACCAACCTGCTTTGGGTCACATGCCTGCCTCTTAGGGAGGGAAGACAGGGCACCTGAATTAATAGTTCCCCATTAACCTTTACCCATTGGGAGGAAGATTAGTCCCCAATGGGAAATTATCTAGGTATTGGGAAAGAGTAACGAATATAGAAAAGCCAAAAATAAATAATGATCTTCTTGGAGCCTTTCATGTCATGCTTAGGAGCCTGAACATTGTTTTTTGGCAGTGGAGATTTACTTTAGGCTAGGAGAGTTACATGGTTATATGTCATTTGATTTTGAGAATCCAGTTCTCTCTGTAAATATTTTTTGGAAGGATATCCTTCATTAGTGCTCCAGTTATGCGTGACATTTTCAGAATATCATTTTAGGTATAATTCCAGCGAACTTAAACTATATATTATTTTATCAAAAACCAAACAGAACATACTCAGTGAAGAATGACTACCATGTAATTTAATTATGCTTCGTTTCACTTGGATGTGCAAAGGATTAAGTCAGATACTACCCTTGTTTGAGATGGCAGTATTTTAAATTATTGACTAAAGTTGCCATAAAATATGATTCTAGAATATCTGAGCAAATGGAATATATTTTGTTTTGTTAGCAGATATTAGTGAATACAGTGAACACAATCTGAGTCTTAAAAATTGATTACTTAGTTTGCACGACAATGAAAATAGAATGGCTATGAACATGCTAACTGTTCCTACTTATGTGATTGTTTTAAGTTGTCTTAGACCATGTCTGCACTTCGTTTATCTCTGTCCTACTCAAAACATTATTGAAATGACAGACCTGTTTGCTAGGGCAGGGAAGAGGTGGAATTAGATAACGTACTCCAAAAATAAATGGCAGATGGGGCTTCCCTGGTGGCGCAGTGGTTGGGAGTCCGCCTGCCGATGCAGGGGACGCGGGTTCGTGCCCCGGTCCGGGAAGATCCCACATGCCGCGGAGCGGCTGGGCCCGTGAGCCATGGCCGCTGAGCCTGCGCGTCCGGAGCCTGTGCTCCGCAACGGGAGAGGCCACAGCAGAGAGAGGCCTGCGTACCACAAAAAGATAAATAAATAAATAAATAAATGGCAGATGGAGAGAGATTCACTCTAATTTTCGATTATCTGCACCATTGTCTTCCTTAGCACTGGATCTTAGGAGTTGATTGGAGTGATATGTTCTTTGAGCTCAGTGTAGTTGAAAACCTCTGTACGTGTGGTGAGGACCTATTTTTCCCAGAATAAACATGTTACATACATGCCAAAAGAAGCAAAAAATAGGTCTGAGTAAGATTGTATCTCATAGAAGCTCAATGTAGGTTGCAGATGGGATCATTTCCTGAACAGGCCTCGTCCAATCTCCAAAAACAGGGGGCCTGACTACATTTACCACTTCAGAGGGGACAAAATCCTTTAAATTTAACAGTGACCCAGTGGTCACACAAAAGTAACTCCACCTCCTTTTTAGATGTAAGATTCAAGTGCAGATTTTCCATTAACTTTCTTAGTGTGTGAATAATAGTCGTTTCTTTGCCTCTTTTTCAGACCTTATGCCAGTATAAATTTGATTTCCTCCAAGAAGTATGTCAGCATGAACACTTTATTCCTTTGTGTCTCCCCATAAGATCAGCAAACATTCCAGGTAATAATTCCCAGAATTTTTGTCTGTTCCTACAACGGGAACAAATATATTTGTTTGTTTGTTTTGCCTTTGTTTGTTTGTTGTTGTTTTCCTGTTTCTTCAATGTTGGTTTTGTCTGAAGTTGTCACGTGGGATTAGACCCAGGTAATCAGGTTAAAAGGCAGAAGTTGGTGGCATGTGGTAAAGAATACAGCTCTGTATTTCTCAGTTTTTGTCTATGTTTCCTTTTTCATTAATGAGAAGGCCAAGAAAACCATAAAATTGATGCTTGTAAATCAAAGAATTTTAACCTTGCGCTTCCCTGGTGGCGCAGTGGTTAAGAGTCCGCCTGCCGATGCAGGGGACACGGGTTCGTGCCCCGGTCCGGGAAGATCCCACATGCCGCGGAGCGGCTGGGCCCGTGAGCCATGCCCGCTGAGCCTGCGCATCCGGAGCCTGTGCTCCGCAATGGGAGAGGCCACAACAGTGAGAGGCCCGCGTACCGCAAAAAAAAAAAAAAAAAAAAGAATTTTAACCTAGACCCATACTGTCTTTCACCATACTGGCTCCAAAAGACAACTTTCCTTTGATTTTGAGAGACATAAAATTACAGGGAGGAAAAGTTATACTTTGTGAGTATAAATTCATTTAAGATTATCAATGTGTGTACATGAAAATGCAATTCCTCAAAATGAGTTTTATACAAAGAAAACTGTTACCTTGAAAGGGAGAAAAGAAGGCAGGCAAATGGGCACCATTGTAAATACTCAATAACTCTGGGTCAGAAAGAGGCAGAGATGGGCGCACAGGTAAAAATGGGGCCTCACATATTGTTTACTATACTTACTATAGTATAAATGGTCTATAGACAATATTTTCATTTCTTACTTTTGTTAAAATATGTATATACACACACATATCAGCATGATCATGGTAGAAAATAAGCATCACCCATCTAGACATCAGAAACTAATCAAACATCAAGCTACATAGAAAATACTTAAATGATTTAGGACCTTAAAATACTTTACTTCTACTTTGTAAGGTGTACATATATCAAATCATGTGGTGCACTAGAAACGAATATAATGTTATATGTCAATTATACCTCAATAAAATAAATAAATTGATTAGCTAAATACTTCTAAGCATGAGTAAATTACAAGGCACAGTTTTGATATTCACGGAAAGCAGAAACTAAGATGGTAAAGAGCCTCTTCATATGTATTATAGCTCACACCAATATTTTGGAAGGAAAGAGAAAGTAACGTACATTATCAAGCCTATAAAAGTTTTGTCATGTCAATCTTAAATATAAGCTGTATACATTATTCCATTCTTTTTCCAATTTATGAAATACATTTATCTAAATGCCTTCATAGAATAAAGGGTGGAAAAGTTATTTTGGACTGTAACATTTTTTGCTTTTTGTTTTGTTTTATGTTTATGAACTAGTGCCAAGATATTACTGCATTAGGCAGGCTGGTTACGACACTCAAGAGGATCAAACCTGTTTTTGTCATTTGGATTCTGGTTGTTTACTACTTATCAGTAGCTCGGAAAAAGGCCTGACAGTCTCTGTGTAGATATGATATTATCAACAGTGAACATAAAAATATGTTTTGTAGCAAGCAGATTTCTGATAGAACAAAAAGGTGTCCAAGAAGAAGGCTAAGAATTAAAATAATTCTGTTCATGGCATTCATTTTTAAGGAAAGAAGTAAACAACCTAAGGTACTTGTCTTGAAAAACAAAGCTTTATTGAAGGGACTCACTCATATTTTAGGACAGTGTATTTTAATTTTTCAGTATAAATTACACAGAGTTAATGAATACAGTGTGTATCTGAGTATGTATATATCTGAATTTTTTGTTTATTTTTATTAACTCCAGATCCTTTGACACCTTCAGAATCAATACAAGAGTTACATGCATCAGGTAAATAATGATATTTTATATTACACTATCTCAGCATCAATAACCACATCATAATTTGATAATATTGATGAGTATAGATACTTCAGATTTCCAACTGGAAATTCCAGATGCTAATAAATAGCCATATGTTTAATATCATCTAATCAAAATAGTCAAAAAGTTGATTGAGCTTTTCTCTTGTCACAGATAATTAAATGCTTCCCCAACTTGAATTCTTTCATACTTTATTCTCCAGAGTTGGAATTGTTTTAATTTCCCAAAGCATCTGAAATTTCCTTAGAGTGCATCATAAATAAAATTCCCAATCGTATGTAATAACACGCTTGCTCAATGAAACTATATGATATTTCTATCAATAAACCACACCCCAGTTCAAACCATTCTCTCAGGATTTGAGATTATTAGAATCATATAAGTTTATTTTTACCCCAGACCAGTTTATAACTTCAAATAGTCCTGGCAGTTTTTTTTCTAGCCATAGATTGGGAATCGGAAAGCTTGGTTCTCTTTCTGGCCCCTCACTATTACTCAGTATTTCATGGAAAGATTTATTTAAACTAAGCCCTTTGATCTTAGCTTCCTGAACTTCCACATTCCCCGTACTTTTGCCCCCGGCAGTATTTTTAAAAAATCAGTGTGTTTACTTTGCTCCTGGTCAGTTATGACCTGGAGTATTCTAATAGTTCATTCTTCCTAACGGGTAGCTATGAGGAGTAACGGAGATAACGCTTGCGAAGCGCTTAGCCGAGTGCTGGCACACAATACCTGTTCTATAGGTTGGACGCTATTCCTGCTATTAACAGTTACGTTTAGGAAGCACATTGGCCCATTCTCAATAAATGCACTATTACTTGAGATTTTAACACTCTTTTCTCTATAGTTCAGACTCAAAAGGGTGCAGCCCCCTTTGGTTTTCCTCTCTCTTTGCTCTTTTACGTCCTGCAGCTCACGTGTCCTGGTGATTTTACTGCTACTACTTGGGTCCTGCTACCCCAGGTCCAGAGGCCTTCTCACCATCCCCACTTCCCTGTTCCTCCAGCCTCCTGGATGGTAGCCCTCACCCCACATCTCCCTACAGTCTAACTCCCATTTATAGCCTATCATATTAATGGCTCAATAAAGCATAGGTCCGATTGGGCCACTGATCTCAAAGCTGTCAGTCACTTAACATTTCCTATAGAATTACGTGCAAATGGTTCAGGGACCTAGACACCAGCTTAGGAATTTGTACTTGATTTTGTCCATCATCCAGTCCCAGTGTATCTCTTAAGTCTTAATTCTCCCCACTCCTCTTTTGGCTGCTGTGCTTACTGGTCTCCTCCATACCTGTGCTCCCCACATAACTGTGCTTTCAGAAGTCTGTGCCACTGAAACCCTCTCCCTTCTCCCAACCTCCTCTCCTCCACCCACTGCCTCCAACTGCCCCCCCACCCCCGCTCCCCGGACTTTTTGCATCTTCAACCTTGAGCAACCTCAAAGGTCCATCTCAACATATTCCCTCCGGTCACATCTCCTGATTCCTCCAGGCAGAATATAAGCTTTTCTCCTTTCAACTCCGGTACTATTGTAGACATGCCACTTTTATGGAATTTGACATTTGACACTGAGTACTATTTGGATTAGTATAAACAGAATACTTGCTGAATGCACCTCTTCACATTTTTCATCTCTGTATTACTGAATCCCTCCTAGCAGTGAGAGGGGTTGATAGTTGTTTGCTAAATCTCTCTTGATTATCAAGTGATCAGTTGATTTTCAATAACATGATCTCTTTACCTTCCTCACAAAGATATGCCTGAATATTCAGTCACAAATGAGTTTTGCCGCAAACACTTCTTAATCGGAATTCTGCTCCGAGAAGTTGGCTTTGCTCTGCAAGAAGACCAAGATATCAGGCACTTGGCTTTAGCTGTCCTAAAAAATCTAATGGCTAAGCATTCATTTGATGATCGATACAGAGAACCAGTAAGTGGTCTTCCTCTCTCCCTTCCCTAAACACCATTTAATGGTTCACTGCATTAAATGCATATCAAACCTACAAGTCTATTGATTTTTACGTGAATCATTTCTTTTGACTACTTTTTCACCTAGGAGAAGCAGGCCCAGATAGCAAGTTTATACATGCCCCTCTATGGCATGCTTCTGGACAATATGCCAAGGATTTACCTGAAGGACCTGTACCCTTTTACCATCAATACATCGAATCAGGTACGTCTGCAGAATATTCCAAGTGTCTATCTTAATAAAGAATTTGCCTTTTTTATATTTTTGCCATAGATAACTATTTTCCCCTAACTGTGACCAAACTAAGGATTAAACAGCACTTCTTGCTAGGTGTTTTGAGACGTTTACATTGTGTCATTTGTTCCAGATTGGTCACTGACGCCTTCCACTTGTCCATCTTTTCAGCATTTTGTTTTCATTGTCCTCTGTTCTCTGCACCACCTTCCAATTCTCTCCAGTTTGTACCAGGTTCCTCTGTTGCATTCATGGCCCCATCCTCAGTGTACACCTTTCCCCACCAGCTTTCTGCATCAGGTTTAGGCCCATCTGGTGTCAGTAGAGCCACGTGCCTTATTTGTAGTCACAGCCCAAGAGTGGCCTGTTTTGTCACCCCTCCTCCACTGAGCCAGCCTAGTGACTTCACAACAACCCTCTTGAGATCCTTTGACTGTGTTCAGCTCCCAGATGAGTTGACGCACTGCTGAAGCCAGCACTAGGCAAGATGTTACCATCTAGAAGTTGGGAGCTATGTCTTTGGTATTTTTTTTTTTAGACCTTGTTCAAATCCCAATAGTATCAGTTACTATCTATGTGACCTTAGATAAGTTATCCAACTTTTTTAAGCCTCTGTTTCCTCATTTATGAAATGGAAGAGAATACCTGTATCACAAGGTTCTTAGGAGGATTAAATTGTGGAATAGAGAACATTCATCATAGATACTGGCCTATAATAAGTACCTAAAATCTAGTTTTAAATAATAGTTATATACATAAAATAATCCATGATAATAATGATATATAATCTACAATATAATCAATGAATTTATGATATCGCTTATAGGTAGAATCTAAAAATTACAACAAACTAGTGAATATGACAAAAAAAAGAAGCAGACTCACATATATATAGAACAAACTAGTGACTACCAGTGGGGAGAGGGAAGGGGGTTGAGGGGCAATAGGGGTAGGGGATTAAGAGGTACAAACTTTTATGTATAAAATAAACTATAAGAATATATTATACAACATAGTGAATATAGCCAATATTTTATAATAACTGTAAATAGAGTATAACCTTTACAAATTGTGAATCCCTATATTGTACACCTGAAACTTATATAATATTGTACATCAACTATACCTCAATTAAAATTTTTTTAAATCAGTGAATTTATTAATAACCATTCCAGCCATTTAGTCTATATCTAAAAGATAGTTTCTACTACATTGTTAAAAATTTTTTAAATCACATAAGAAATTAAACTGTGACTAAGAGTATGGCTTAACTATATTAATTTTCATTGCCTAGTTTGGCAGAAGATTTTGCTGAAATATAAAAGATCAAATCACATATCATCTATTGGAAAGTGTAACGAAGAAGGCATATGTGGGTTTGCAATGCTGAAATATGATGATTCCCACTAATTTCTTCTGTGCTTTGAATACAGGGGTCTAGAGATGACCTCAGCACCAATGGAGGATTCCACACCCAGTCAGCTATGAAATATGCAAACTCTGTGGACACATCATTTTCTAAAGATGTTTTAAATTCCATAGCAGGTACTTCAAACCTTCCAGACAGTTGTGTTTAACTCTCATCCGTGTTTACGTTGTATATCACTGTGCTTTTTACCCACTCCATAATTCATTACACCTAACCTATGTGACAAAGTATACTGCATTTATGTAGCGGAAGAGTCTTGTTACATATTTCTTTGCATGCCGTCCAGCAACTTCCTCTTCTACTTAGTGTTCATTTTTACTTGGATCGAGGAGCAGTCTTCTCCAATGTTATCAAATTGTTTCATTCTGGAGACAATCTTGAAGTTTTCATTGCATACGGCCTTTTAAAGTATAATAGCCCTTCAACTTCAAAGATTATTTTTAAGAACTATTTTGGAAATGTCATCTTAATTTCTTATAAACTGTCAAAAATTGAAAGCTTCTTCCCCCAAAGCATCATTAGGAACTTTTATTATGCATTTTAAAACAGAAACTTTCTTTAAAAAGCTTTTTAAGAAATCAAAGGAAAAAGATATATTTCCAGTTAAAATGGTCTACATTTTCCTAAATCCTTAATGCTGGCATGGCTGTTATAATAATATTTTTAAAGTTGCATATCTTTCATGCCAATCCCAGACTCTATTATGTCAGCTTTTCACAATACTGCTACCACCTGAATGGTCAGCATCTTTTTGGTTCATCATTTTAGCTTTTTGTGTTGTGTGCCCACGCATCTCATTACCGTCTGTGTGCTGTGGCTTGTGTTTACAGCATTTTCATCAATAGCTATTTCTACAGTAAACCATGCTGATTCCAGAGCTTCGTTAGCAAGTCTTGACTCCAACCCAAGTACCAATGAGAAGAGCAGTGAGAAGACTGACAACTGTGAAAAGGTGCAGCTTCCCTCCCAAACTTACCGAGCATATTACCAGTCAGCAATCTCCTATTCTTACTCAATCCTAATTGGTTCTTCATTCCTAGATCCCAAGACCCTTGTCTTTGATAGGCTCAACTCTTCGGTTTGACAAGTTAGATCAAGCAGAAACCAGGAGTCTTCTTATGTGCTTTCTTCACATTATGAAAACAATTTCAGAGGGTAAAGAGAGTTCTTTAAATTTAAAAAAAAGAAAAAAACTTAGAATTTCAAAGAGTCTCATGCTACTCGGTGTTTCCTTTCAGAGACTCTGATTGCCTACTGGCAAAGAGCGCCCAGTCCAGAGGTGTCCGACTTCTTCAGCATCTTGGAGTAAGTTTTAGAGTTGATTACATAACGCTTTTTTCTAGAACCTTCAAAATACTTTAGTATGCCATTTTTCATTCTAGGTACCATATGGTGAAAGATCTATCAGTAATAATGCATAAACTATTTAAAGAAAACAATATTTTTCTTTTAATATACTTGGATGAACACTCTGTATAAATAAAAAGGCGTGAATAATTAGAATGTGACATTTTTTTCCTTTCTAGTGTTTGTCTTCAAAATTTCAGATACCTAGGAAAACGTAACATAATAAGGTAATAATTTTAAATTCCAAAAGGTTAGTCTGATATTTTGAAAAAACTTATGACATTATTAATGGATCAGGTTAGACTTAGAGATTTATGTTAGAAATGTTAAAATGCAAATAAGGATTTTAAGGTTGACCTCACATTAGTCATAGAAGTTTGATGATTACCCTATAGCCGTAGTAGATCTAGGAACAGTTAAAGCTGTCCAGGGAAAAAGCACAAAACACATTTCTGAAAGGAAACCACATTTCATGTAACTTCTCAACTAATTTATCCATCTTTATATGAATATAACTTGAAAGATACCTATTTAAGAAAATACTTCCAATAAACTAAAAAAAGCAATTAATCTAGAAAACTGTGCTGTCATCCTTTTCTCATGAGAGACAGCAGTGCCCCTGGCATCTTCCCTAAACCCGCAATTTCCCATTGCCAGAAGAAAATGTGATTTTATTTTTCATAGCATGTGGAATATTTCATTGTTCAGTAATCGCTTTGTCAGTTGCCTTTTTTTAATTCATATATCAATTACAAACACTGAGCTCATATTAAAACTTCAGTTTTCCTTGCAGAAAAATTGCTGCTGCGTTTAAATTCGTGCAGTCCACCCAAAACAATGGAACTCTCAAAGGATCTAATCCATCCTGCCAGACTTCCGGCCTCTTGCCGCAATGGTACTGTCACATTTGCTTGATATTTAAAATTATATTGTGAGTGTACGTGTGTGTGTGTGTGTGTGTGTGTGTGTATACATACATACATATATATATATATAGGCTGTGGATACACACAATATGCACACACACATGTGCATGTGTGTGTGTGTGTGTGTGTGTCTGTGTATATATATATATCAAACCAAAAACAGATCTCAAGTAACTCTGTATGTTTCTCTGAAGAAACTTTGTTGGTACATCCCTATCTGCCCCACTAGCTTGTGAAAACCTAGAAGCAAGGATTTGCCTTATTTATGTGCACCTAGCGTACAATGCCTTGTATAGGGTCAATGAGTATCTTAATTTAATTGAACCTGAAAAGACATAATTCCAATAAATGCCTATTATAATGTTTGCTAATCTAGTGACAAAGTAAAATGTGAGGTCATATCTCGCCTTTCCTCTTAGTAAGTGTAATAATTTATCAGTATTCTTAGAGCTTAATGTGTTTTTTAAAGGGTCAAAGGCAATAGGAAGCATAGCTGGCCCCATAAGCTCATTTTAGATTTTTTAGTCATTAGAATAGTATATAAAGCCTAGGGTCACCCTTCATTAACCTACCCTACAGGAAACATTTGCCCTAAAATCCTGCCTTAAAGCTCCTCTGGGTCTAGTAAATCAGAATTCTTTGCTAAAATTTTCTCCAGTTTGATTTATTCTCCCCAGGAGTATCATAATAATGTATAATATGAAAATGGCTATATTTTAGAAAGAGCTTTAGAAAGAAATATGAATGTAGTATATAGCTAATAAACCATAAAATAAATTTTGCCTGTTTATCCATGGGGACCCCTTGAAATGGCCCCCTTATGAGAAAATAAATGGCAGTTGAGTAGAGGACTATAAACAATTACTTTAATGACAGTCGTAGCCCACCTGAGGTCACTGCAGTTTTGGAGACGTCTGGTGGGTTAGACTTTAGGCCCCTCCCTAAACCATCTGGACAGGTCCTGGTCATTCCCACGACTCCCCTCCCAGAAGCCATGGCTTTTCCTCCAGGAGTTACAGACTGAAGGAGACTCAAAACCTGGAAATAATCCAGTCCCAAAGGTCCAAGCCATACAGCCCCAAACCATACAGCCCCAAACCCATTATTCCTTGTAGCTACAGAAATGACCCAGACTCTCCTGCCTACTGAAAGCCAAAGTTAGATCTCTAGGGTCCCAATCCATCCAGAGCATTTGATTTAGCCAGAATCGAATAAGCCTTGAGAAGTAAGACAAAGAGAAAAAGTTGTTTCTTTTTCAGTCTTGACTCTTCAGTATCTCCTATTGCCTGCTTTCCTCAAAGAAATTTTCTATGACCTTGGCCATCAGTTAGCTTAAATGAAAGTCGGGAACAGGAAATATTCCTACTTCCGCATTCCCCCAGTTAGAAGTGCCAAGGGGTATTGAATAAGAGCCCTGGCCATTGTCCCTGCTCTGGGAAAGCAGCAGCCCAGAAGCGACCTCAGCTGTCTCCCCCACAAGGATCATATGTCAGCCCTGCTGTGGACCTGACACCAATGCAAAGACAAATCCTGTAAGAATTTCCAAATGCAAAGAAGTAGGAGACAAAGGGTTGTTTTAGACTAGATTTTACTTTTTTACATTTTACCTCCTAAAAATAATTGATACAATTGAACTATATAATATTGTACTTTTTTAATGTCTACCACTATGCCTTTCTGATCAACCAATGACCACCTGAACATGCATGGAATCCCATGATTTCATTAAATAATAATGAATATGTTTGTGCAGAATTTAATTCAGCATCTATTATTTGTCTGTTATCCTTTAGTATCTGTTACCATTCTGAACCCTTTTCTGGCTTAAATAAAATTTGTCCAAACGTACTTTTAAAAGTTCCTCTCATCATGTCACCTATAATTAATATTTTTAATAAAAAGTCTCTATTCAGAAATTTTTTTAACATTTGACTCAATCAAGAGAATTTGAATGAAAATTTGGTTATCATACCCTATGACTTTAAGCGTTTTTGTCATTTCATTTTCAGGATGCACACCACTTCCAGTCATGAAGGACAGAAACAGCACAGATCACAAACTTTACCGATAATTCGAGGCAAAAATGCACTTTCTAACCCTAAACTCCTACAGATGTTAGACAATACCATGACCAGTAAGTATACCAGAAATAATAGCAACAAGATGGTTATCATTTTTCTCTAGATGTGTGCAGGACGTAAAATGCATTATGTTTCAGAAATGTAAGGAATGTTGCTGTGCCCCTGAGACCACTGGTTTTCAGGCTTGCTGTAGCCTGAGGAACATTTCTGGGAGGAGAGAATCAGCTGGAAGCATCTAAAAAAAAGTAGTGTCCTTATGAGGAGAAAGGGGAAAAGTAAAACTCTCAATATAGTATGCTCACTGTAGCTCCTCTGGAACCAGGTGACTTGGCATTGTGAGGGGTTAGGGTGGCCTCTCTCAACCGGATTATTGTCCACTCTTTGGGAAGAGGAGAAAGTTGTCCATGTCCTAGAAGCAGCAAGTGTGCCATCTCGAATCCAGTGTTGCACACATTCCAGGTGTGAATGAGGAGAAAATGGGATCCAGTGTTTTTGTATCATGTAAGTGTTCTTGATTATGGACAGGTGACCACACAGTTAGCTGTTTGAAGGTATTTGCCTTAACCTGTAAACACATTTAATCCCTTTCTGACGAGGCCATTAATGCAGATCATCCACTAGACTCTACGTTTGGTCTGTTAATCTGGGACCATAAAACTTGACCCAGACTGATTATGGAGGAAATATGACTCTACCAATAGCTGAATCAATGGAAAAGTAGTGAGAAATAATGGAGAACAGAATACTCTGGTCCTTTGGAAACTCTATAGCTGACAAATTAAAAGGGCACCCACACAGTCTTAATCAGTTCGAGCTGCTACAACACAATACCACAGACTATGTAGCTTAAACAACAAACATTTATTTCTCATAGTTTTAGCGGATGAGAGATCCAAGATCAAGACACCAGCAGATTTGATGTCTGGTAAGAACCACGTTTGCAGATGGCCAACTTCTTGCTGTGTCCTCACGTGACAGAGAGAGAGAGATGATCTCTCTGGTGTCTCTTTTTATAAGGGCACTAATCCCATTCATGAGGGCTCCATTCTCATAACCTAATTACCTCTCAAAGACTCCGCCATATTGTGGATAAGGGCTTTGACATACGAATTTGTGGGGACACAAACATTCAGTCTGTAGCACCCACTAAAAACTCTGTCTCTGTTTTTGCTTCAGCTGATAAAGAGATTGAACAAATGAAAGCACTTTGATTTAATAAAATTACTCATCAAAACACCAGTAAACATTGACTATGTTGTAATAGAAGAAAGTTCTTTATAGGGTACAAAGATTTGTCTCAGACATTTATGCATTTTCTACTTTATTTTGTAGGCAACTCCAATGAAATAGACATCGTGCACCACGTGGACACAGAGGCCAATATTGCTACAGAGGTTTGCCTGACTATTCTAGACCTGCTAGCCCTCTTCACTCAGGTCCACCAGGTGAGTGTGACTGTAACTTCTTCTGTAATATGATAAAATGAAAGTTGGAAAAGTCATGCGAAGTCAAGAATATGTTTTTAAGGTTTTTATGACATTTAACGAAATGTATTAACCTTACATAAATCAACCTAAGTGTGAGTGGAAAGCATGTTAAAGAAGAGATTCAGAATTTATCAGAAGTTGGCGAATGCTCAATTGATATACACACAGACATATTTCCTTATTGTCCAGTAACAGACAATCTTTCTTCCTTGTTTCTCTTGCTTTACTGTCAGGCAAGTTGGGCTGAGAGAGAACGTGACTCTACTTTTTCAGTATCAAAGGGAGAGACAAAGCACAGCTAGATACAACAGATAAACAGATACAACAGCTAGAGAAAACAGAGTGATAATGTTGAGCATCTTTTTGTGTGCTTACTTACCATCTCTATATCTTTGGTGAAGTGATTCCACTACCTACCATTAGAATGGCTGCAGTTTAAAAAGACTGACCGTACCAAGTTTTGGCAAGTATATGGAGAAACTGGAACTCTCATTCACTGATGGTGGGAATACAAAATGATACAAACACTTTGAAAAAACATATGCTGGAATGAAGGTTCAACATAATCTATCATGTGACCAGCCATTCCAATACTAGGAATTTACCCAGGAAAAATAAAAGCATTTGTTCACACAAAGCTTTGTACATCAATATTCATAGCTTTGTTTTTTTTAATAATTAAACACTGGAAACAACCCAAAAGTACATCAACAGGTGAATGGATTTTTTAAAATAGTAGTATTGAAACATATCCATACAATAGAATATAAAATATAAACTTTTATAAAATATGAACTATAGAAATTATGTCAGTTACACCTCAATGAAGTTATTAAAAACATTAGCTCAACCTAATGAGCTTTCAAATGTTAAGGGTTAAATTAGAGAAAGTTGGGTCGGTTGAATAGTCTGCACCAAACAGAATGATTATAGCAAGGAAGTCTTTATTTTCAAGTAAAATGTCAGCATGGCAGTCGAAAAAACAAAATCCACATTTTAATTCTTTATTGCTCGATGGAAATGTCAATCAAATCTCATACATCTTACAGGCTCTATCAGTGCCTTTGAGGACCTGCCTGTCTGTGACCACATCTGCTACCTCTCTCCCAACCCTGCCCCACTAACCATGCTTAGGCTACTCTGCTCTTTTTTCTCTTTTTTTCTTTTTTCTCTTTTTTCTCTGCTTGAACTCATAAGCTCCATTCCATCTCAAGTCCCTGGTACCAACTGTTTTTCCTTCCTTGGACAATCCTCCCAGATCTGCCCATGGCTGACTTTTTCAGCTCACATGTCAATTCATCCATTAGGGAGGTCTTAACCACCCTATATAAAGTAATCTTATCCCCCAAAGCAATTACTTTCCATCATATATTATTCTACTCTATTTTCTTATTTAGTAACTTTTTTCAATCACTGCTATATGTAAGTTTCATTGGGAACATAGAGCTTATTCAGCACTTTATTTCCACACCCAGAATTGTGCCTATCGCATAGTAGGACCAGAGTAGATATTTTTTGAAAGAATACAGGTGTCCTTTCACTCATCCTAAATAACTGCTGTGTTAAATTTCCAGAGACAACTCCAACAATCTGAATGTCAAAATTCAATGATGAAAAGGGTCTTTGATACCTACATGCTCTTTTTTCAAGTCAACCAATCAGCCACAGCACTGAAGCACGTATTTGCCTCTTTGAGGCTATTTGTATGCAAGGTAAGGGTCCTCCAGGTTCCAAGAAAAGCTCAGTGAAGTGTTTATTGCTGACAATAAACACATATCAATCCTTACATCTCTCAGTATCGAGGGAAGAAAGTTTGTTTTCTTCTATTTGATTTATTTGGTTTTATTAGACGATTTGTTTGGTTTTATTAAACTGTTTGATTCATGGTCTCAAAATAAGTTCAGAACCTTGGCAGCCTATCTGCTGGATATCAAAAGGGAGTAAAATTAGCACCTGGCCATCAATTCTTTGGGTTCTCAGTGTTTGTGGCAGAGAGTTAGGTAAAATATACACCATCAACTGTGATGTCCGTTCCTGCCAAGTCAAAGGTTCTGCATTAGATACAGGAGAGTCCACCTTTGAGGACCCTGGTGGTTTTACAGTGTTGGGTGAATAGAAACTTTTTCAGAGCTCTCATTCCATTGCTTTGGGTAGTCATCCGTTACTGATGCAAGGGATACTTACAATGTGGAGAATGATTATTTCTAGGAAAAAAAAAATACTAACATAGACTTCAGTAAATAAGATTATATCCTCTTCCACCTGCAAATGGGAGAAAAAGTCTAGGTTAAGAAAAAAAGAAAGAAAGATTTTATTCTAAGGGATTTTAAAATTTGAGAATGAACAGAGCAAAATGAAGGAATCTGCTCACTTCACCAGCACTTCTGTTTCCGCAGTTTCCTTCAGCGTTCTTCCAAGGGCCTGCCGACCTGTGTGGATCATTCTGCTATGAAGTCCTAAAATGCTGCAACCACAGGTCACGGTCAACTCAGACGGAAGCGTCAGCACTTCTATACTTTTTTATGAGGAAGAATTTTGAATTTAACAAGCAAAAGTCAATTGTCCGGTCCCACTTACAAGTAAGTACTGCCGATTTCCATTAATGTTGTTGTCAAAACCACTCATTTGTTTCAGCATTGATAAAAGCCTGCTGTTTCCAGGGCAACCAGTTCCCAACTCTTCCATCAGATTCCTCCTTAAAGATGCCCATCACACTGAGTTCCAACTCATAGAAAGAGTGCAGCTGGGCAGAAATCAGCAAAACCCATAACTCCACCTGTACTTTTCCTTTCTTCTGCCAGGGAATAGAATCATAGAATACATAACTCAGGGACCATGATTGTTTCTAGGATGCCAAATCCCACCAGATTCTGAGCACATTCATTGGGCCTACAGGGAGAAATTAATGATACATTCATCCAACTCAATGGATTTCTTTACAACTAGTATTTCGGAGTTACTTGCTTTTGAGGTTCCGTTTTCCTTTTCTCTTTCAGCTTATCAAAGCCGTAAGCCAGTTAATAGCTGATGCTGGGATTGGAGGCTCTCGGTTTCAACATTCCCTTGCAATTACCAATAATTTTGCTAATGGAGACAAGCAAATGAAAGTAAGAAATGCTTTGTAGACTTTTTTAAAGAATTGGGAATAAACTAAACTGGATTCTTTTCGCGAGATACCAAAATCATAAAAAATACAAATTCTGTATTTTGTTTATTTACCCTTTGAGTACTTATACTGAGTCCGCTTGCTTGAATGGATAATCAGCTCTTACACTTTCAGCATATACTCAGTTAAGTGGCATTTCCAAGATATGGGGTTGAATGATACTTAACAAGAAAACTAATCACAAATATCAGATACCAAGAAATACAGTGTTGCTCTCATAATCCCATTCTTGGTCAAATTCATTTTATCTCTTTTAAAACTTTCTGGAGGGGCTTCCCTGGTGGCACAGTGGTTGGGAATCCGCCAGTGCAGGGGACACGGGTTTGAGCCCTGGTCCAGGAAGATCCCACATGCCGCAGAGCAGCTAAGCCCGTGCGCCACAACTACTGAGCATCCACTCTAGAGCCCATGAGCCACAACTACGGAAGCCCATGCATCTAGAGCCCATGCTCTGCAACAAGAGAAGCCACCACAATAAGAAGTCCGTGCACCGCAACGAAGAGCAGCCCCCGCTCACTGCAACCAGAGAAAGCCCGCACACAGCAACGAAGACCCAACACAGCCAAAAATAAATAAATAAAATAAATAATTAAAAAAAAAAAAAAACCTTTCTGGAGACTTGTCCTTCAGTTATAATATTGAAAAGTTCAGGGATAGAGCCTGGTGTCAGGCATGGCTGAACCCAGGGATTAAAATAATGTTTTCAGATCCCCTTCCCCTACTGCCTCTATTTTTACCTCTCTCTTTGTCTCTCAGTTCAGTTTTCTTCTTCCTTTACTTCGTTTACAGGTAGGCTCTCCCCATGAGCTTACTCTCTCAGAAATTCTGAGGACAGTGGTAGTATTCTATGGGTGGGAAAAGCACCTTGTTCTATAGTGCTAATTAAAGTCCCAGGACTGAGTCTCTTTGATCCAACCTTGTTTCATATGCCCATCCCTAAGCCAATCACTGTGACCTGGAGTATAAAAGAATATGATTGATTGGCCGGGCCCATATCATGTGTCACCCCTGGTGCCTGGGAATGAAGTAGACCCATTCAAATCATGTGAACTAGAGCCAGAGAGGATGCTAGAGGATGTCGGGATGCTATTACTAGAAGAACATAGGCTAGGAGACAAAATGGAATCGACTACAATTCATCTTCAAATGTGTACAGCCACAATCACAATACATAGAATTTGTCCATAAAGAATATACATATTTGTGAACAATATTTAGAATGCATTAGACTTTGATGCCAAGCCATAGCTAAAAACATAACTTGAAGTGAGTTCTAAACAGATAATGACCCAGGCTCTCTGTTTTCCAAAGAACAGCAATTTCCCAGCAGAGGTGAAAGATCTGACTAAACGTATAAGGACTGTTTTAATGGCCACGGCTCAGATGAAGGAGCATGAGAAGGATCCCGAGATGCTGGTGGATCTCCAGTACAGCCTGGCAAACTCCTACGCAAGTACCCCCGAGCTACGGAGGACCTGGCTGGAAAGCATGGCCAAAATTCATGCGAGAAACGGAGACTTATCCGAGGTGATTAGCAAAGACTCAGTCATTCTTCATTAGGTGTCCTCTTGATCAGGATGATTGGGTTATCATTTACAGCAGGAGTATAAAAAGTTATCATATTTCCCCACTAAAGTTGATATGACCTAATTATATGTTATGTGCATTACATCTGCATGTAGGATTCAAGGATGCCTAACTCCATGTAAATAATATCAAATAAAAGCCAGTGTCTTGGGGGCCAGCTGTAGTTGTAGGATGTGTAATGGAGACCAAATGCTAAAAGCCTGAGGCTAAGGAGGATGGTTATAAGGGTGTCTGGAAATTGAGTTATATAAGTTGGTGTTCTGTGTGTTAAAACTTCTTCCCTGGAATTGGAGTTGAATGGGGAAACTCACCATTGAGGTGAGTCAACTCAGGTTGGGGTAATCTGTCCTCCTGTGCAGCTAGCCTGAACTAGCGTTGGAAAGGTTAACACCCCTAAGAGCCATATGAGAAGAGGCCACTGTGTGATGGTTATAAATCAATAGGTAACTTTTTATCTTTTTTAACATCTTTATGGGAGTATAAACTACTTTATAATGGTGTGTTAGTTTCTGCTTTATAACAAAGCGAATCAGTTATACATATACATATATCCCCATATCTCTTCCCTCTTGCGTCTCCCTCCCTCCCACCCTCCCTATCCCACCCTCCCTATCCCACCCCTCTAGGTGGTCACAAAGCACAGAGCTGATCTCCCTGTGCTATGCAGCTGCTTCCCACTAGCTATCTATTTTACATTTGGTAGTGTAGATATGTCCATGCCACTCTCTCACTTTGTCCCATCTTATCCTTCCCCCTCCCTATATCCTCAAGTCCATTCTCTAGTAGGTCTGCATCTTTATTCCCATCTTGCCGCTAGGTTCTACATGACCATTTTTTTGTTTGTTTTTTAGATTCCATATATATGTGTTAGTATACGGTGTTTGTCTTTCTCTTTCTGACTTAATTCACTCTGTATGAGAGACTCTAGGTCTACCCACCCACAAATAGCTCAATTTCGTTTCTTTTTATGGCTGAGTAATATTCCATTGTATATATGTGCCACATCTTCTTTATCCATTCATCTGTTGATGGACACTTAGGTTGCTTCCATGTCCTGGCTACTGTAAATAGAGCTGCAATGAACATTGCGGTACACGACTCTTTTTGAATTACAGTTTTCTCAGGGTATATGCCCAATAGTGGGATTGCTGGGTCGTATGGTAGTTCTATTTTTAGTTTTTTAAGGAATCTCCATACTGTTCTCCATAGTGGCTGTATCAATTTACATTCCCACCAACAGTGCAAGAGGGTTCCCTTTCCTCCACACCCTCTCCAACATTTATTGTTTGTAGATTTTTTGATGGTAGCCATTCTGACCGATGTGAGATGATATCTCATTGTAATTTTGATTTGCATTTCTCTAATGATTAATGATGTTGAGCATCCTTTCATGTGTTTGTTGGCAATCTGTATATCTTCTTTGGAGAAATGTCTATTTAGGTCTTCTGCCCATTTTGGATTGGGTTGTTTGTTTTTTTGATATTGAGCTGCATGAGATGCTTGTAAATTTTGGAGATTAATCCTCTGTCAGTTGCTTCATTTGCAAATATTTTCTCCCATTCTGAGGCTTGTCTTTTTGTCTTGTTTATGGTTTCCTTTGCTGTGCAAAAGCATTTAAGTTTCATTAGGTGCCATTTGTTTATTTTTGTTTTTATTTCCATTTCTCTAGGAGGCAGGTCAAAAAGGATCTTGCTGTGATGTATGTCATAGAGTGTTCTGCCTATGTTTTCCTCTAAGAGTTTGATAGTGTCTGGCCTTACATTTAGGTCTTTAATCCATTTTGAGTTTATTTTTGTGTATGGTGTTAGGGAGTGTTCTAATTTCATTCTTTTACATGAAGCTGTCCAGTTTTCCCAGCACCACTTATTGAAGAGGCTGTCTTTTCTCCATTGTATATTGTTGCCTCCTTTATCAAAGATAAGGTAACCATATGTGTGTGGATTTATCTCTGGGCTTTGTGTCCTGTTCCATTGATCTATATTTCTGTTTTTGTGCCTGTACCATATTTTCTTGATGACTATAGCTTTGTAGTATGGTCTGAAGTCTGGGAGCCTGATTCCTCCAGCTCCGTTTTTCGTTCTCAAGATTGCTTTGGCTATTCAGGGTCTTTTGTGTTTCCATACAAATTGTGAAAATTTTTGTTCTAGTTCTGTGAAAAATGCCAGTGGTAGTTTGATAGGAATTGCATTGAGTCTGTAGATTGCTTTGGGTTTGTATACTCATTTTCACAATGTTGATTCTTCCAATCCAAGAACATGGTATATCTCTCCATCTATTTATATCACCTTTAATTTCTTTCATCAGTGTCTTGTAATTTTCTGCATACAGGTCTTTTGTCTCCTTAGGTAGGTTTATTCCTAGATATTTTATTCTTTTGGTTGCAGTTGTTAATGGGAGTGTTTTCTTAATTTCACTTTCAGATTTTTCATCATTAGTGTATAGGAATGCAAGAGATTTCTGTGCATTAATTTTGTATCCTGCTACTTTACCAAATTCATTGATTAGCTCTAGTAGTTTTCTGGAAGCATCTTTAGGATTCTCTATGTATAGTATCATGTCATCTGCAAACAGTGAAAGCTTTACTTCTTCTTTTCCGATTTGGATTCCTTTTATTTCTTTTTCTTCTCTGATTGCTGTGGCTAAAACTTCCAAAACTATGTTGAGTAATAGTAGTAAGAGTGGGCAACCTTGTCTTGTTTCTGATCTTAGTGGAAATGGTTTCAGTTTTTCACCATTGAGAACGATGTTGGCTGTGGGTTTGTCATATATGGCCTTTATTATGTTGAGGTAAGTTCCCTCTATGCCTACTTTCTGGAGGGTTTTAATCATAAATGGGTGTTGAATTTTGTCGAAAGCTTTCTCTGCATCTATTGAGATGATCATATGGTTTTTCTCCATCAATTTGTTAATATGGTGTATCACAATAGGTAACTTTTTAATGTCTGTTTAAACACTGGGAGGATTTATGTGCAGCAATTCACAGCACCCAAGTGGCTTCCAGACACCAAGTGGGGAAGTTCTGCTTTACTGTATTCCCAGGATTGTGCCCTCTTTGGGAAGAGATGAATTTGCGTAGGAAAACTGAAGTCCTTCTAAATACATGTGAAGGACTCTGGGATGGAAGTAGATCTGACCAGAGGCCTCACTTGGTAGCAGTTTGGTGAGGACAAAAATGAGCAGCTCCAGTTCCCTTGGACCGCCCTGAAAATGGAGGAGTTTCTCCATAAAACTTCAAAAGGCAAAGTTGAAGTCATTTGAACTCTTCAACAGGTCAGGGTCTACTCTGTGTTCAGCAGTGTTCGAGGGCTTTGCAGGAGATTTTACAGAACAAAAAAACGTCGCTCAAATAATCTGGCTGAGGAAAGCACACGTGATACATTAGGTCACACTGTTTTATCAAGTGCCACCTTGTGCGGCTACTATTTTAAAGGCAATAGAAATTCTAAGGGGGACATTACTGGCAGTAGAAAAAAAGAAGATGGCTTATTTTTACTTCCAGTTTATATCCAGGTGCTATTTAGAGAGAGAGGGGAGACATAGATATTAAGGAAAGAAGATAATTCTATGGGATTCAGGCCAGCTCATTCACCCACCTGAGAACTACATCAAGAAAAACAAACCAAAAAAATTCCCAAATAGACATTTTATTCTTGATGGTGAACTTTTTGGAAATCTAATTGATTCTTATTTCTGGTTCTACCATGAAAAGGATTTCTCTGCATATTCTGACTTGGAATACTGACTCACCTTGGATTAATCCTAATAAGATAGATAGTAAAATCTACAGTATTAGATAAATGGTAAAATCTTCCTCTCAAACTGTTTTCCTTTTTCTTACAGGCTGCTATGTGTTACATTCATATAGCTGCCCTCATCGCGGAATACCTAAAAAGAAGGGGTAAGACAACCTTGTGAGGGGAGAAAGTGCAGAAATCAACATGTTGAAACCTAACTTAAAATTTATTTATTAATTTTAGGTTTTATCAATCTTGATGTTTTATTAAGCATTGTTAATTTTCACAGATATTTCTATTTATGCTGTACTTTTAAGTTTTAACTCTCTCTTCCATGCCATTATCATGTTTATTTTATGTACAACCAGGCTAACTCGTCCGCTTCTTAGTTCCAAATGAGAAAGCTTCATTGGTTAACATAAGCTTGAATTAACATAAACATGTGACAATGTCCTAACCTCATCTTGCACTGCCATAGGTTACTGGAAAATGGAAAAGATTTGCACACCATCCTTGCTCCCGGAGGATATCCACCCCCGTGATAGCAACCTATTACTAACAACTCCCAGTGGAGGAAGTGAGTGATCTAACTGGGCTCCTTTATTCCCAGGGAATGGTGCCGAGAAAGCCAAGTCACTGCTTCAGTTTTGTTCCAGCAAAACTCTAAAACGTATTCCTAGAAGCAAAAACTGTCTCAGATCTACATAACTTACTCCGTAAAAACCCAAAGTTTCAGAACCATTCAGAAATTCCATCCATCCAAACTTTTATGAAGTTTAGAGACCTAAAGAGTTCTCAGCAAACAGAACCGCATCTTATCCAATATTATGGCCATGTTTTACTACCAATTTGCATAGTAGTCTGTCTTCGGGATTTTATTCTGAAATGGATGAATTGTTTAAAATTGCAAGAGAAATCTATTCAGCTGTTGAAATATAATACAACTGTTTATTCAAAATAAGGGGTGCAGAAAGAGAGACATATAAATATAGTGTATATACAGGACTACACTTATAATCAACAGGCTCCATTTTCTTTTTGTAAAGCATACACTGATTCTCACAATTTATAACATACAATAATTTACAGTATGGTTTTCCTTCAATTAAAAATATTCCATCTTTAACATTTGATATTTTCTAACAATAACTAAAGAATTACTCTTTGCTTAAAAAAATTTGTCAATATAACCTTGCAAAAGTTTGTTCAAACCCAGAGCTTATGAACCGCGGTCTATTTCCCATCACTATCTTAACTTTCAAAATGCAGTGGAAAACTCACTGTATGAACAACAGAAACAGATCTTTAGACGTTAAGCTTAAAATACCTAAACAAAAGGGAAAAGGACTTCGTTTACAATATTTTGGAAACGTAATTGGTCCCTTATTCTTTTAAATATGTATTTATTTCCTAAAGAGTTTCAGTGGATTTTGCAAATAAGATATTTGAACCAAATGACCAGACTGAATTCTGAGACAGTGAGCTCACTCGTTAGAGGGCCCTGGAGAAGGGACCAGACCTGGCTTTATGACTCATGTCCACCATCAAAGTCAGGGATCTTCTGGCTCAGTTTCACGCTTCCTACTTAGCCTTATTTTTATAGGCAAGTCATGAAAACCATCATTGTTGTATTTAACATGCCCTTCCTCCCCATCTAATTTTTTTCATAATCAGATCCCATACAGTTTTATAAAAACTATTTTATATTCTAACTGAAACAAAATTGGAGAAACCAGATAAAGCTAGGTGTCAGTTTGAGAAGTTGTGGAAACGTATAGCCCAAAATGTCGTGTGAATCTTTAATATTCAAAAAAATCTAAATACGTTTAGACCAGTGGTGATATTGGAATGACATACGCATTGAGAAACATATATACAGTTGAGCCTTGGACAACGAGGCGGTTAGGGGCGGTGACCCTGCCAGTTGAAAAACCCACACGTAACTTTACAGTCGGCCCTCCATATCCACATCCACGGATTCGACCAAACACAGACTGTGCAGTGCTGCATGCATACTTATTGAAAAAAACCTGCGTGTGAGTGGACTCACGTAGTTCAAACCATGTTGTTTAAGGGTCAACTGTATTTGTTTTGTAAACTTTGAATTAAGGAAGGTGATTATTTATGATGCATTAGCAGGTATTTGTATTCATTGGCACATATCTGAAGCTCATTGGCCTCTATTCGAAGTCCTCAATGTATTTGTAGGTTACGATGTTTCTAAGTCAAAGAAGTAAACTGTTCCTTCACTACGATGCACACGATAAGAATGCAGTCGAACCTCCGTAGCCGGGGGTTCCAGATCTGCAGATTCAACCAGCCGCTCCATCAGTGAGAACCCACAGATATGGAGGACCAATTGTACTATGCCGTTTTATATAAAGAACTTGAGCATTTGTAGAATTTGATATCTGATACCTGTGGAGGTCCTGGAATCGATCCCTTGCGGTTACTGAGGGATGACTGTATAGGTGAATGGAGATGACCGCAGAAAACGCGGCTTCCTCAGCTGTACTAACGTTCATTATCATCCCACAGAAGTATGTCACGACTTCTCCCGCTGCAGTCAGTGCTCATATAGTTAATGTGTTGAATTACCAAAGAAAAATATTAACAAGAAGTAGGAAAGTAGAATTTTTAATGCAAGGATTCAATTGCAATCTTTATTATCGTCATTTCTAGCATGTTTGGGGGTGATGAGTTAGTTACATAGCCAATGATCTGATTATTAAAAATGGAAATATCTATAAAAGTATTAATTATAACTTAAAAAAGCACTTGCCCCAGGGCAGCCACTGCACCAAGCTCTGTACTGGCCATATCTCCATTAGTTGCCAATAAGGAGTCTGAGTTAGGTGCTGTTATCACCTCATGTTTACAGGTGAGAAAACCTAAAGAAGTTAAGCAACCTGCCGCAGACTCCCTTGTTAGCTTGTGATGGGGCTGAAGTTCGAGGGCTGGTCTATCACTCCAGACTGTGCTCTTAACCTCTGATACTCCCCGACGTTCGGATCTGATCCCTTGTTTAGCACATTACCCATTATCAACTGTTTTCATATGTATCCGCAGAGCCAGATCTTTTTTAAGCTTGGTGGCCAAGAGGCTAAGAAAAGTTGAGAAGTTTTCTAGATAATGCAAAAGAGTGAAGGTTAGTAAGTATTGAGTATTGTCTTTACAATGCACTGATGATACCAGGTGTTTTCTCAAATACTAATACTCCGAATCCTTTCAACATCCTTTGAGATAAATATCAATGTCTGTGGTTTAACAAATGAGGGATGCAGACTCCAAGAGGTTAATTAAACCAGAACATTGGAGCTATATCAGTCTGCAAGCCTGTGCTCTGTCCATAATCCCATGCCAGCTCGTTATAGAAAACAGGTCACCTGAAAATGATAAAAAAAAAAATTATAGAAAGGGGAAGATTGGTTGCCTAGAAGAGAGTATTTATCAACAGTCATAATCTAACCATCTCATTGAGTGTGTGAGCTTTATAACCACCACATGTCACATCATGAAGAAAGGCGCTATCTAATCCAAGCAGGGTTTGTCTCAAATAATGATACATTTTGCTTTGTTCTCTCGAGGCATGTTCTCTATGGGCTGGCCAGCTTTTCTGAGCATTACACCAAATATTAAAGAAGAAGGGGCAATGAAAGAAGATTCAGGAATGCAAGACACACCATACAATGAGGTTAGACCAAAATGATTGAGTGTACAGTAATTGAGTGAAAAGATGCATTGAATTGTAACATTAAGCTAAATAGGGGGGAGAAAATCTTATTCAGAAATCAAATAAAGTTATTCTATAACATGACTTAGGCAAAATAAAATGCGGGCTAAAATTAAACTAAGATTAATAGATATCAGATTCCATTGATAAAGCATAATTTTCAATGAAAATTTAAACTAAATTTTACTTCTCTAAGACAGAGCCAAATATATACAATCAGCTCTTCTACAAAATATAGAATCTGTAGTCCTTTGGTAAATGTGGTAAGGGACGCTGAAAATTTGTTGAGCTGGTCACAACTTTATTTCATGCATTAGAAAATGTATTAACAAATAGACTTGAGCAGAAAATCACACTAATTTCTGCAGAAAACCTTCTGGTATGCAAACCACGGTTATTTTTCAAAAGAAGCTCTCTACCTGGAATGACTTAGCAGTAATTCAGGTGAAGAAAATAGAGCTCCCCTCCTCAAGTAAATAAAATATTTCATAAGCTAATTTTTTATTCATAATATTACATAGACTTAAAAGAGGATACAGAAAAAAGTCTGGGGTAGATTTTAATGAAATTTTACATATGGCTGTACACTAATTTAATGTACATTGAAAATAAATAGTAAATGCAATTATGTATTTATATGAACTATTTCAAATAACGTTTAAAATCTTTTCTTAAAAGACACTGAAAACATTCCAGCAATATTATCCACTTGCTTTAGAGAGTATATAATTTGATTCTGTTGAACATTTATTAAACTACTAGTATATGGGAGGCATTGAGACAAAGATAAGTAAAGCAAATGTATTTGGGGAGACAAAGATAATAAGGCATAATCCCAGCTCTTAAAGAGTTTAGAATCTTGTGAAAGACAAACTTCCTTCGGGGTGGGTAGTAACCAGTCTAAGACCCAGTAACTATAAATCTAGGCATCATATATAGCTGCAATTAAAAGGGGAACAATTCTTTACATGAAAGTGATTGGAATGCAGATGAATGGGGCATAAATAAAAACTCTGCAGACTTTTGCACTGTCTTGACATTTGATGGGACTTGAAGTTGTCAAATAAGAAAATAAGGTTCTTATAGGAGCAGCAGCAACTTCAAAGGCAAAAGTGTGGGAATTGTATTCTAAGAATGGTGTGGTACAGTCTGGTGTAGCCAAAGTGTAAAGTCAATGCCAAGGTGCTGAAAGAGGGTGGCACTGAAAAGGAGGTTGGTGCCTGATTCTCGAGCTCCTTCAATGTCATGCTAGAGAGTTTGGACAGCAGTTCATAGCCACTGGAGTGCCTCCAAAGGTTTAGGGCAGTGGCAAGCTCATGGTCAGGTTTATGTTTTAGAAACAAAGATTACTGGGGAGTAACACATAGGACCAATAGGACCAACTGGCGAGGGAAAACATTAGCTTGAAGGCTACTCCAGGGATCTGGGAATGAAGAAACGGGGGTTTGATCTAAGCCAGTGACTGTAGGAATGGAAAAAAAAACCAGACAGATCTGAATACTTGTTATAGATTTAAATTAGCAAGTTTGAGGCACTAATAAGGAAAGAGAAGACTGCAAGAAGACACCACCATCCCTCCCAGGATGGATGTAACTGCCAATTGCAAAGATAGGGAATGCAGAAATCCCACTATGAAAAAAATTGACCCTTCAACAGTTTTGAAAACAAGTTTCAGGGATGAGCCAAAATCTTCACTGTGTAAAATCTCATTTCCGTTTGCGGAATTGCAGAATATCCTGGTGGAGCAGCTGTACCTGTGTGTGGAGTTCCTGTGGAAGTCTGAGAGATACGAGCTCATCGCTGATGTCAACAAACCCATCATTGCGGTTTTTGAGAAGCAGAGAGACTTCAAAGTAGGTGTTCTAAACCCAGGAGTTAGTTCCAATATCCTTCATTACATTGGAGAATTATTTACAATTTCCAAAAGTAGAAACTCCCTATTTTGGATGTCAGCATCCTCTTCACGAAACCCTTCACTTCTGGTTTCAGAAATTATCAGATCTCTACTATGACATTCATCGGTCGTATCTGAAAGTTGCAGAGGTGGTGAATTCAGAGAAGCGGCTCTTCGGTCGCTACTATCGTGTGGCATTTTATGGGCAGGTAAGTTTCCTACAAGCAGCATGGCCTCTAAGTTCTGTTAAGTGGTTGATTGATGTTCTTCATTCTTTACAAGACATCTAACTACATATGCCAACAGATTGAGGGGGTGGAGGTGGAGGTGGGGATGTGTCTAGGTATATTTGAGTGTTTCTCTGAGTGTGAGGGTCTATATGTTTGGCCAAAGGAACATACTAAATTAAGAAAAAAATGAGCGGAGACCTCCACGGGTCTTAATACAGATTGAGGTAAAACAGTGATTTCGAACTTCTTGGAGAAAGAGGGCATTTCTTCAACACCCTCCTCCTCCAGTTCCCCCCAAAATGTCTAATTAGAGGTTTGCATCATATTTGAAAATGAGATTTAAATGAATATATTTTGGGCAATGAAATCCATAATATTCCAGGAAATAAAGAATTCCTAGGGGCTCTACCATATCAAAGGCATGAACTTTTGACTTTAAAATCATGCATTTTCTTTTCTCCTACTTTCAAACCATCACTGCTTCTAAGCAGAGCATAATCTGGTTGTTTTGTTTCTTATATTACAGGTCAATATAATTTCAAAGTGATCTTTCTCAGCTTACTGCATAAACAATGAACAAGACTGAAAATATTAGCAAGCCATAGCATTGTCTTAAAAGCAAAGCGAACTTAGATATTAATTCGGAATGTCTCTGAGTAGTGCTTTAAGTGGGATAAACCCAGTCACCATCCAGGCAGGCTTATAACACTAGTATATTTCAGCAGCCATATTTCAGACTATTATTTTCACAGAGAATCATTCCATTCTTTTATTTTCACAGTGGTAATGACTCTCAGCCCTCTCATTTCCTTTTTTTTCTCCCCTCACGTAAGGCACAGTTTCACATGGCTTCTTGTTCTCCTCAGAATCTTTTAAGGCTGCAAACAAACGTGTCAAATCCAGCATGGTCATTCTAGATCACTTCCCACTGAAGTCTTTTGGAAAATATATATTGAAGTCTTTTAGAAAATATATATTGTCCTCTAATCACCAAAGACAGCTTAAAAACTAATGTCTGAATTAATAAAGACAGCTGCTCTCTCCCTGGAAAGGAAAATGTCACTGGGCAGCCACTTACCATAAACAAATGAATCCAACCCAGATTTCCCCCACTGCACAGGAGCATCAGGACTGTGGAGACAGTCTACAAAACGAAGCTAAATTTACTCATTTGGGGGTTCCCTGGAAAAGAATCTGACCTATCTGAAGTGATAGTGTATATTAGGGAGATAGAAATGTGAGAATCTGCAGGAGAGGAGGAGAGAGAAAAGGAAATGGTATCTTGCAAGTCAGCGATAAACAGAAAATAAATAACTCGACGTCAGTGAAACATTAGCAAGAATAATGGCAGAACACCTCATCAGGAAGGGAATGTGGGAGCTGAGGGATTGTAAGGGAAAGGCAAGGGTTTCCTGGGAATGGCCACGAGCTAACTGAGCAGCATGGATGTAGCTCACAGGACGTACGTTCAGCAAACCTAGGTTTGAGTTTACAACGCTTCAGGTGATCTTTCTAATGAAAAAGTGATGAATTGCCATTAAGAGTCTGGTCATGAAAAGCAGATTGCCTACCTGATGGTTTCTCCAACCAACATCTAAGATACTGGTTGCTAAACAGGTGGAAACGAAACGATCATGCTCCTTTCCAATGAGATTTTAATGCAGACGTTTACTCTTTTCTTCTTTTGGTCTTGATTGTTCCAGGCTGTGGTAAGTTCTCTCTCTCTCCACTTGCATGCTCTAATAAGCCTCACACTTCCCTCCCTATGGTTTTACTGAACCTTAACTTTTTTGTGCAAATGAACGTTTGAGATAGGTGAGATAATCCTGTTTCCATTCATTTTGGAGTCATCCTGCATTTCTGGGACTAAATTGTGTTTATTCCATTTATCTGAATTACAAAAATGTATCCTTTATTTTTCATATATAATATCTTTCTGCACAAAGGTCGGTGTAGTCTGAAAACCTACACACACACACACACACACAGATAAATATGGGCACCACATATTTGAAATATATGGATAGCAGGCTCAGTATTGGAATTTGCCTGCTCAGTTCAGGCCACCAGAGTTGCAGTTGATTAAGAAGAGCATGGTGGGCAAAATCTCAAAAGTCATAATGGTGGCCATGGGTGGGCACCTTCCCAGGGTCCTGAAAGGACCCTGCCCTTTTCCAAATGAGTATCGTGGAGAAACAGGGCTCTCTCTGTTTGGTGGTGAGCTCTGAGCATTCTCGAAAATGATGGTATTAATTCCCAACATAAATGATGAACAGTGAATTAAACCTTTACCCTGTGAATCAGGTTAAGTCTCCTGAGATGCAAAAAGAAGCCGTGTAAGAATTTTAGAGGATGAGCTGAGGGGCAATAACATGCCAAGACCTAGAGCTCTGTGACACAGAATTTTCTCTGTGTTATTTTGAACCATATGAAATTGCCCATAATCAACCTTTTTTGTTACTTACAAAGATGGCAACTTCATGTGGTTCAATGTAATTATTGCTGAGTAAGCTGGAAAAGCAAATTCCTTCAATATCCACACATTGTCCACAGTCAGCTCTGCTTCTCTGACCAATACATACTTTTTTGTAATTCTTTAAAATCCCTTTCCCCCATCCATACTATATCAGTATTTTCTACCTTCATTTGTAAATTTGGGGTCACGTGTCCTTAACTCACCTACTAAAAGAATACTTGGAAACCCCTCTATTAAATAGAATGGGGGAGGTGGTGGGCAATGGGGAAGGATGGGGGAGAGCTACTTTCAAATGTCCTAACTTTGTTCTTTTTGCAGATTCCTCAATAAAGTGTGCTGACTGTGCACCTGACTTTTTGTTTTTAATGCTGCCAGTATTCTCAATTGTCTTTTATTTAAAAGTCCAACCTGACCTTAAAAGGCAAAGTGCCTTGTTAAATCTGCAGACCTGAGGACCTGCCTAAGCATGGTACTCTGTAAACTCAAACCCCAGCTGCCTTTGAACAAGGAGAACTAATGGAGGTCATTCTGATAAACAGTCATTTAGAGCCTGTCATCATTGTTCAAATGATATTCAACTACCTGTCCCAAGACACCAAACGGAGAGGGTGAACTGCTGTATTCAATGGGAGCAGACGGCGCACATCACTTTATATTTGATGATAAAGAAATAGCAGATAGATTTGCACATCCCCCCAAATGTGTGCAGAATGAAGGTTTCTGAGAAAATCTTGACTATTTCATTAGCATAATCTCCATGGTCAGAAATGATTTTTTTATGATGGTACCTTATGTCCTTGTAAAATTCACCTATTAATCCAAATTGATGTCTCACCATCATATTCCGAAGATTGTGGGAATATAACATGCAGTCGGCTCTTTGCCTCCACAAAGGCCTTTGTGTAAATATTTTAGCGTCCCCCGTGGGCTAGTACTTTCACTTTATAGTACTGGCTAGAGTAGTTAATATTATGTCTGCAATGAGCCAGACCCTGGAAAACAAGTTGAAAACTGTTCTTTTGTGGCGAGAACTTTAATAAAAACGCAAGTCTTGCATAGCATGGATTTTCTAATGCAACACCTGGCATCATTGACTATGGAAATTTTACACAGAGCAGCCTATATAAAACACCCCTTCAAGTGTCCCTGAAGTATTCATTTCCAGAGTAATGAACCGCCAGTAGTGATCAAACATCAACTGTAATCAATGAAATCCTTAGGCTCTGGTATTTAGCATGAAAGCAAGCAAGTGAATGCTCAATGAGTAACTTAAAACATCAGATGGCCCTGGAATGAATTGAGTGAAAAGCCTGGGGGAATTTTATTCTGTTCATCAAAGGATGTAAATTCCATGATTCTCAATCATGCTTACATGGGTATAGATGCACCTCAGACTCTTGATAGAAAAGGGATTGGGGGTAGGAGGAAAGGTGCCTGTGTATTGTGTACAGCCATCATCTCCATGTTGGGGTGTGATACACCCTCCTGGCTCCCCTCCTATATGAAAGTCACTGATTATATATATTTATATATATATATATATATATATATATATATATATATATATATACACAAACACTACTAATTGGGTTCATATTTGGGTTCATGTTTGTATGAAACCATTTCTCTGCATCTGTGAAGTTTTTCTTTTCCTAACATTTAGCTTATTGTGATTTTCTGACCCATCTTTTATACACTAGATTCCTCTTTGGAGGCATTCCTTTGTGAACCTTGCATCGGTGGAATATAATAGCAGGGGCACTTATATTTGACATCCCAATAATTATCCAGAGCTATTTCAAGATTCTGAAGTACCTGCAAAAACATCTAAGAAGGAGTCAATAATTTTCGTTTTCGGTTTATTGAAGTACATTTTTATCGTCATCTGTTGCTTAAACGTTTCATAATCCACGCATGTTACCTGCTGACTCAAAGTCCTTGTTTAACTAGGATACATGCTGTTTCGTAACCATGTTAGATCAGGCCGTTTGTTGCCTGGTAAAATGACATTTAAAAAAATCGGACTATGGAAAATGCGGAAGTCATATTTCCTGTTGCCTTGAAATGCAGTCTTCTCATCACCTTGGGGCAAAAGCAGAAGAGAAACTGCCCCTAGGTTTTCATCACCTTGTGTCCCTATTTACAACTCAATTATTTCACGGACAGAGCATTAAACTTCCTTAAGATAGTGTCGTGTGCCTCACTGGGCTTTGCTTTGATTTCCCTGGGTAAAAGATAAGCTCGCATCCCAGCCATTTTCAGAGACTCCATTTCTCTGGCTCCAAAAGCTCTTACACAGTCCCTGTAAGGGATTAAGTGCTACATTCTGCTACACCCGCTCCTTTCTATTCATTTTATAAAATAGTCTCAATAGGTTTATAGCTCCATGTTCTGTAAATAAATTGATTAATTCTAATCACGATTCTTTCTGATCCATCACTTCCCAAAATATCAAAGTAATCATCAATAGTCCTTTTACAATAAGGAAAGGTGTAGTGCCCAAGTAAGAGAACCCAAAGGTATGTATTTTTAAGCACTCAAAACTCAGTTTAGCTGTTTCCCTGCATGTTAGCCAGAACTCAGGTTGCTTTGCTGACAGTTTTTTCCTTTATCATTGTCATCACTACCATTCTCCTCATTATAGCTAACACTCACCAATGGCCTTCTGTGTCCCGGACACTGTCCTTAGGGCCTCCTAAGTCTAAGTCTACTATTTCCCATCCTCCAGGCCAAGGAGTAAGGATGAAAGGAGTCACAGGTCATGACCAAGGCCACAAGGGTCATAGTAACGACAGTAAAATACTGCTCTCGCCACTCCTTTTCTGCTAGCTCTGGATTCAGAAATTTGTTAGGGGAAAATTTTCACAGTGAAAGTACCTTTGTGCTAGTTTTCACACCACGATGAGAAAATCTTTTCCTGGAACTTGGAGACATTTTTCCCGTTGAAATGGAAGTTGTAAATGTTGCTTCAGCTATTGCCCTGTGGGGATTCTGGTTGATGGCCTCAGAAGTCTTAGTTCTCTTTTGTGTCAATCTGTCAATTTGAGCCACTAACCTCTGACCTTGAATCAGACAAAACTCCATAAAGACAGCAACAGAAAAAACCTAGCAGGCTGGAAGTCATGTGGGGATAGGGCCAGACCTCACTACCCCTACGAAGTCTAGAAGAATGATAAGGAGAGACTTTTCATGCTTTTAGCATCACACATCACTGTTTTAGCAGTCTGGAGTCAAGGTACTCATAATCAACTGTGTTGGTCTTGAACATTTCTCAAAGAAATTTGTTCAATAAAAACATCTGTATTAAAAGCAATGGAATCTTTTCCAGTTATATTTGGTACAAATATATCCTTTTAAGATGTAGCCCTCTGAGAGCTATCTTATTCATCTGTTTATTCATTCAACTAATGTACAGTGATGTCTCTCTAGAGACCAGGCACTATGTTAAATACTGGACATGCAGTGCTGAACAAGACACTTTCCTGCCTTAAAAAAGCCCAAAGTCAATTAGGGAAACACAAGGAAACAAGCAATTACCTGCTGAACAAGAACTGTGCTGGTGAATGTGCCTTATTCCTTGCCTTCAGTTATAGTCCAATTATGATACAAAGTATACTGTTCATGACGGGCAGACTTACATGGACGAAAGTGCTTTACAAGTATAAAGAACCATACAGATGTGAGCTGTAATCATTATTCTTAGATTGCCTCACATTAGCCATGAAAAAAAAAACAGCATTGGAACATTTTACCCATGTTTTTTTACACATAATGAGTAGTTTTTAAATAGCCAAAAATGATTTTAAAAAATATATAGGTAAGATTTTTTTATGACCTTCAGTATCTTTACTCAGCTCTCAGAAGTCATTTCCTTAAGGTAAACTCTGCAGTCAGAAGATACCAGAGACACTTGGGTTCTTAAACTGCAGACTTACTCCAATATTCTGAGGTCACATTTATTCCAAAGGAAAAATGCCTCTGTGTCTCTTCAGTGAGAAGGAATTATAAAGATTGCCTCAATTATCCGCAATGGAATCTTCCCTTCCCCCTGTTTCAAACCAGGTAAATAAATTAACAAGAGGTTAAAACCTACTTGCTCCTATGACATAAAAATGATAACATGGTTACTTTACTACTTTCACTCATAAGGTCTAGCTTTTCAAGAACGTAAGGGATCTATTAGTAAAGTAAATTGAAGGACAAAATTGCACATAGCCAAGTTGCATCAGACCCCTGATGAAATATTAAAAATAACAGTACTTGCGAGCATAGCACATGTAATTTCTGTTATGGCTTTTCATCTAAGATGATGTGGGAGGCATATCAACCCATTTAGATACCTTTATCTGCCCTATAGCATTAATATTTCCTATCCTGGTTTCCAAGACTTTCTTAAAAATGATACTGCTCTTTGAAAAATACCGTTGAAAAATACCAAAAAGTACTCCAGACTTTGTGTTCTACACCAGGCTACCACATGAGGGCATTCTTCCCCTAAAATATATGCAAGCAGGTATTACCAATGATTTCTTCTAATAGAGAAAAATACGTGTAATTTGCTTCATGAGGCTCTTTGGCCTGACTAGGCAGTATTTACACTAATGACTGATTGTAACATGATCCTTCACTCGATTTTTCTCTGAACTTGAATTTTATAGGGTGCTAATCTATGGCTTGGATGACAACCAAAATACTGGCTATAATATTTAAGTAAATGTTTTTTGTTTTGCTCCTTATTTGCAGTTGGAGTTCTCTAATAAACTTGGCGGTTCACTGTATGTCTTTCATAGGGATTTTTTGAAGAAGAAGAAGGTAAAGAGTATATTTATAAAGAGCCTAAGCTGACAGGTCTCTCCGAGATTTCCCAAAGACTGCTCAAGCTCTATGCAGATAAATTCGGAGCGGACAATGTGAAGATAATCCAGGACTCCAATAAGGTAGGGGAACATCAAGATTCATGCAACTGCAAAGAGCTAACTACATTTTTTTTCTCTCTCTTAACTACATTCATTAATGTTTTAAATTTCTGCCTGACTATGCAAAGTAAACTACCTAAACTATTTTGAGCATTTCGGTTGTTTACTGGTCGATGGATTGGTGATTGGGGAGGGGAGTGTCAAAAACCTTGTACATGTTTATTTGAATAACTTTTAGGTAATTTTAGAAACAACTTACTAAACCCTAAATCACTCCCATAGGTTGTTCGCATTTGAGTAGCAACCAAAGGGTTAAAGTAATTGGGCCCAATGGTGGACTGGGAGGAAAGAGCAAAAAAGTATTTTTTAGTCGTGAAGGTCTTCCTGGAGGAGCTTTCCTCCAAGTCACACAGGGAAAGCATGGGGCTGGGGGCTCCCTGAACAGCTCATTCTTGGTTGGGCGATGCTTCACAGAGAGCGTGATGTTTGAGCTGGGGATTGTAGGGTGAGAAGGTGTTCTCTGGAAGCGTTCTAAAAGCCAGCACATGCAGTGACAGGAGGAATTCAAGGGAGAGGTGTGTTTAGAGAACGGCAGGTCTTTGAAACATAGATTGTATAGAAGAGTGTGGCGGAGGTGGAACTAGAAAAGCTGGTTTGCACCCAACTGTATTGACCTCTATTAGGCCCAAAAAAGGTCTTTTTTTTCCTTTCCCTCTTTTGCAATGCTAGTATTTGGAGGGGTCTGGGCATGAGATTAGATTTGCTGGATCTGGACAGAAATTGTTAAAATGTGTTCATCATTCTTAGCTTGAAAGGTACAAACCTCTTCCCCATAAAGAGGGACAGAGCTAGAACCGTGGTCATGGTCGCCCTCCTACATGGAAAGTAGAAACAATTCCTAGCAGTGAGAGAAGTGCCAATTTTGGTGTCAGAGCAGCTGTTGTCTTCATTCCACCATGCTACCACTTACCAGCTGGCAATCCATCTTGGAGAAGTTGGGTGGTCACTCGGAGTCTCCATTTTTTAATCTGTGAAATGGTTACAGTTACACCCATCTTACAGTGCCATTATTTGCAGCATTACAAATAAATTCACGAGCCTCCTCCAATCTCTGGAATTGGATAAACAGTGGATGGGTGAACGGATGGAGAAAGTTGGAAGAAGCCTGAAAATTCTTCAAGGAATCATTAGCAAAGAGGCTGAGGCTCATCTCTTCCTCCTTGAAGGAAAGCAAGAGCCATTGCCTGGCTTTGGGGGGGGACCCCAAGCCTGTCTTCCTTGCTATTTGTCAAGCCTATTCACCAAAGCAGAGTTAGTTTTAAAAATTATATAGAATGACTTATTGCAGATTAGAGAAGGAATTCGAGAAATCGAAAATAAAAATATTTGCAGTCGTGCGATAGGTCATCAGTTAATCTGCTCAACAGACCAGGAACCTCCTTTCACATTACAAGCCCACAGCCGATGGTCCCAGTCTAGGTACACGACTGAATCGTAGAGGAACAGAGAGATATATTTCTACTCTCAACAAGCTTGATTCAACACAAAGGTGAAGATATTCAGTACAGAAGAGAAAGAAAATAAAAGGTT